TCTCTCTCTCTCTCTTCTCTCTCTCTCTCTCTCTCTCTCTCTCCTCTCTCTCTCTCTCTCTCTCTCTCTCTCTCTCTCTCTCTCTCTCTCTCTCTCTCTCTCTCTCTCTCTCTCTCTCTCTCTCTCTCTCTCTCTCTCTCTCTCTCTCTCTCTCTTGCGCCTCCTCACCCTCGCCAGTTCGTTGGCGTCTGCAAACAGGCCCGTTCTCGTCCGCCTTTCCAGCCCCTGCCGTCTTTGCTTTCATCTTTCCAGTCGTGTTGCGGTGTTGCCGGCTGGACGTAGCATGAAAACCGTACTGGTAAGGGAAAATGGTAAGCAAGAGCATTCAGTTGTTGCTTTGATATGGTAACACAGGTCCATAATATTCGTTTTTTTTTTTTTATCGTTGTTCTCCCAATCACACTATAGCAAGTATGGAACAATGGAATTGAACAATGTCACTCTGGTGGCATCATTTATCCCAGATTTATGTTTCTTTTTCTTTATAACAGTGTATTGCGAGAATGGAGAGCGGCCACGAATCGCATCGCACCATATCGCCTCCACCACCTCTCGCTTTCTTCCGCACCTCCCACTCCCTACCTCCCGTCTTGACCGCTATCAACCAAATAGCCGCACTTCACCCTTCCCCAAACCACTGAACCGCACGAGACTAAATGCCGAACCCAGCGTTCTTGACGGTCAAGAACGCCGCGGCGCGGCAGTCCCGAGCCCACGAACCTCACCGCGCTCTTTCGGCCTGTACCGCGCCAGCGCTGTTACCGCAAGGGTCCTTGCCTGAATGGGCGGAACTTCTCCCGGGGAAGCGTCTACGATGCGCATCATTTGCACAGTGTATAAACGCGGGGCCGCCGCGGGGTCGCCGCGGGGCCTTTCCCCCAATTTCCTCCTCAAGGGGTAGAAGGGGCGTCCTTCTACCCCCGCATGGCCGCAGCAAGTGCTCTGTTAGGGGTTTAGTTCGAGTGGCCTAGTTACACAATCACGTGACTAAGTTCAGAGTTACAATTATCCACAGTCGACCCCGAGCTCTTCCTGTCACAGACGCTGTCACTGTGCGTTCACCTTAGTCGCCATCAACAGCTACTAGCACCCGCTAGTAGCAGCTGACGACTCCAATGGCGGAGACGGTGACAGACGAAGACTTTTCGAGGCTCGTTTTGGAGAACGCGCTTCCCGTGCTCGTCTTTTTCTGCGATGGGTCGGGCTTTTCCGATCAGACGGTCACTGACAACATTGACAAGCTTGCCGCTAGATACGACGGAAGGGTCGCCTTCTATAAGCTCGACATTGACAAGAGTCCCGTCACGGCCTCGGAACAAGAGGTCCGTAGCGTGCCTCTTGTGAAAATTTACAGGAACGGGGTTGCGCGTGAGACGCTTCGTAGTAACTTATCGAGTCAGCCAACGCTGGAGCGCGCCCTCTACAGGATCTGATGTTTCCGTCGTGTCAGTCAGTTTAATTTTTGGGGTCAGACAAAAAAAAAAAAAAAAAACGCTTATTTATTAGATTAGGTCAGTGTGTGTCCAGAGAGTATATCCGAAAGCGGTTGAAAAAGGTTTAGACCTAATCCAGAGCGGTGTGTAATTTGAAAACCCGATGGTTGGGTAGAGTTGCCTGCAAACACGTACATTATTGGACCTGCATTTATTCGTTTCTTGTTTTGATGTTTTTGTTTCCTTCTGGAAAATGTACCTCAGTTCACTAAAGTGCAGCCAGGCTCTAGTAAAATCCCTCCTAGAAATTTCTAACAATTTGTATCCTATCCTAACTGTACCAAAGGTTAGCAATGGAAAATGGAAAGCAAGATCATAAAGAAGTTGCACTGATGTGGGGTAACAGCAGTCCAGAGTATTATTGCCATGTATTATTTATGGGGAATACCAATGCCATTGTTCCCCAATTGCAGGTATCCCCGTTTTATTCTTTATTTTTTAAGGGAGAAATGAATTATGAAAACGTTATTATAAGTATTGCGAGAATGGTGGGCGGCCACGAATCGCATCATATCGCCCTCCACCGTCGTCGCTCAACCAAACCTCTCGCTCCCACCCACACCTCCCACGCCCTCCCTCCCGTCTTGACCCTGGCCCACCAATAACCGCACCTAATTCCTCCCCAAACCACTGAACCGCAGGCGACTGAAAACCCACCCTGCTTACTTGACAGTCAAGAACGCCGCGGCGCGGCCGTCCCGAACCGACGACCCTCACCGCGCTAGTTCCGCCTGCGGTAACGTATCGCGTCAGCGCGGTCATCGCATGAGCATTGCGCACTTGCCTAAATGGGGGGAAGCGTTTCGAGTACGGTCCATAACCGCAGGGCAGCCGTGGGGGCCATTTCCCCAAGCGCATTTTCAAGCGGTAGGAGGGGACCTTACTTACCCCGCACCGCAGGGCCGCAACAAGTGCTCTGTTTGAGAATTTTGCTCAAATCCGCGGAATCGCGGTTTGCTTTATTATCGCCACGTGGCAGCATTACGATCGCGAGAAGCGCGATCTGTTTTATTTTCCCCACACTTGAAATGTGAAATCTCGTTAAGTTCAGTGGGTTCCATGTACTGGGCTGAGTTCGAAAACTTTTCGAGGGGAACCAAAGCTACAGTGTGAACGGTTTTTGTCTCGTGCAACTTACCGGATGTGATCCGAAACGACTGTTCAGATTCGCCAACTATTTCCCCCGATCTCGTTTGCAAATGGTGACGTAGGCAGTGCACTCTAGTCAGCAAGCTGACCACGGGCAAGAAAAAAACTAAAACCCACTCGGAAGGCATGCCATCCGAGGGAGCCTCAACCCTAAAATTTTAGGGTTGAGGCTCCCGAATGGCATGCCGTAAGCCATGGGTTTTATTTGTTTTGCCCGCGGGAGTGATTCGATGCTGTCGACAAAACAGTAATACTATTCAATTGCACCACGTGCTCACGTGTCATCCAACCTGTATGTATGAATGTTGCAGATTTGTCCTTCTTGAACTCTGAATTTTTTTGGTGGTCATCCCAAAACAGAGCAAAAGTATCAAAACACTTCAAGTGTGAGAAAAATAAAACAGATCGCGCTTCGCGCGATCGTAGTGCTGCCACGTGGCGATAATAAAGCAAACCGCGATTCCGCGGATTTGAGCAAAACTCTCGCTCTGTTTGGTTTGGGGTTTGGTGAGTAGCACAGGCAATTACGTGAAAGAAGTTAGGGATTTATACATTTATCCAGAGTCGGCCTCCAAACACCATTTAGTGGCTCTTCCTGTCAGAGTCACTGCCACTGTGCGTTCACCATTTAGGGCGCGTGTCTTTTGGTGTAGACGTTCGGATTTTTGGTTGAACTTTTGCTGGTTACCCTATTCGTTAATTCCGCCAAAACATTCGCCAGGACGTCGTGTGTCCACGTACACTTCCGGCATCGGAAAATGTTGAGCCCCCAAGTTGAACCCTCATCAACAAACAGGTTGGCACGAATGTGCGAGCGTGTGTCCACCTCATCACTGACAGCGACGATGCGAAGTCTGCGACGCTCGCAGCTAGCATCGTGCGCACGAGGGTGCTCGTCAGCGCGATGTCAAGAGCCCAAACCGGGTAACCTACAAGCGTAGGTCGCGGCTCGGCTGGGCTGCAAAAGTTCAACTTCGATAGTTGAACTTTTGTTTGTCGCGTGATTTTCGGGAGGGGTGGAACCGCGGCTCGGTTTGCAGTTGGTGAAAACTCGAGCCTAGCTCGAGCTAGGTTCATATGACTACAGTTCAACAAAAAATTCGAGATTTGCATGTAAAAACCAAAAGACACGCGCCCTTAGTCGCAATCAACACGTACTAGCACCCGCGCCAGTAGCAGCTGACGACTCCAATGGCGGCGACTGTGACTGATGAAAACTTTGCGAGCCTGGTTTTGCATAGCGATCTTCCCGTGCTCGTCTTCTTCTGGGCTTCGTGGTGCGGCCCGGCCCGGATGGCCGCTAACATCGTTGACGATCTCGCGTCTGAATACGCGAGACGGGTCGCCTTCTATAAAATGGACATCGACAAAAACCCCAACACGACCAAGGAACAAGACGTGCGGAGCGTTCTGTTGATATGAGCCCTGCATGTGCATGGGCGAAATTTGTGGCTTCCGCAGGTGCTGTTCCGAGGATTCGCACGAATGTGCAGTACCTGTGCACAGGGGAGTGCCGAGGCACCTGTGCACGAGGTACTGTACACTTCGTAGGTGCAGCAGCAACACCTTGTGCACAGGTGCAAAGGGCGCAACTGGTGCAGAGGGTCGCGGGAGTTCATGTGCGCAGGGTCGCGGTAACCCCTGCGCACCCACGCGAACGCACAGATGAATTTCGCGAGAAATTCAAATGTGCGCGAATTTTGACCAATGGGAGCGCAGGGAAATTTCGACCAATCAGATTCTGACGGAAATTGTACCCGCCAGGAGAAATTGAACCTGCCACAGAAAAAGAACCTTCTACACGTTTTTGTAACTACAAAAACGTGCATAACTGTGCATGTACAACCTGGATAACAACCAAGTTAGGTGGGAACACATGGGCTTGTTGTTTCACCTGCCATTGCTGCGTTGGCAAAGCACATGCATGGTAGAGAGTCAAACGTTCCACTAGGAACGTTCTGCAGGGTTCTTTGTTCTAGTATATGGTTCTCTTGTTGTACCATACTTGTTCTTGTTCAACTCTTTTTCTTAGTGAAAGCTATGCTTGAACTTTCCTAAGTCAACAAGCAACTCTGTCAAGAGCAACACTCAGAATTCTACCCCTCGCGCCCTCACACCATCCTCCCCATAGGATAGAATTCTCCGCACGTCCCGCTTGTGAAGATTTACCAGGGGGAGTTGAGTCGAAGTCGCTCTCTAACGTTATGATGAAATCGGCGCTGGTACAGGCCCTCAGTGATGTCAAGTAGTGATGATGAAGCCCTCGTGCCAGTCAAGTTTGCTCTGAAGTTCAGTTGAGGTCATGGTATGACAAAGCATACTAAGTTGTTACCCCTACCTGAGGCTGAGGCCCTGATAAAGGTGATGATGTCAAAATGAAGAATGGATGGTGCATTGATGTTGGTTGGGGTACATATAGCTAACCCTAAGTTTTGTACCCCCTAAGACAAACCTCACTATAGGCTACAACATTTGACACACCCCCATAGCCTAAGTGAGGGGTGTCTAGCAGAACCAAACGAGTACGGTCACAAGACCAGTCCAAGAAACAAAGCTCAGGGTGGATCACAACGTCACCACACAGTCTGAGCACAAACAACAGTGGCCACAAGGCCAGTCCAAGAAGTAACAGAGATATATAGAAAGCAAAGTAAACAGTACACTCAAGTCTAAGCAACACGAGAACCAGTGTCAACAAGGCCTAACTGCACACAGCACCTCTGGTGGTCACAAGGCGGAAGCGCCTTGGTGAAGATGTCTGCAGTGTTGGCCTCGGACTCCACAAACTCAAAGCGAGCCTGTCCACGCCTCTGCAACTCTCGCAGAAGAAAGTACCTGACGTGAATGTGCTTCACTCTGCTCTCCAGTCGTGGCTCTCGACAAAGGAGAATAGACGCCTTGTTGTCAGTGAACAAGGTCGGTGCAGAGCTCGGCCGCTCACCAAGGTCGGTGAGCAAGAAGGTCAACCAACGCAGCTCCTGTGCCGCCATGGCACCAGCGTAGATCTCAGCCTCAGCTGTAGAGGTCGAGACCGAAGAGGAGCGCGTGGACCGCCAGGAAACAGCTCCAGAGCCCAGGCTGAAACAGTACCCCTGAGTAGACCTGTGAGTCTCAGCGTCGTCAGCGTAAGAGGAGTCACAGTGACCAGTAAGTACGACAGACTGCTGCCCTCCAAGAACTAGCCCCACGCCTGACGTCGTCGCTAGGTACTTCGCCACCCTCACAGCTGCTGTCCAGTGAACAGGACGGTGTCTCCCTGGCGCAACAAAGCGCGCAAGAACGCTGAGAGGGAAGGCGAGGTCCGGGCGAGTACAAGTCATCAGGTACATGAGGCAACCCACAAGCTCTGCGTAGGGACCACTAGGCTCGAACGGCTCGTCAGGAAAGGGTCCAGTGAGTCTGTGGTCAACAGCAAGAGGTGTGCGCTGTACTGTGGAGTGCTGAAGCCCGAACCGCTGAAGGACCTGCTGCACCATGTGCGACTGTGAAAGTGTAATGGTGCGAGCAGCTCTGTCCCTGGTGATCTGCAGGCCAAGGTAGTGGCGCAGCTCACCAAGATCAGTGCAGGTGTGTCTCTTCTGCAGTTCGGACTTCACGTGTGCCAAAGCAACCCTGTCAGGGGTGGCGAAAACAAGGTCGTCAACGTAGACCAGAACAAAGAAAGGTGTGGTGCCACGACGAACGAACAGCGACGGGTCAGCAGAAGACGGCTGGAACCCAAGGTCAGACAGGGTAGAACGCAGGGTGTCGTGCCACTCACGAGGAGCCTGACGAAGACCGTAAACCGGTCGCCTCAGCCTCCACTGGGTCCCAGGAGGGAAAGAGCCAGTGAAGGCAGAGGGACGACGCAACCAGACCTCCTCGTGAAGACTGCCCTGAAGGAAAGCAGTAGAGAAGTCGAGAGAGTGTAACTCGTAGTCTCTCTGTGCTGCTACGTGTAGTAACACCCGAAGAGTGGTCATCTTCGGGGTGGGCGCGAAGGTCTGAAAGAAGTCAACTCCCTCGCGCTGACTGAAACCTCTAGCCACGTAGCGCGCCTTGAAGACCGGAGGAGATCCCGGTGGCCGCTTCACCCTGTAGATCCACATGCCGTCGACTACGTTCGCCCCCGGAGGGGGAACCTCATCGACGTAGGTGCCTGTGGATCTGTAGGAGGCCATCTCTGCGTCCATGGCAGCTCTCCACTGAGAGGCCCAAGGCCCTGACACTGCCTCAGCGTAAGTGCGAGGAGTCGGAATGTCAAGGGCGTCGGGGTCACCCTCAGGGGCGAGGAGCATGGCACAGAGATGAGGGGAAGCGGCCGCCAGGAACTCTAGCTCAAACTGCCTGTCCTCTAGGGCGTCACAGCCAAGGGCAGACACACCCCCGACGGCCAGAGGACTGGAAGGAGGAGCAGCCACAAGAGCGGTGGCGAAGTCAAGGCGGCGGGTAGAGGCAAAGTCAGTGACTGCGGCAGTAAGAGCGGACACAGAGGACACAGAGGCACGAGGGTGAGTAACAAGTGAGGCGAGAACACGAGAGAGAAGAGGACGGTACGTGCGGTAGTAGTCAGTGACAGGAGTAGGGAGCGACGCAGTGAGAGCCGACTCAGGAGGAGACGGAAGCACAGACGGAGACGGACGAGGTGGACTAGAACGAAGTAAGGCAGTACGAAGGTCAGTGAAGGGAACAGGAGACGAGGGACGAGCACGAGGGGAGCGACGAGAGGCCCAAGTCTGAGAAGGAGGAGGGGACAACGAAGACTGAGAACGAGGGAAAACAGCGGGAGAGGGGTCAGGAGGAGGAAGCGGAGGACCAGAGACGGGAGGAGAGGGGGAGGAGGAAGGAGAGGGAGAGGGGAGACCAAGGGTCCGAAGACCCGAGACAGGAGGAGGAGACGGCAGCTGCTGCTGCTGCGGCTGCTGCGGCTGCTGCTGCTCCAGCGGCTGCTGCCCCTGCTGCTGCTCCTGCTGCTGCTCCTGCTGCCGTCGCTCCTGCTCCTCGAGCCGCTGCAACTCTCTCTCCTCTCTCTCCAACTCCAGCTGCTCCTCACGAGCACGACGAACACGAGCCTGGAACCTGGTCGGGTAGGGGTGGGGGGAAGGAGTAGTGTCCGGGGCAGCGGCAGCCCCAGAGTCGACCTCCGAAGCACCAAGCACACCACCCCCAGAGGCAGCACCAACACCAGCTCCAGACCCAGGCTCTCCAGAAACCGAAGGAACACCCTCACCCCCAGACTCCGCACGACCAGTACCAGCCCCCGGAGGAGAAGAGTCCTCTGCAACCCGCGGCTCAGCTCCAACTCCAGCACCCCCAGAACCAGAGACCTGTACAGGGACAGTCGTAGGACCAACCTCCCGAGAGGGAGCACCTACAGGAGGCGGTGAGGAAGACTGTGGGGAGGGAGGCTGTACAGGGGGGGCTACCGAAGGGGGAGGGCTAGCCTGAGACACACCAGACGGGGCTGGACCAGGGGGGGAGGCTGTACCGGGGGAGCAGGCGGGGGAGCGGCTGTCAGGAAGAGGGGGGGAGGAGGAACCGGGAGACCTCGACTGGGGTACCTGACGTAGTACGGGGTGGACTCCTCGAAACGGACGTCACGGGAGTCAAAGAACCGGTGAGAGGGAGGGTGGTAAAAGGTGAAGTCAGAGGAGTCCTCAGGGAAACCAAGGAAGACACAAGGAACGGCGCGAGGCGAGAGCTTGTCCGCGGAGGTGTCGCGGACAAGAGCCAAGCACCCCCAGACACGAAACCTCGACGCGACACCAGGGGACCCTGTCCAAAGACTGGTCGGTGAAGCCTCCGGCCGAGAGACGCGTGGCCAGAGGTTCAGCTGGTGCGCGGCGTACCTGACTGCGTATGGCCACAGGAAATGGGGGTGCGGGCAATCTCCATGACCAGGCCTATGCGACGCTCAGCAACCCCATTCTGCTGTGGGGACTCCGGAAGCGTCCAGGACTGACGAATGCCCTGTTCGCGACAGAATCCAGCGAGAATGCCGGAGCGAAACTCGCCCCCGCGGTCGGAGTGGAGACAGCTGACACGACGACCACGAGTGTCCTGGGTGGTAAGCAACCACCTGATCAGCGTAGAAGTCACCTCAGACTTCCTCGCCAGGGGGAACACTGTGGTGTAGCGGGAGTAGTCGTCAACGACCACCAAAAAGAAACGCTCACGCTCAGGGCCAGGGCGAGGAGAGGGGCCCCAGACGTCCAAGTGCAGCGTCTCAAAAGGCTCGGTGGCCGGACGAAGGGAGGAGGAGTGAGGGGTGGCACGCAGCCTACCCTCGACGCAAGGACCGCACGGTGGTGCAAGAGACGGCGGCAGCGACGGCAAGACACGCGGGAGACCTAAGACCAGACGCTGACTAGACATAGCACGCAGACGTGGAAGAGAAGGGTGTCCCATCCGGTGGTGCCACAGAACGGTGGGGTGGGCAAGCGACCGACAGGAGCAAGACGCAGCGACTGGACTGGACGCGACAACCTGAGGGGACGGAACCACCTGGTGAGACGCAGGGAGGAGACTAGGGGGAGGGACAGGAACTGGGAGGAGTGGCTGCTGCGACGGCGGCCGCTGTGGCTGCGGCTGCGGCTGCTGCCGCTGCTGCTGCTGCGGCTGCTGCTGCTGCTGCAGTCGCTGCTGAGCGCGCGGGCCAGTGTGAAGAGTGTAGAGACCGGAGCCCGGCTCAGCAGCAAAAGTGGCGAGGGGCTGGTAAGAGTCCCCGTCAACACACACCGCAGTCTCTCCAGAAGGCTCAAACCACACACCCACGTGCTGACTCACGAGGGGTCGCACGCCCACCAAGTTCCGGGAGAACGAGGGGACGTGAAACCCAGTGAGAGACCCAGAAGGAGCAGCCGGACACGGCAAGGTGGTAGTGTGACGCGCAGTGACTGGTCCCGAAGTGGGATCAGCCAGCGCCACAGAAACAGGCGCAGGAAGAGGCGTAAGTGTCGTGCTGTCACGAAAGAAGCAGTGAGAGGCTCCAGAGTCCAGCGTGAACGACAGCGAACCGTCCTCTGAGGTAGCCGCTGGACTAGAGTCTACACAAGAACCTACACTAGCAACAGGCAACTGAGCAAGGCTAGCACCTAAGCTAACAACACCAGAGTAAGCAGAGTCAGAAACACTAGAGTCAACAACAGCATACATAGCATGGGGAGTACCAATCAGATCAACTAACTGCTCAGCAGACATGCCCCACAGAGCGGAGCCGTAGCGCTGAACAAGAGGCAGCCAGTCAGGGGCAGGAGCACCAACCCCGTAGACCAAACGAACCGTGTCAGTGAGCTGAGCAAAGCACTGACCAGGGGGGTGAAACCGGCCACAAGGGTGGCCACGACGAGTGCCTGTCAGAACCTGGTAGGTGCAGGGAGTGTAAGCAGCACCGCGCTGGGTCTGACGCAGCCCCGACCCTGGAGCCAGCTGCTGCCGCTGCTGCTGCTGAGGCTGCTGGGAGGAGAGGGGCTGCTGGTGCTGCAGAAGCTGCTGCTGACGCTGAGCCTGGTACCACGCCGCTGCTCCACCAACCGGGGCAGGAAGTACAGGAGGCGACTGACGAACTCGGGCGTCGCCACCACTAGCAGGCGCAGTGGAGTCACCAGTCACTGCACGAGGCGCCTCTCCAGGCCCTGAACCTCCACCGCCGCCAGGCGCAACGCCACCTCCACTACCTCCGCCTCCACCTCCACTACCACCACCAGAACCGCCTTTCTTGCCACTCCTACCGCGGGACCGCGACGCAGTCGTAACAGCAGCTGCAGTCGCGTCAGTAGCGGCAGTGGCAAGTGAGGCAGTAAAGGTGGGTAACTGCGGGACTGTGCACCCGTGGAAGAGTGGGGGGGGGCACAGCACCAGAGGCAGCGGCTACCGAGCGAAGGTTGCTCTCGACGTCCTTGAGTGCAGACTCAAGGACATCGACGGTGAGCTCACTAGGGTGCTTCAGCAGAAGCGCGTCGCGAACGGAGGCAAGGCGGTCAGGGAGGCTAGTGGCGATGAAATAGATAGTAATCGCCATAGGGGGAGGAAGCAGTGCAAGCTGTGCCTCAGTGCAAGCAGCGCGGTAACTAGCGTCGAGCGAGCGGAGGTGAGCGATCAAGTCAGCAGAGCGCTCAAACGAGGCGAGATCAGGAAACAGGAACGGGAGGAAAAGACGGCCAAGAGAGACAGTAGCGGGAGTAGAGTAGCGGGCCTTAATCGCAGTGAGGTACGCAGCAGCGGTGCGAACCTGAGTGAAGTGGACCTCCTCTGACTCAGGGAGGAGGCTGCTGAGTGCGATGCAGGCCGCAGCGTCACGCGACGTCCAAGCCGTCCTGTCAGCGCGCTGACGGGCAAAGCGAGCCGTAGCAGCATCGTCAGGGGCAGGACCTAAAGCGGCAGGCTCGGGGGGCTCGGGGAGGTCACCAGTAGCGTGCGACCAGAGGGTCTCGCCCCCCTGGACTTGACTCTCAGATCAAGTTGCTGAATAATGGCTTTCACCGTTTGGAAGTTATGAAAGTGTTTCTATAGAGTATGCGTTAGAGCAGTGTACCAAATGTGTGTTAATGCGTGCATCGTACAAATCACGAGACAAACCAAGAGATGCACAACGTACCGGACCCGGTACTCCGAGTAACAGTAACAGACCACAAAATCAGGTCCAGAATATCCTAAAACAGAAGAAGCATAGAAAGAACAGTTGTGATCGCAAAGCAGCAAACCAATTTGGTATTAAGCCACTAGGGTGGCTCCGACATCCTGGATGGAAGGAAGCCCTGAAGGACAGCCAACATCAACCTTTTAGGTGCGCTTACCATATGTGTATCCAGCTTGGCCCCTCTGCAGCAGCAGCGGCCAATGAGTGCTGGACCCAAGGAAATTACTACCGTATAAAAAAAACTGTATAAATGTGTTTCGGAACCATTACAACCAACATGTGTCCCTCAGGTAGGTGAGATCAGCTTGTTCTCTCTGCAATAGCAGCGGGCACAGAGGGGCTAGAGCTGGCAACTGCTTGCTCCAGCCGAGCCACCTGGACGAGGCAAAAAGGGAAGGCCATATCGTGGTTGGTGTGAGGCATAATGGTGATATTGATGCCGAGACCAGCAAAAACGAAGAAGGGAACGAGCGAAAACCTTGGGATTGATGCTGGGTCGTGTCGTGAGAGAGGTGTCAGCCAATGCGGGGTGTTGAGCATGTCAGATCAGATGTGTGTGCATGAACGGAACAAACTTCACAGGCCCACGTGTCACAAAGGCACCTGACACAGGCACCTGGCACACAGCACAGACACACAGGCACATGCCACACAGGCACATGCCACACAGGCACATGCGACACAGGCACATGCCACACAGGCACATGCCACACAGGCACATGCCACACAGGCACATGCCACACAGGCACATGCCACACAGGCACATGCCAGGCACATGCCACACAGGCACATGCCACACAGCCACATGCCACACAGGCACATGCCACACAGGCACTTGCCACACAGGCACATGCCACACAGGCACATGCCACTTATCACACCTTGGCCATGTGCTGGGCCACCTCCTCCTCGTGCTGCCGCTTCATGTGCAGGAAGGAGTTGAGGTGGAGCCGAATCTAACGTTCACATCCACATGTCAACACGGCCACACAGCCAGAATCCACATGCCACACGGCCACCACGTCTCACCTTGGCGGCGCCATGAGCTGGGCCACCATGCCTCACCTTGGCCATGAGCTGGGCCACCATGCCTCACCTTGGCCATGAGCTGGGCCACCATGCCTCACCTTGGCCATGAGCTGGGCCACCATGCCTCACCTTGGCCATGAGCTGGGCCACCATGCCTCACCTTGGCCATGAGCTGGGCCACCTCCTCCTCGTGCTGCCGCTTCATCTGCAGGAACCTCATCAGCGCTGCCTCCATCCATGCCTTTTCTGCTGCCAGCTGTGTGGTGGTCAATGGGAGTCAATGGGAAGTCAATGTGGGTCAGCACAAGTCATTGTGAGTCAGCACAAGTCATTGTGAGTCAGCACAAGTCATTGTGGGTCAGCACAAGTCATTGTGAGTCAGCACAAGTCATTGTGAGTCAGCACAAGTCATTGTGAGTCAGCACAAGTCATTGTGAGTCAGCACAAGTCCACACCGGCAACAAAATTCAGCAAGGATAAGCCACAAGCAAAACAGCAAGGGCAACAGAAAAGAAGGCAGGTTAACAGCAAAAACTTAATCCTTTCATCCTCACCTCCTGCACACTCGCCTGATGCATCATCAGCAGTTGAGAGTGTTACCTTCCCCTCTCCTCCTACCCACCCTTGGCACAAGAACCCTCACCTGCTGCACCACCAGGTTCTTCTGCTGCTCCTCTGCCAGCTGCCGCTGCAGCTCCATGTAGTCCTGATGGGAGGGAACAAAGGGTTGAGAGAGACTGAGTGCGGTGGAGAGGGATGGAGAGTGGTGGAGAGGAGCCAGAAAGGAGAGAAGGTTCTTCTGATGCTCCTCGGCCAGCTGCTGCTGCAGCTCCATGTAGGCCTGATGGGAGAGACGAGGGGTGGAAAGCGATGGAGAGTGGCGGAGAGGGTTTGTATAGAAAGTACCATAAGGAGGGGAAGGTTCTTTTGCTGCTCTTCTGCTAGCTGGCGCTGCAGCTCTGTGTACTCCTGATGGGGGAATGGCAGGGGTGGAGACAGATGGAGAGCGGTGGAGAGGGATAAGACAGAAACAAAGGCAAAAGGGAGGGGAAATCACTTGTTGAGTTGTACGGCACTCCCAACTCAAAAGAGCAACAAGGCGTTCTGACATTTCTCAGCGAGATGCACGCGTGTTGTAGGCTTAAGTCGAATTTCGAGTCGACTAAAAAAATCAACTTATCACACGAGGGGTGGCAGATGGAAAGAATCGGAGAGCAGGAGGGAAAGGTGCTAACCCCCACTCACCCGTCTGATCCCTTCCAGCCAGGCTGTGTCCACCACGAATCGCTGCCGCCGCTGCACCCTGCCTCCACTCCACCGCAGCCCCAGACCCAGGCTCCACCCCCCACCCCCACCGTCGCTCCTCTCCGTCACTGCACTGCTCGCACCCGTGCTGCTGGTGGGGATGCTGGGAGGGGCGGGGGGCGGGGAAGAGGGGGGAAAGGGAAGTGAGGAGCCTGAGTTGGGAGTGGGGGGTGGAATGTGGTAAGTGGGGAATGGGGAGAGGGAAGGGAAGGGATTTGAGGCGTGTCAGGACTTGCTGCCTGCGCTGCACCCTGCCTCCACTCCACCGCAGCCCGTCGCTCCTCTCTGTCACTGCTTGCCTCCGTGCTGCTCGGGGGGATGCTGGGCGGAGGGAGGGGGAGGGGGGAGACGGGAAAGATGGGAATTGGAGCGTCTGAGGACTTGTGCGCTGCACCCTGCCCCCACTCCACCGCAGCCCCACGCAGCCAGGCTCCATGCCCCACCCCCACCATCGCTCCTCTCCGTCACTGCACTGCTTGCCCCTGTGCTGCTCGTGGGGATGCTGGGAGGGGGGGGAAGGGGGGGGGGGGGGAGGGGGGACGGGGGAGGGAGGAGGAGGGAGAGGGGTGTGGTGAGATCGGAGCCTTGAGAAATGCCAGAAGTAATCCTCTGAGAAACATGTCAGAAAGAAGGTGACTTCAGAGCTTTACCGCCAAACTTCTCCTTACAAAGAGATTTAAGCAAACATTTTTTACTAACAACTAATTTTTACTGAGTCGAATCAGTCGCTGCCATGTAAAGGACATGGCTCCAGTCTGGGGCTCTACTGATTATGTCACAGAAGGTGACTTATGAGTCGACTCAGAAGTCACCATGTCAAAAGTATTTCTCTGGGAAACATGTCAGAAGGCCACTAGCCCTCGTTGCAAGAAGAGAACAGAACAGGGCACAAAGCATGGCGGCAGCACCAGCAGCGCAGCACGCGTACAGGGAAGTGTGCGGGCCTCCTGGGTAAGCCATCATGCCTCCTGACTCTGCCATTCCCGGGAAATCACCGCCACCACCAGCAGTGACACCTGGCAGAGCAGCGAAATCTGCACCCCCAGGAACACCAGCACCAGCAGCACCGCCAGCACCCGCGAATGTGCCAGTAGCACCCCTGCCAGCAGCAGCGGTAGCAGCAGCAAGAGCAGCAGCTCTGGCCCGTTGGGCCAAGGCCTCTATCTCACTGCTGCTGCTGACAAAGGTGGTGAGGGAGGAGGAGAGCGAGGAGGGGAGGGATGAGCGGTGAGAGGAGATGGAGGAGGAGGGGAGAGAGGAGGGAGGGAGTATGGGAGTGTGGTGAGGAGGAGCGAGTGTTGAAGGGGTAGATATGGAGTCTGGTTCGGTGGGGGCGGCTGTAGCAGAGGAGGTGATGGTGGCGAGGGGCGAGCGGGCAGACGAGAGTGGTGGGAGGCGAGCAGACCTGCAATTGGGTAAGGCGACAAAGGGGAGAGAGGAAATATGTGATGAGAAGGTAAATGGAGTGTAGTGGATGGCTGAGAGATGGATTCTGGTTCAGTGGGGGCAGCTGTAGCAGAAGAGGTGATGGTTGGGAGGGGCGCGTGGGCAGACGAGAGTGGGGGGAGGCGGGCAGTCCTGCAATTCGGTGGAAGGGACGAAAGGACAAGGGAAGGGTGCGTTTACAAAAAGAAAGAAAGAAAAAGAGGAGAGAAAAAGCTCCCCTGAAGGAATTTGATGAGATGGTAAAGCAAGTGTGGGAAGGAAGGGTGTGGGGCGAGACAGCACAACATGATGAGGTGCGTTTGGATTCCAAAAACACCTACTTCAATGAGGTGCAACCCTCCCGTTCATTCGGCCACTCTGAAATGTCGCTCCACACTTTTTCTTTACGCCAAACTCCCACTCTAAACCCCGCTCACACCCCACTTGCCTCCTCCCCTCCCACGCACACTCTGTTCTCAAAGTCCGTCACCAGCAGAGCAGTCATCAGAGCGTCCAGACTCCCCTCCAAGCGGCTGATCGCCCCCATCATGTTCAGACTCAACACTATTCGGACGCCACAACCCCCATCACCCCCCCTTTCCCACTCGCGAACCCACTCACACTCACACACACCCCTTCCCACGCACACTCTGCACTCAAAGTCCGGCTTCAGAGCATCCAGAGCAGACTCCCGAACAGCCCGTTCCCCCTCCACTATCACGATACCATGCTCGCCCTCACACTTTCACTGCCACTCACTCTCTCCCCCACTCCCCCTCCCACCCACGCACACTCTGCTCTCGAAGTCCGTCATCAGAGCATCGAGAGCCGATTCCCGAGCGGCTCGCTCCCCCTCTACTCATGACACCAGCCTACCCTTCCCACTCCCAGACGCACTCAACTCTCTCCCCATCCCCAACCCCCCCTCCCACGCACACTCTGCTCTCGAAGTCCGTCATCAGAGCATCGAGAGCCGATTCCCGAGCGGCTCGTTCCACCTCCACCCCCGCCGCCAGCCCCTCCAGTTGCCCCCTCATTGCCGCCTCCGCTGCTGCCTTGTGCGCCACCACCGCCTTGGGGGAGGAGAAAGGGAGGGGAGGGGCGGATGGGGAAGAAGCAACAGGGGAAAGAGAAGAAATGAATCCCCACCACCCGCCAGCCCCTCAAGCTGCCCCCTCGTTGCCGCCTCCGCTGCTGCCTTCTGCGCCACCACCGCCTGAGAAGGGGAGAGGGAGATACGGGGAAGAAGGAATGGGAGAGACAGAGGAGATGAGTCTTCACAACTTGCCAGCCCCTCCAGCTGCCCCCTCATTGCCGCCTCCGCTGCTGCCTTCTGCGCCACCACCGCCTGGGGGGAAGGGGAGGCGGGGAGAAGGGGAGGGGGGTTGTGTGGAGGCGGATGATGGGCGCTTGAGGCGCCTAAAAACACTCTTATTATCACGGGGTACTTTCCTAGCTCCGCCAGTTGCTATCAAGATCCGCGCAAACGCGATGACCCCCTAGTGCCAAGCTTTTAAGACGTCTCAGAGCAAAGTCACGTTTGAACGAGCGTGAACACACCTGAAACTGTGCCTGCATGTAGCTCCGTCACTTGCGCCGCCGCCAGAACCATGGACAACTCAAGTGAGGGATTCAGTGCGAGAACACCCACGAATTCTCGCGCACCCACCTGGAACTGCGCGCACTTCGCTTCCATGTCCTGAATGTAGCTCTCCAGCTCCGTCAGTTGCGCCGCTGTCAGCACCACCTGCTTGCGCGCGCTTGACCCGCCCGCGTCCTTTCCGCCGCCCTTCTTCCGCCAGTGCAGGCCACCCATTGCGAAGACCGGCTTGCGCGGATGCGCAGCGCAGCGCGGAGGGGGCGTATAGAAGGTTGTAGCCTGACCGGTTGTGGCCCGAATTAACGGTTGTAGCCTGCTAAGGGGTTGTAGCCGGAGACGTATAATCGGTTGACCCCCAAATGGAATAAACGTTTGTGCCTGGCGACGTATAAACGATTCTGGCCTGGTTCGACCGTAAACTGGGGTGTCAGGAGCTCCTAATGCAGTGGTCAGTCGTAGCCTCGACGTATAAACGGTTGTATCATGCCATGAAGTGTTAACGAGGGTGTCACGTGACAAGAAAAGAAAAGAAAAGCGAAGGCACCGGCCTGAAGCACCCGCAGCTTCATCAGATCATTAAAAACGGCGACGATGGAAAACGTCAGGAGATTGACAATCAAAGAAGCTTATAACAGAAGGCCGGCCGACTAGGTTCTTGTGGATGCTAGCGTTCCACTACTTTTCCTCCTAGCGTTTGTGCGGAATCTATCTCAGAGCAGCGTGGAGTAAATATTTTTACACGTGGGAAGGAATCTCGAGGAATGCAGTAATCCCAAGGTAATCCCAAGGTACCTTTCGCTCACAATCGCATTTTGCGCTCACACGCGCACTCGCACTCAGAATCCCAGGACGAATTTTGTCAGTCGCACAGCGAATCCGCTTCGACCTGGTCTTATCGGCCTGACTGCCGCTATACGGGTACAAGTTAACGAAGCAGAACAGTTCGTCCTTCCATAAACGTCACATAAACAGAAACATGCTTAATTTCCAGCCAATACAACAATGTACAGAAACAGCAAGATAGTTACCACAGGAAAACGGAAGCAATAAAACAGGACAGGAGGGAAACAAAAAACAAAACAAAACAGAACAGAGAAAAAACAGAACCTACCATTCCAATTTAGTCCACATGCCAATCCAATCTTCCTGACACCTCCCTTAGCATGATCAGATGACGATATGTACACTTCATGTCAATATTGACCTCCCGCTGTCTCCATCAAGCACCAACTGATGAAGACTTGCTCATTTTCGGCCACCAATCCAGCAGCGACCCGGGCGCAATGCTCCAATCAGGAGTAAGGAACTCCCCTCCACCCATCTCCCACCCCTCCAACTCCTCTTTCCCCTCCCCTTCCTCCTGAACATCCAACTCCTTCCCAAGATCGCCCAGCTGAGAAGAGGAGAGACTGGCAATGGGCAGCACACGAACAATACGCAGAATATCCGTAAGACTCACCACCCCCTGTAAATGCATCTCCACACTCCCCCCACCTGCTCCTCCTCCACCCCCTCCCATAGACGACCCAGCTACACCCTGTAAGAGGCTAGCAGCAGCAAGTCTCGCTCCTTCTTCCCCTGCCGCTACAGCCGGACTCGCCTCCGCTACAGCCGGTTTGTCCTCTTCTATAGCTGGCAGCACTGTAGCAGCATGCGCCTTCGACTTGCCGTTGCCAGCGTGACCCTGGTCTTCTAGGTTGTCCTTGAAGATGCTTGTAGGGGGGATGCGAGGGGACGGCATGGGCGAGGGCTGCTCCTGCTGATCCACCACCCACACGCGGTGCACCCGCTCCCTCACCATGCGATGCAGCACACGCCTGAGACTGGTGTTGCTGCGAGAGATTGACAAGGAGACAAGGAGAATAACGCACCACGGATGTGGCAAGATACAACCAGCGAGAGGGAGGAGAGGGAGAAGGAGAGAGGAGGGAGTAGATGACAACAAGAATGACAAAAATGCTGGAGCCCCTGCTCCGTGGTATGACTACCACCTGCTGCGACTCAGGTACTACCTGGTGCAGGTGACACGTGGCATGCTCACCTGGTGCAGGAGACACGTGGCATTCTTACCGGGTGCAGGTGATGAGGTGGCGGTTCTGTGTCGTCCTGACAGCACTCAGGAACTGCCCCACAGTCACCTCCCCAAGGTCCTCAAAATCCTCCTCACCCACCCGCACTGCAGTCTTCTTTGCATGGTGTCCCTTCCTCTCCTTCCCCTTCTTCCCGTGCTTCCCCTTACCCTCTTCCTTCTTATCCTCCTTCAACCCCTCGTGCCCCGTCTTCCCCTCTTTCTTCCCCTCCTTCTTCCCCTCCACCCCTCCTTCCAGCACGTGAATGCAGCGCACGTCAGAGGCGGAGAGAGTATCGATGAGGACCTCTCCGCACGCGTGAAAGCCGGAATGAGGCTCAGACGCATGTGCAGCCACCACCGGCAGCGCAGTGACCTAAAGGGGGGGATGGGAGGAGAGGGCATTGATGAGAACCTCACCACAGGAGGGGAAACCTTCAGTCCCTCTGGCCCCTTCTTCCTCTCCATCCCCCCTCCAGCACGTGAATGCAGCGCACGTCAGAGGCAGAGAGAGTGTCGATCAGAACCTCCCCACACGCGTGGAAGCCGGAATAGGGCTCGGATGCGTGCGCAGCCACCACCGGCAGCGCGGTGACCTGGAAGAATGGAGAGGGACAGGCGCATGCACAGCAGCGCACGTCAGAGGCAGAGAGAGTGTCGATCAGAACCTCCCCACATGCGTGGAAGCCGGAGTGAGGCTCCGACGCATGTGCAGCCACCACTGGCAGCGCTGTCACCTGGTGGAAGAAAGAAGGACCAGCACATGCATAGCAGCGCACATCCGAGGCGGAGAGAGCATAAATGAGAAACCTGCATGGGGCTCTGAACCTTCCTGCATGGGGCTCGGAACCTTCCTGCATGGGGCTCGGAACCTTCCTGCATGGGGGATCGTATCAATGAGAACCTTCCTGTATGTGTGGGAACCTGAAAGTGGCTCTGACGTGTTGCTGCTCCACCACACCCTCCTGCACTTGCATAGCAGCGCACATCAGAGGCAGAGATCGTATCAATGAGAACCTTCCTGTATGTGTGGGAACCTGCATGGGGCTCGGACGCATGTGTACCCACCACCTGCAGCACGGTAACCTGATGGGAGGATGGGGGAGAAGCAGGAGAGTAACAAGCCACGCAGCTCAGTGACAGAGTGAGGACCAGGCAGCTCTGTCATTGCTCTAATACGCCACTAGTACGGAATATGCAGCTTTGGGGTCACTCCTGCACTCGTTGTGGAATATGCAGCTTTGTGGAGAGGGTTGATTGTTTTGGGGACTCTGAACTTGGATCTTGAGTTGAAGGTCAAGTTGCCGCCGTGGTAAACAACGTGCCTCACCACCAGTTGTTTGCAGGTGGCTCAGATAGTTGCGCAATCACCTCCACTGGGTTGGTTTTTGAGGCGCCTCAAAAATCGGCTCAGATAGATGCGCAGTCACCTCCACTGGGATTAAATTCACTCGGAATGGAGGTAAGGAAGAAAGCTAGTTTTCGTTGTTGTGCTTTTACTCATATACCATAATTATCATTACACTTATTTCCTTTTCAGAATGGAAGCACAGGCACACACAGTGGTAAGCAAAAGCCTCGAGGCAAAAGCACGTGGGGTTGCTGAGACGGACCTGGTGGCACCGGAAGATATGATGCAGCGTATGTTTTTTGAGGTGGCTTTTGAGTCGACTCAAAATTCACGTGGAGAATTCTCAAAAAACATACGCTGCATCAATTCTAAAAAAAAGCACGAGGAGTTGCTGAGATGAGACGGAAGCACCTGGTGGCGCCTGAAGAGCCGGAAGGCATGCAGCAGAGTGTCCTTGAGTCTACTTGCTACCTTACCTGGTGCAGCGTGGTTCGTATGATTCCACAGCAGAGCACTCACTCAATGCGTTTCCATTCATCTCAGAAACACACCTGGTGGCGCCTGAAGAGACGGAAGGCGTGCAGCAGAGTGTCAGAGGGCGTTATGGTCACCACCAGCGGCCACACCAGACCTAGATCGTCCACCCTGCGAGCAAACGAAAGGTAGAAAACAACTTAAAAACGAGTGTCAGAGGGTACGCAGCAGAGAATTAGATGGCGTTATCGTCACCACCAGCGGCCATACCAGCCCCAGATCGTCCACCCTGCAAGTAAACCAAGGAAATGGGAGGGTTTCCTGGAGTGTTAGAGGGCGCGCAGCAGAGTGTCAGACGGCGTTCTGGTCACCACTAGGTAGCCACACCAGACCCAGATCGTGACTTTAGAGTCGACTCAAAAGTCACCACTAGGTAGCCACACCAGACCCAGATCGTGACTTTAGAGTCGACTCAAAAGTCACCACAAGGTAGCCACACCAGACCCAGATCGTGACTTTAGAGTCGACTCAAAAGTCACCACTAGGTAGCCACACCAGACCCAGATCGTGACTTTAGAGTCGACTCAAAAGTCACCACTAGGTAGCCACACCAGACCCAGATCGTGACTTTAGAGTCGACTCAAAAGTCACCACTAGGTAGCCACACCAGACCCAGATCGTGACTTTAGAGTCGACTCAAAAGTCACCACTAGGTAGCCACACCAGACCCAGATCGTGACTTTAGAGTCGACTCAAAAGTCACCACTAGGTAGCCACACCAGACCCAGATCGTGACTTTAGAGTCGACTCAAAAGTCACCACTAGGTAGCCACACCAGACCCAGATCGTGACTTTAGAGTCGACTCAAAAGTCACCACTAGGTAGCCACACCAGACCCAGATCGTGACTTTAGAGTCGACTCAAAAGTCACCACAAGGTAGCCACACCAGACCCAAATCGTGACTTTAGAGTCGACTCAAAAGTCACCACTAGGTAGCCACACCAGACCCAGATCGTGACTTTAGAGTCGACTCAAAAGTCACCACTAGGTAGCCACACCAGACCCAGATCGTGACTTTAGAGTCGACTCAAAAGTCACCACTAGGTAGCCACACCAGACCCAGATCGTGACTTTAGAGTCGACTCAAAAGTCACCACTAGGTAGCCACACCAGACCCAGATCGTGACTTTAGAGTCGACTCAAAAGTCACCACTAGGTAGCCACACCAGACCCAGATCGTGACTTTAGAGTCGACTCAAAAGTCACCACAAGGTAGCCACACCAGACCCAGATCGTGACTTTAGAGTCGACTCAAAAGTCACCACTAGGTAGCCACACCAGACCCAGATCGTGACTTTAGAGTCGACTCAAAAGTCACCACTAGGTAGCCACACCAGACCCAGATCGTGACTTTAGAGTCGACTCAAAAGTCACCACTAGGTAGCCACACCAGACCCAGATCGTGACTTTAGAGTCGACTCAAAAGTCACCACTAGGTAGCCACACCAGACCCAGATCGTGACTTTAGAGTCGACTCAAAAGTCACCACTAGGTAGCCACACCAGACCCAGATCGTGACTTTAGAGTCGACTCAAAAGTCACCACTAGGTAGCCACACCAGACCCAGATCGTGACTTTAGAGTCGACTCAAAAGTCACCACTAGGTAGCCACACCAGACCCAGATCGTGACTTTAGAGTCGACTCAAAAGTCACCACTAGGTAGCCACACCAGACCCAGATCGTGACTTTAGAGTCGACTCAAAAGTCACCACTAGGTAGCCACACCAGACCCAGATCGTGACTTTAGAGTCGACTCAAAAGTCACCACTAGGTAGCCACACCAGACCCAGATCGTGACTTTAGAGTCGACTCAAAAGTCACCACTAGGTAGCCACACCAGACCCAGATCGTGACTTTAGAGTCGACTCAAAAGTCACCACAAGGTAGCCACACCAGACCCAGATCGTGACTTTAGAGTCGACTCAAAAGTCACCACTAGGTAGCCACACCAGACCCAGATCGTGACTTTAGAGTCGACTCAAAAGTCACCACTAGGTAGCCACACCAGACCCAGATCGTGACTTTAGAGTCGACTCAAAAGTCACCACTAGGTAGCCACACCAGACCCAGATCGTGACTTTAGAGTCGACTCAAAAGTCACCACTAGGTAGCCACACCAGACCCAGATCGTGACTTTAGAGTCGACTCAAAAGTCACCACTAGGTAGCCACACCAGACCCAGATCGTGACTTTAGAGTCGACTCAAAAGTCACCACTAGGTAGCCACACCAGACCCAGATCGTGACTTTAGAGTCGACTCAAAAGTCACCACTAGGTAGCCACACCAGACCCAGATCGTGACTTTAGAGTCGACTCAAAAGTCACCACTAGGTAGCCACACCAGACCCAGATCGTGACTTTAGAGTCGACTCAAAAGTCACCACAAGGTAGCCACACCAGACCCAGATCGTGACTTTAGAGTCGACTCAAAAGTCACCACTAGGTAGCCACACCAGACCCAGATCGTGACTTTAGAGTCGACTCAAAAGTCACCACTAGGTAGCCACACCAGACCCAGATCGTGACTTTAGAGTCGACTCAAAAGTCACCACTAGGTAGCCACACCAGACCCAGATCGTGACTTTAGAGTCGACTCAAGAGTCACCACTAGGTAGCCACACCAGACCCAGATCGTGACTTTAGAGTCGACTCAAAAGTCACCACTAGGTAGCCACACCAGACCCAGATCGTGACTTTAGAGTCGACTCAAAAGTCACCACTAGGTAGCCACACCAGACCCAGATCGTGACTTTAGAGTCGACTCAAAAGTCACCACTAGGTAGCCACACCAGACCCAGATCGTGACTTTAGAGTCGACTCAAAAGTCACCACTAGGTAGCCACACCAGACCCAGATCGTGACTTTAGAGTCGACTCAAAAGTCACCACTAGGTAGCCACACCAGACCCAGATCGTGACTTTAGAGTCGACTCAAAAGTCACCACTAGGTAGCCACACCAGACCCAGATCGTGACTTTAGAGTCGACTCAAAAGTCACCACTAGGTAGCCACACCAGACCCAGATCGTGACTTTAGAGTCGACTCAAAAGTCACCACTAGGTAGCCACACCAGACCCAGATCGTGACTTTAGAGTCGACTCAAAAGTCACCACTAGGTAGCCACACCAGACCCAGATCGTGACTTTAGAGTCGACTCAAAAGTCACCACTAGGTAGCCACACCAGACCCAGATCGTGACTTTAGAGTCGACTCAAAAGTCACCACTAGGTAGCCACACCAGACCCAGATCGTGACTTTAGAGTCGACTCAAAAGTCACCACTAGGTAGCCACACCAGACCCAGATCGTGACTTTAGAGTCGACTCAAAAGTCACCACTAGGTAGCCACACCAGACCCAGATCGTGACTTTAGAGTCGACTCAAAAGTCACCACTAGGTAGCCACACCAGACCCAGATCGTCCACCCTGGGCGCAAAAGAGGAGAATAAGACGAGCCTCATGAGTCGAACACAGGCGTTGAATCACTGCCAGCAGCCGCACGAGTCCCAAGTTGTCTGCTCTGGGTGCAGCAGTAGGGAATTTGAGGGAGTTCTTGCGTCGATTCTGAGTGTTCTTTTAAAATTGTCAGAAGCATTTCTCCTCTTGAGTCGATTCAAACGAGAGCACAAACATCGCCCCTTGCCCTTATTCTTCCTCGTCCCACTCACCTTTCAGCCAGCGCGAGCCCCATCAGTCCTTCGTGCGACAGCAGGAACGTAGCAACGTCCATCTGAGACAGAACGCGGTACTCCTCCCCCACCACGCCACCCTTCCAGTCACCTGAACAAAGAAAGCACCACCCAATTCTCACCTCTTAGCCAGTGCCAGACCCATGAGTCCCTCGTGCGACAGCAGGAACGCAGCGACGTCCATCTGAGACAGAACGCGGTACTCCTCCCCCACCACGCCTCCCGTCACCTCGCTGTGCACCGCCAGAGGCATCGGCGGCGCCGGCACCACCGCCGCCGCCCCTGCTCCCTCCTCCCCCTCCCCCTTCTCCCCCTCCTCGTTCTCCTCCTTCTCCTCCTTCTCTGCGCGCCTCTCCGCCAGGGTGACAGGCTTGGGGGGAGGTTCGGTGAGAGGGAGCAGGTCGTTCTCGCCCGGGCAGATGTTTGGCACGAGACCACGGTGGAAACCGCCTGCTCCCAGTAAGAGCATGGCCTGCCACACACTGCAGTACAGAGGGAGGGAGAGATAAGGGTGGGGGTTCTTTGACTGTTCTGACAGATGTTGGGCACGAGACCGCGGTGGAAGCCGCCTGCTCCTAGCAGCAGCATCGTCTGCCACACACTGCAGAACAGAGGGAGGGAGAGATGGGGTAGGGTGCTCTATGGTTGTTCGGGCAGATGTTGGGCACGAGGCCGTGGTGGAAGCCGCCTGCTTCTAGCAGCAGCATCGCCTGCCACACACTGAAGTGGGGGGAGGGGAAAAAGAGGTGTTGCAGGTAAAGGTGCTGGTACTTGGGTGGCAGTTCTGGTGGTGGGAGGAGTGTCGGTGAGAGGGAGCAGGTCGTGCTCGCCCGGGCAGATGTTGGGCACGAGCCCGCGGTGGAAACCGCCTGCGCCTAGTAAGAGCATCGCCTGCCACACACTGCAGGGCAGAGGAAGGGAGAGATGTGGGTGGGTGCTCCATGACTGCTCAGGCAGATGTTGGGCACGAGGCTGTGATGGAAGACGCCTGCTCCTAGCAGCAGCATCGTCTGCCACACACTGAAGCGCTGTGGCTAGGGGACAGTCCTGCTTTGTCCCGAAGAAAGTAGTCTCTCCGTGCCTGCCTCCCCTTTCACTTCCCCCCTCCCCTCGCCGCGCCCTGCCTACCTGGCATGGGGATCCACGACGACCATCTGACGTGTCTCCTCGTGAGGCGGCTCTTAAGCCCTCTCCCTTTTCCTCCGTCCCTCCCTCCCCCCTCCCTTAACCCCTTTTTCACCTGGCATGGGGATCCACGACGACCATCTGACGTGTCTCCTCGGACTTGCCCATGACGTCAGCGACCTTCACGTCGCCCAGGGTCTTCGCCACCATTTCGCCGTCGTCGCCACGCGCGCCCTTGTTACCATCCCACTCCGCGAGGAAGATCGCCACGTCCACCACCGACAGCTGCGAGCGGAGACACGCGGGAACAGCACGGGGGTGGGGGGGTGGGGGAGGAGGAGGGGGAGCGAAACGGGGGCGAAAAAAAACGAGGGGGGGGGGGGGAGGATTCAGTAGCGGAAGGAACGGGAGCAGAAAGAGCAGGGGCGGACAGGCGGAAGGAGCACGGCCGGAAATAGCATGGAGGGAAAGAACAGGGGCAGGTGGAACGGGCGCGGAACAAGCGGGGGCGAAACCAGGGGCGGAAAGAACAGGCAGAACGAGCATGTGCGACAGGCGACGACTCACCACGCCGACGAATCGCATGGGCGACAAGCGACGACTCACCATGCCGACGAATCGCATGGGCGACAAGCGAGAGCGACTCACCATGCCGACGAATCGCATGGGCGACGGATGCACCATGATGGACTGCAGCGCTTGAGGCTTCTTGAGCGACGGCTTCTCGGTTTGGTGCGGTGCAGAGAGGCGCCGGTTGCGCACGGGCATCGACGTCACGTGGTGCTCTTGGAACAGCTTCAGCGCTGTTGTTAACGAGTCGTTCGCATCCACTGTAACGAGCGTCCTCTTACCGAGGACGAGCTCCTTCACTTCAGACAGCTTCAGCACGCGAGCCATGATGGTCAAACCAACCAGTAAACGCAGCTGATGATGCTTTGACGTCAAACGATGCAGAACGCAAATCGGAGATACAGCTTTCGCTTTCCTATCATATGCTCTCTCACAGTAGCGGCTTTAACACAAAAACGAATCTAAGGAAAAGACGCCGGAAAGTAGAAAACGAAGCAGAAAGAAAGACCCACCACAGCAATCAAATACGAAACAGCAACAACAGAGCTTCACAACTGACTATCAGCCTATCTTGCCCCCCTTGCTTCCGCGCCGCATCGAGCAAGTTCCGCCTTGCACATTTTCTTGGCTGCTGTGCTGTTTTGCAAGCACCCATTTCAACAGACATGCATCGATGGTAAGGGGCATGCGAAGTGGTAACCTGCTGTACGAACTTAGAACACTACGCGACGGCCAGTTTCCGAATCTCGCGAAACACAATGCAACGCGGTTTCGTGCGTTCGCTGATACTTCTCGTCAGCCCATGCCCGGGGAAGCAATCCGTGCAAATGCAAAAATTCGTGTGCCCGAATCCTCAAAGCACCCCCTTGTCTAAAGCAAGTAAACGGAGAAGTTCTTGCTGCCAGAAGTACAGAACTGTACATAGGCTGCCCCACACATGCAACAAAGCTTCGAAACTGTGGTCTCGGAAGGAACTGAAAGCTGCGCAAATCGGTCATACCAGGTGAGCATGGGCCCATGATGTTTGCGGTTTCTGCATGTGCTGGCGGCTGCCCGCCAGAAATGATCGAAACATGGATGAGATGGGGAGGTTCGAGGGAGTCGGACACGTGACGCTGACTCGGATGGCACAGCTGGATGGATTGCTGACGCTATAAATCTACTTTCTGGCGTGGCGTTCTGAGGCACCCAGCTTTATCTGGATGACTCTCAAACACTAACATAAATACATATAAACTGAGTTCAGTATATATGGTACAAGATTAGGAGACTTAACACTTCAGTTCTTGAATCCCCTCACTCATAACTGGCAATCTGCAGTAAAGTTGGTTTTCATGAAAAGAATACACAAATGTTAGACAACAAGAAATTGGAGGACAAAAACTGGATTCGAAAAGGGGGGCTCTGGGGAGGGAAGGGAAAGGGGAGGTGGGACCAAAGGTGGGGGTTAGTGCATACCTAATGCTCCTACCATCTCACCTTTGACAGCAAACTTTCATTTTCCATCTCGTATTTCCGCTTGAGTTCTATGAACTGTGCCAAAGCAGCCTCCATCCAGACCTTATCAGCCCTTAACTGTGTATTTGGTACAGGGCACGTGCAGGCAGCACACAAGGTAAAAGAAGAAAAATACACGGCTCAGTCATACGATTCATTGGTTTGCAGAAAAGTATTTTCTTGCTTCTGCCACACCTCTTACACTTCCCAAACACATGATGAACCCCATAATTTCAACACGATTCACGTGCCCCAACATTTCAGGTCCCACATCCACCCACCCTCTCACACCCCACCCTCCCCCACACTTCCCTCACTCCCCACACTCCCCTCACACCCCCTCACACTCCCCACACTCCCTCGTAGCCCTGCTGACCTGCTCCAGTGTTGCCAGTTGGTTCTGCTGCTCTGCCAAGGTCTGACGCATGGTCTCGTACTCCTGATGGCGCAGGCAGCGTGTTATGGCATCATCCCACAACCCCCCCAGAAACCCCGGGACCCCTCAGAACCCCTCAGGACCCACAACAACCGCACCCCCCACTGACCTGCTCCAGTGTTGCCAGTTGAGTCTGCTGCTCAGCCAGTGTCTGACGCATGGTCTCGTACTCCTGATGGTATGGGCGGCAAGGTGGGCGGCAAGGTGGGCGGCATGGGGCGAAATTGTTGGCACAGTTGGTATCAGTGACATGGGATGGCACATCGTGCATGTGGTAAGCAATGCGGAGTGGAAAGAAAAGAGGGACACAGAGGAACGTGAGGGAGGAAGAGAAGATGCAACTTGGAAAATGCAAGTGCAAGTTGCACCTACTCGTGCAATATTGTCTCGCCAGCCATCCACCATATACCACCCACTTGTGCTTCCAACTTCCGTTTCCCCCCACTCACAGCAAGCACCACAAGCGCACCTTCCCCACCATCTCCACCCATCCCCACCTATCCACCGCAATTCTGGTTCTGAGAACAACTCCTCGACCATATCCCCCTTACCTTTCTAGACACCTCCATCCACACGCCGTCCACCATCCACTTGTGCTGCCACCACCCCGCTCCCCCTTTCCTTCCTCCCCATCCCTCACAGCACACATCACACAACACCCCCCCCCTTACCTTTCGAGACACCTCCATCCACACGCCGTCCACCAACCACTTGTGCTGCCGCCTCCCCGTCACCCCCCAGTCAGCCACCGTTGACAGCAGCAGCGGTGGGCCTGCAGAGGTGCCTGCAAAGAAATCCCACAGGCCCGTGGGGCTGGCGGGAAGGGAAAATGGGAAAAGGTGGGAGAAGGGGGAAGGAGGGGAACGGGAGGCGCATTCAGTCACCACTTAGAGCGGCAGCGGTGGGCCTGCCGACGTGCCTGCAAAGAAATCCCACAGGCCCGTGGGGCTGGGGGGGGAGAGGGTGGGAGGAGAGAAAGGGGGGAAAGAAAGGGGGAACGGGAAAGGCATTCAGCCACCGCCACTGGCAGCGGCAGCAATGGGCCTGCAGAGGTGCCTGGAAAGAGGTCAAAAAGGCCCGTGGGGCTGAGGCCCGTGGGGCTGGGGGGAAAACAGGGGGTGAGGATGGGAAAACGGGGATTGAGAGGGGCATTCAGCCACCACTGCCAGAAGCAGCGGTGTGCCGTAGGGCTGCAGAGGTGCCTGCAAAGAAGTCAAACAGGCCCGTGGGGCTTGGGGGGGAAGGGGAGGGAGGGGGGGATTGGGTTGGAAGGATCAAGGGCAGGGCGCATGATCTGTGAGCAAAAGGACTTTGCTGCAACGGGCATGCTGCTCCTTGAAGGAGAGTGGTACTCACAGCGTGGCGTCATGGGAAATGACCTGTCCTTCCCTGTGATCCGTTCTTGGGCTCGCGTGCTTGCTCGGTCTCATTCGGCCCGTTGGGCGCCACTGCTCGGGGCTGCTTCCAATGCTCTCTGATTGCGCTGCTGCTGCTTGAATCGACTCAAAAGCAGACTCTTTGATTAGGGTGCTGTTACAGTCGCACCTGCAGTGCAGTGGTACTCACAGTGTGGCGTCATGTGGAATGACAGCGCCTCCCTTGCGGTCCAGGCTTGGGACACCCATGTGTGGGCTTGGGCTCCAGGGCTTGCCCGGACTCATTCGGCTCGCTGGCCGTCTCTGCTCAGGACTGCTTACACTGCTCTCTAACTAGGGTGCTGTTACAGTCGCACCTGCAGTGGTACTCACAGTGTTGCATCATGTGGAATGACAGACCCCCCCTTGTGCTCCAGGCTTGGGCTCCAGGGCTTGCCCGGGCTCATTCGGCTCGCTGGCCGTCTCTGCTCGGGACTGCTTCCACTGCTCTCTGCTTGGGCTGCTGCGGCTTGTTGACTCGTGCCTGCCCTGCCCGCCCCTACAGAGCCTGCCCCTGCCCCACCTGCCCCACCTGCCCCGCCTGCCCCGCCTGCCCCTGCCCCACCTGCCCCTGCACCTGCCCCTGCACCTGCCCCTGCACCTGCCCCTGCACCTGCCCCTGCACCTGCCCCTGCACCTGCCCCTGCACCTGCCTCATCACCCGCCCCTGCACCCGCCCCTGTCCCACTCGCCCGCACCCGCCCCTGACCATGCTCTGTGTCCATGTATAGTGAAGGGGTGGAGGCAGAGAGGCACTGAGAGGAGGCGGAGACAGAGGGAGGGTGGGCGAGCGACCAGGCAGAGAGGGAGTGTGAAAGGGATGAGGACAAGGAGGAGGAGAGAGAGGAAGTTGGGGGAGAGAAAGGCGCAGAGTTTGCTGCTTGTGCTGATGCTGGTGCTACTCCTGTGGCTGCTCCTGCTGGTCCTCCTGGTGCTTCAGAGCTGCCCTGCAGCATGTGAGCAGCACGGCGGGTCAAGGCCTCCAGCTGAGAGTCATGCCATGCGAAGGCCTGCGCTGCTGCTGCATCCACTGATGCATACGGCTCACTCGCGCTGCCAGAAAAGAGAGGTACAAGGAGAAGGGGAAAGAGAGCTGTCAGGCGTCTACACAATCGGCCTGTGCTGTTGCTGCTGCATCCACGGATGCATACGGCTCACTCGCCCTGGCAGAGTGAGGGGTACGAGGAGAGAGAGTCGTGGAAAGGTGTGTGACATTCGGTCACACACATGTGAGGCATGCAGTGAGGGCCAGGATGACAGTTACAGAAACACATGGAGAAAAGGGTAGGTCAGAGGCAAATGGCAGGGAGACAAGGAGTGAGAGTGTGAGAGGTGAAAGAACAGGTGAAGAGAGATGAGAAAGAACTTGGGAACAGGTGAATGGAAATGAGGGGAGCGAAAGAAGAGGCAAGTGCACGAAAAGCATGTTTGTGCATGTATACTCACGCGAAATCGCGCTTCTCCATCCCCGTTATAAGCGTCTTCAGTGCACCGTCCCGCGCAGCCCTCTCCCGTGCTGCCTGCTCCACCATCCCCTCCACCCGCTGCCGCTCCTCCTTCAACTGCTGCACCTTGGCCACCAGAGCACGCTGGGATGGGGAGAGAGGGGAGCAGGGGAAGGCACGTGGGGGAACGAGGGGGGAGGGAGAAGATTGATGATTGCATATGGACAAGCTTTTTGAGACGCCTAAACAATCTGGACAAGCAGGGTGGAAAAGAGGCCAGGGCGAGGGTTTCATGGGAATAGCATGGATGGATGGAGGGAGTGAGGAGGAGGGAGTGAGGAGGAGAGAACGTACTTGGAACCTTCCACAGACGGATTCCATGCTGCTGATATGCGACCCCAGCTCCCTCACTTGCTCCTTGCCTATCACACACACTTCCCTTCCTTGCCTCCTCTCCTCCTCCTCCTCCCTAGCTCTGCTCTCCTCCACTCTCCCTTTCCTCTCCTCCTCCCTTGCTCTTTGCTCCTCCTCTCTCGCCTCCCTCTCCTCCTCTCTGGCCCGCTGCTCCCTCACTCGCGCCCTTCTCTCTCGCTGCACCAGTCCCTTCCATTGAGCACCCAGCGCCTTCACTCTCCCTATCCACTCCACAGTCCTCCTCCCCCACTCCTCCTCTCTCGCTTGCCACTCCCTCTCCCGCTCCCTCCACTCCTTCTCTGCTGCTTCTCTCGCTACAGCCTCTCCTCTTCCCTCCTCGTCGCCTCCTTGCTTCGCCACTTCTTCATCTTCTCTCTCCTCATCCTCTGTCTCCCCATCCTTGGCCACTTTTTCCGTGTTCCCGTTATATTGGAGTGACTTTTGAGAATTCTCAAAAGCCTCCCCATCCTTGGCCACTTTTTCCTTGTTCCCTCCCTCCGCCCCCACTGTTTCCTCCCCTTTCTCCAACTCCCTCCTCCCCTCCCTCCTCTTCTCCTCTGCCTCTTTCACCTTCCTCTCGCTTTCCTCCAATTTCTCCAAGAGACTCTTCCTCTCCCTTTCCAGTTGTTCTCTCATCTCCTCCTTCTGTCGCTCCACCTCCCTCACTCTCTCCATCTCCTTTCTCACTCTCTCCATCTCCTCCCACACTCTCTCCACCTCCTCCCTCACTCTCTCCCTCTGCTCTCTCACTTCCTCCCTCTCCCTGTCCACATCTCCCAACACTCTCTCCCTCTCTTGCTCCACCTCTTTCCTCACTCTCTCAATCTCCTTCTCCCCCTCGTCCCTCACTCTCTCCCTCTCCCTCTCCACTTCCTCAACCAACCTCCCCCTCTCCTCCACCCACTCCGCCTCCCTCCTCTCCCTCTCTTTTTCCCTCTCCCTCTCCCCTTCCTCCACTCTCCCCCTCCACATCTCCTCGTACTGTCTCACCAGCACTTCCATCCCACACCGCTTCTCCTCCCACTCACTCCTCATCTCCCTCTCCTTCTCCTCCCACTCCCTCCTCTCCCTCTCAACCTCCCGTTCCACCTCCCTCCTCTCCCTCTCCATCTCCCTCACTCTCTCCTCAATCTCCCGCAATCTCCCCTCTGCAACAACCCTCTGTTCAGTCTCCACCTGTCTAGATACCACCTCCCTCCGCAGCTGCTCCCGAACCTGCTCCAGTTCCTGCCTAACCAGTTCCACCTCCCCCCGAGCCTTTTGCCAAGCCTCCGACACCTGTTTCCAAGCCTGCTGCCTCACTCTCTCAACCTCCTCCTTTCCCTCTTCCCTAACCCTCTCAATCTCCTCCCTACCCTCCTCCCTAACCCTCTCCACCGCTTCCAACCCCTCTCCTGCAACTCGCTCCACCTCCTCTTTCAAGCTAGCCACTGCTTGCTCCAGGACCATTCGTGCCATCCTGCCCTCCTCCTCTGTCCTCGCTACAAGCATCTTCGATTCTTCCACAAGCCCTGTCAATTCATTCACCTCTTTGCCCCTCGATTCCAACTCCTCCTCTTTCCTCGCTATAAGCATCTTCATTTCTTCCACAAGCCCCATCAGTCTCTCAACCTCCTTGCACCTCTCTTCCACCTCCTTCCCCTTCATTTCTAGCTCCTCCTCTTTTACTCTTAGCTCCTCCCTCTGCCTCTCCACCTCCCTCTCCTTCTCCCTCACCTCCTTCTCAGCCTTGCCAAGCCTCTCACTCACTCTCTCAATCTCTACCTCGAACTCCCTCACTCGCTCCCTCACTCTCTCTACCTCCTCCTCCAACGCTACAACTTGCTTCCGTGCAGATTCCCTTTCTGCTACAGCCGCCAACCGTGCCGCTTCACTGTCTGCTACAGCCGCCATCCTTGCAGCTTCAGCTGCTACAACCTGCTTCCGTGCAGCTTCACTGTCCGCTACAGCCGCCACCCGTGCAGCTTCACTCTCCCCTAGAGCCGCCAGCTTTGCAGCTTCAGCTGCTACAGCCACCTTGCGTGCAGATTCAGCTTCTGCTACAGCCTCCTGTAGCTTTCTGTTGACCACGTCAGCATCAGCTCTTGCAGCGTCAGCATCAGCCCTAGCAGCGTCAGCCTCCGCCCTCGCAGTGTCTGCATCAGCCCTCGCTTCATCAGCATTAGCCCGGACAAGCGCCCTAATCTCCTCCTCCATCTGTCTCCTCACTGCTTCGCCTTGCCCCTCCTCTCCTCCCACCCCCTCCGTAACCACTTGTACACTTACCCCTTGCCCTGCTCCTTCCTTTATTAGACACTCTTTAAGTCTAACCAATACTCCTCTCCACCCATCCCTCTCCCTCCTCACCCCTTTCAACTCCTCCTCTCGCTCCCTCACTCTCTCCTCCAGTCCACCCACCTCCCTCATCAGCCTCATCCTCTCCCCCTCACTCTCCTCCCACTCCCTCTCCACATCCTCCATTCTCTTTCTCACTCGCTCCACCTCCTCCTCTCCCTCCCTCACACTCCACTCCTCCTCTCTCAACCGCTTAACTAACACCTCCATATCCCTCTCTGCGTTTACCCTCTCCCTCTCGGCCTCCTCTCTCCCCTCCTCAGCCTTCTCCTTCTGCCTCTGTAGCACACTCACTTCCCCTTCCATCTCCTCTACTCTCCCCCTCAACTCCCTCACTCCTCTCAAACCCTCTTCCAGCTCCTCCCTCACACTCTCCCTCTCCCTCTCCACCTCCTCCCTCCTCCCCCTCTCCTCCTCCACCCTCCTCTCTGCATCCCCTATCCTCTCAAATAACACCTCCCCTTCAGCAGTAAGCACCTGCACTTGCTCTCGCAGCTTCCTCGCTTCTTCCTTAGTTTCCTTACACTCTCTCAAAAGCCCTTCTCTCTCTGTCTTTAAAGCTGAAAGCTCCTGCACTCTTTTACTCAGCTCCTCACTCGCTTTCACGTTTTTCACACGCTCACTCTCACACTCATTGCTTAACCTTTGCCTCTCCTTCTCTCCCTCTTTCCTCGCCTTCTCACTCTCCCTCTCAATCTCCCTCACTCTCTCTTTCAAACCCGCCACCTCCTTTTGTAGACTCTCCTTCGCTTTAATCACACGTGCCAGCTCAGCATCCAAGGCACGCTTCGGCTTGCGTTCGCTGTCCAGCTCAGCATAGAGCCATTCCACCTCACCAGCTAGTCGGTCCACCTCAGCAACTAGCCCCTCCATCTCCCTCGCTTTCTCCTCCACCTCACATTGCACCACTCCCACTCTCTCCATCCATTCTGCCCTCTCTTTCTGCAGCATCACTATTTGCTGTTCCTTCGTGACCCTAACCTCCTCCAAAGTTTCCCTCTCCTTCTGCAGCACCACTATCTGCTGCTCCTTCTCTTGCACACACGCTTGCAGCATCAGTACCTGTTCCTCCTTCCCCTCCATCTCCCTCACCTTCCTCTCTAAGTCACATTGCACCGCTCCCACCCTCTCCTGCCATTCCGCCCTCTCCTTCTGCAGCGCCACTATCTGCTTCTCCTTCTCCTCCCTATCCTTCACCCTTTCCTCCAGCTCTTCAACCGTTCTCAGCATCTCTTCCTTATCTCTCTGCAGCGCCACTATCTGCTGCTCCTTCTCTTGCACACACGCCTGCAGCGCTACCATCTGCTGCCCCTTCTCCTCCCTATCTCTCATCCTCGCCTCCAGCTCCTCAACCGCTCTCAACACCTCTGTTTTCTCTTTCTGCAGGCGTGCAACTTCCTCAACCCTCGCAGCAAGCTCCCTCTCACTCCTCTGCACCGCTTCTTTCTCACACGCAGCTGCCATCTCTCTCTCCCTCACCCTCACCTCCAGCTCTTCAACTGCTCTCAACACCTCTGTTTTCTCTTTCTGCAGCCGAGTGACTTCTTCAACCCTCGCAGCAATCTCCCTCTCACTCCTCTCTGCCGCTTCTTTCTCACACTCTGCCATCCTCCCCCTAGCCTCCTCCCACTCTGCCCTCTCTCTCTGCAGCACCCCTATCTGCTGCTCCTTCTCTTGCACACACGCCTGCAGCGCCAACACCTGCTGCTCCTTCTCCTCCATCCCTGCTTGTAACAAGGATACCTTCTGATCCTTCTCTTCCACTCCTGCTAGTAACGCGGATATCTGCTTCTCCCTCTCCTCAACTCCTGCTTGTAACGCGGATATCTGCTTCTCCCTCTCCTCAACTCCTGCTTGTAATGTGAATATCTGCTTCTCCCTCTCTTCCACTCCTGCTTGTAACGCGGATATTTGCTTCTCCCTCTCTTCCACTCCAGCTTGTAACGCAGCAACTTGTTTCACTCCCTCCTCTACTTTCTCCTGCAGCAATTTCAGCTTCTGCTCTTTCTCCCCTAACCCTGCTTCTAACGAGGATACCTGCTCCTCCTTCTCATCCACACTCCCCTGCAGCACCCCCATTTTCCTCACCCCCTCTTCCAGCTCAGCCCGTAACGAGGATATTTGCCCTTCCTTCTCCTGCACACTCGCCTGGAGCCCATGCACTTGCCTCATTCTCTCTTCCAACTCAGACTGTAACGAGGATACCTGCTCCTCCTTCTCATCCACACTCCCCTGCAGCACCCCCATTTGCTGAACCCTCGCTTCTAGGTGAGCTTGTAACGAGGACACCTGCTCCTCCTTCTCCTGCACATTCGCCCGTAACTCTCCCAATCGCTTCACCCCGTCTTCCAACTCAGCTTGTAACGAGGATATTTGTTCCTGCTTCTCATGCACACTCGCCTGCAGCCTGTTCACTTCCCTCACCCTCTCTTCCACCTCTGCTTGTAACGAGGATACCTGCCCCTCCTTCTCATCTACCCTCGCCTGCAGCCCACTCGCTTGCCTCACGCTCTCCTCCAACTCAGCTTGTAACGAGGATACCTGTTCCTCCTTCTCATGTACACCCGCCTGTAGTACCCCCATTTGCCTCACCTTCTCGTCCAACTCAGCTTGTAACGAGGATACTTTCTCCTCTTCCTCCTGCACACTTGCCTGCAGCCCACTCACTCGCCTCAACCCCTCTTGCAGCTCAGCCTGTAACGAGGATATCTGCTTCTCCTTGTCCTGCAAACTTGCCTGCACCACCTCCATTTGCTTCACCCTCTCTTCCATCTCTGCTTGTAACGAGGATATTTGACCTTCCTTCTCCTGCACACTCGGCTGCAGCCCACTCACTTGTCTCACCCTCTGCTCCAATTCAGCCTGTAACGAGGATACCTGCTCCTCCTTCCCCTGCGAACTAGCCTGTAACACTCCCATTTCCCTCACCCTCTCTTCCAACTCTTCTTGTAGCGAGGATACCTGCACCTCCTTCTCATCCACCCTCGCTTGGAGCCCACTCACTTCCCTCACCCTCTCTTCCATCTCTGCTTGTAACGCGGATATTTGTCCTTCCTTCTCCTGCACACTCGCCTGCAGCGCACTCATTTCCCTCACCCTCTTTGCCACCTCGCCCTGCAAGGCATACACCTGCCTGCCCTTCCCTTCCACTGCAGACTCCAGCACCAGAATCTTTGCATCCCGCACCAACACCATAGCCTCTTTCTCGCGCACAACACCCTCTTTCTCCCGCACAAGGCTCTCCTTTTCCCGCCCTAAAACCTCTTGCTCCTCCACCCGTGACCGCATAACCTGCATCTCTTCCCTCTCCCTTCGAAGCTCCTCAAGAACCCCCTTCAGCTGCTGCCTTCCCTCCTCCAGTTTCCGCTTCCCCTCCTCTACCTCTGCTTCCAGTGCTGCAACATGCTCCCTCGCCTCTTTCAACGTCTCGCCTGCCCTCTCTTGCATCACTGCACTTTCCTCTCTCAACACCTCCATTTCTCCCTTCAACACTCTAATCTCCTGCTGCTTGCCACTCATCTGTGCTTCCAGCGCTGCAACCTGCTCCCTCGCCTCTCTCAGACTCTCACCAGCCTTCTCTTGCAGCACTGCACCTTCCTCTCTCAACACCTCCATTTCTCCCTTCAACACTCTTATCTCCTGCTGCTTGCTGCTCACTTCCTCAGTCAAGATCAGAACTTTCTTCTCTTTCTCCTCCAGAGTCTTTTCCATTGCCCTCAATTCGCCCTCCTTCCATTCCAACTCTGCCTGCACGCCTTTCTTTTCATCCTTCATTGCCCTCAACTCACCCTCCTTCTGTTCTAATGCTGCTTGCAAGCCTTTCCTCTCCTCCTCAACTGCCCTCAAATTGCCCTCCTTCCAATCCAATTCTGCCTGCACACCCTTCCTCTCATCCTCCATTGCCCTCAGCTCTTCCTCCTTCTCTTCCAATGCTGCCAGCGCACCTTTTCTCTCCTCCTCAACTGCCATCAGCTCACCCTCCTTTTGTTTCAACACGGCCTGCAAACCATTCCTCTCCTCCTCTACAACCCTCAGCTCTCTCTCCTTTCGTTCCAATTCTGCCTGCAGGCCTTTCCTCTCATCCTCAACTGCCCTCAACTCGCCCTCCTTCCATTCCAATTCAGCCTGCACGCCTTTCCGCTCATCCTCCATTGCCCTCAGCTCTTCCTCCTTCTGTTTCAATGCTGCCAGCGCGCCCTTTCTCTCCTCCTCTACAACCCTCAGCTCTCTCTCCTTCAATTCCAATTCTGCCTGAAAGCCTTTCCTCTCATCCTCAACTGCCCTCAACTCGCCCTCCCTCTCCCCCAATGCTGTCTGCAAGCCCTTTCTCTCCTCCTCAACTGCCCTCAGCTCTCTCTCCTTCCACTCCAATTCTGCTTGCACGCCTTTCCTCTCATCCTCCATTGCTCTCAACTCACCCTCCCTCTCCCCCAGTGCCGTTCGCAGCTCCACTATCATCCGTGCACTCTCCCCGTTCGACTCCTCCAAAACCCCTTTCAACCGCTCCACCTCTCCTTCCAACCGCTCCACCTCACCTTTCAACCGCTCCAAATCATCCGTCAACCGCTTCACAGCCGCGTCTTTTTCCTCCATTCCGCTCACCAACCTCGCCACCTCGCCTTCCTTCCCCTTCACTTCGCCCCTCAACTCCACCATCACCGCTTCCAACTCCTCCAACTTCCCCTTCAGCCCCTCCAAATCCTCCTCCTTTTCTTTCAACTCCCTAATCAGACTCGCCACCTCTCTTTCTTTCTCCTTCACTTCACTCTGCATTCCCTTCAGAATCCCCTCCTTCTCCGTCAACTCTCCCTTCAGACCCACCACCACCCCTTCCAACTCCTTCAAAGATTCTTCCTTCTCCTTCATCTCTCCCCTCACACCCACCACCACCCCTTCCAACTCCTTCAAAGCCTCCTCCTTCTCCGTCAACTCTCCCCTCAACCCCACCACCGCCCCTTCTTTCTCCTCTACCTCCTTCTTCCACCCCACCATCACCTCCTCCCCTATCTCCCTCTCCTTCTCCAACACCCACACTCTCTCCCTCGCCTCCTCCCTCTCTCTCTTCACCCGCTCAACCTCCTCCCTCCCTCGCTCCACCTCCTCCCTTCCCTCCTCCACCTGCTTTTCCAACTCAACCACTCTCGCATGTAAAACATCTCCCTTCTCCTTCACCTCTGCTACCGCCTCCTGTGAAGCAACCTCCTTCATTTCCAACTCAACCACTCTCGCCTGCAAAATATCCCTTTTCTCCTTCAGTTCTGCTACTGTCGCCTGTGAAGCAACCTCCTGCCTTTCCAACTCAACCACTCTCGCCTGTAAGAAACCCTGCTGCTTCTCCACCTCTACTAATCTCGCCTGCAGAACACTCTCCCTGTTCTTCAGTTCAGCAATTCTCTCCCGTGAAACGACCTCCCCCTTCTCCAGCTCGCACACTCTCTCTTTCCTCTCCTCCAGTTCAAATTTCGTACTTCCCAGCTGGTATACCACCTCCTTCCTCTCCTCTTGCACAGACTGCACCCTTTCCTCCAGCTCAGAAACTCTCTTTTCCAACTGACATACCGCATCCTTCCTCTCCTGCAGCTCGCAAACCCTCTTCTCCAGCTCACACACTACCTGCTTCCGCTCCTCTTGCACAGACTGCACCCTTACCTCCATCTCAGAAACCCTCTTCTCCAGCTCACACACAGCTTCTTTCCTCTCCTCCAGTTCAAATTTCGTATTTCCCAGCTGATAAACCACCTCCTTCCTCTCCTCTTGCAGGAAATGTGCCCTCTCCTCCAACTCAGAAACTTGCTTCTCCAACTGACACACCCTCTCTTTCTTCTCCTGCACCTCACGCACCCTCTCCTCCAATTGCCCCACCACCTCCTTCCTCTCCTCTTGCATAGACAGCACCCTCTCTTCCAGCTCAGAAACTCTCTTCTCCAGCTCGCACACTCTCTCTTTCCTCTCCTTCACTTCAAATTTCGCATTTCCCAGCTGGTATACCACCTCCTTCCTCTCCTTTTGCACACACTGCACCCTCTCTTCCAGCTCAGAAACTTTCTTCTCCAGCTCGCACACTCTCTCTTTCCTCTCCTCCACTTCACACACGGCCTTCTTCAGCTGCTCTACCGTTTCCGCCCTCTCCCCTTCCACCTGCCGTACCCTGTCTTCAAGCATCTGCAACCGCTCATTCAGTCCCCTCACTCTCGTCTCCAGCTGACACACCATCTCTTTCTTCTCCTCCAGTTCACCAACCGTCTGCTCCAGCTGACCTACAGTCTCTTCCCTCTTCCCTTCCACCTGCCGTATCCTGTCTTCAAGCATCTGCAACCGCTCATTCAGTCCCCTCACTCTCGTCTCCAGCTGACACACCATCTCTTTCTTCTCCTCCAGTTCACCAACCGTCTTCTCCAGCTGACCTACAGTCTCTTCCCTCTTGCCTTCCATCTGCCGTATCCTGTCCTCAAGCATCTGCAACCGCTCATTCAGTCCTCTCACTGTCTTCTCCAGCTGCCCTGCCATTTCCTTCCTCTCCTTAAGGTCACAAACCGTGCTCTCCAGCTGTCCCACTGTCTCCTTCTTCTCCCTTTCCACCTGCACTACCCTCTCTTGCAGCAACTGCACCCTCTCCTCCAGCATCAGCCGCTTCTCCTTTTCCTCCCTCACCTCTGCCAGGCTTGCTTGCAGCTTTCCCTCCCTCTCCCTCTTCACACCTTGCAGTTCTTCCTTCAGTCGCTCTAAATCATCTTTCACTTCCTCCTTCTCCCTCCGCAACACCTCAATCTGCCCCTCCAATTCCTCCTTCTCGCCCTTCACGCCTTCCAATGCTCCTTTCAACCGTTCCAGTTCCCCATTCAACTCCTCCTTCTCCCTCTGCAATCCATCAATTTGCCTCTCCAATTCCTCTTTCGCCCTCTCCCATCCCTCCCTCTCTCCCTTCAATCCTTCCTTTTCCCTCTCTATCTCCTCCCTCTCTCTCTCCTTCCTCTCCATCTCCCTCTCCCTCTCCCTCACCAATCCCTCAAGCTCTCCGATCCTCCTCTCCCTCACACTAATCGCCTCCTCCATCTCTCTCTCCCTCTTCTCCCTCCTCCCAACCTCCTCCTCCAGCTCCCTCACCCTCCCTTCCCTCTTCCTTCCCTTCCTCTCAACCTCCTCCCTCTCCCCTTCCTTCGCCTCCACCTCCCCTCGCAACGCACTCACCTGCACTGACAACTCCTCCATCTCCCCCTCCACCTCCCTCACTCTCCCCTCAAGCCTCCTCACCTCCACCTCTCTCTCCCTCACTCGCTCCTCCCCGTCCCTCACTTGCTCTTCCAGCTGACCCATCCTCTCCGTTTCAGCCGCCTTGGCTGCGAGCTCTGCTCGTTTCGCAGCTAATCCAGCCTGCAGCACCGCAACCATATCCCCAAGCTCTCTCACTTCTTCCTCTAACCCTTTCACCGTTTCCTCTTTCTCTCCTCGCTGCTTCTCTAACTCACCAGCCTTCTCCCTAAGCTCAATAACTACTGCTTCCAGCCTTTGAATCGCCTCTTCCTTCGCTTTCATCTCTACCTCTCGTTCCGCCTCTCGCTCTGCCGCCTCTGCAGCTCGCCTCCTCTCCTCTTCCTCCCTCTCCTTCCTCTCCTCCTCCCTCTCCCTCTCTTTCACCTCATTCTCCTCTCTCCTCTCTGCTTCCATCCTCCTCCTTTCCTTCTCAAACTCAACCCTACCTTCCTCAATCCTCCCCCCCAGCTCCCTAACCCTCGCTTCCAACTCGCAAGCACGTACCTCCTTGTAGCGGATCTCTTCTTTTATCGAGGATATCCTCTCCTCTCGCTCCGCCAGTGCAGCTTCCAGCACTCCCACCTTCCCAGTCTCCTGAGTCAACGCAGTCAACAGAGCCACCTCACGCTGCTTCAGCCTTTCTACCTCCTCCTCCGCATCCACTCTCCTTCTCCTCTCCTCCTCCACCTCCTTTTCTACCTCCTCCTTCACTCTCTTCCACTCCTCCCCCTCTCTCACCCTCCCTTCCACCGCTTCCCTCCTCTCCTCCTCAACCCTCCTTACACTCTCCCTCACTCCCACCAACTCTGCTTCCAACTCCCTCACTCTCTCCCTCACTCCCTCTCTCTCCTCTTCCGCCTTCCTCCTCCCTTCCTCCTCCCCACCAAGCCTCTCCTTCAACTCTCTCACTTCAATTTCCACCTCCCTCTTCCTCTCACTCATCTCCAGTTTCGCCCTCTCCCTCTCCTCCACCCACTCTTTCCTCTCCCTCTCCACCTCCTCAACCGCACCCTTCCGCGCCGCTTTCAACCCCTCGATCTGCCCTTCCAGCTCCGCCAGCTGCTTTTCTTGCATCGCCTCAGCACCACTCCGCGCCTCTTTCAACCCCTCTATCTGCTCTTCCAGTGCCGCCAGCTGCTGTTCCAGGAGCGAGCGCTGCTGCCTCTCTGCGTGCAACCACTCTCTCACCTGCTGCACCTCTCGCTGCAACTCCTCCTCTCGCCTCCTCACATTCTCCTGCACCAGCAGCAGGTTGCTCATACCACTAGTGCCATTAGCCGCACCTCCCTCTTCCTCTCTCCCTTCCTCTCCTTCCCTATTAGCGGATCCCGCCTCTCTCTCCTCTCCTTCCGCCCCCTCCTCTTTCTCCCCCTCCTCCCCTTTCTCCTTCCCTTCCTCCCGCTTCTGCACTTCCCTCACAACCTCCTCCACTTCCCTCCTCCCCTTCTCAATCACCCTTCTCTCCTCCACAACTTCCTTCCTTGCTTCCTCTAAAACACCCACCACCGCCTCATTCCCACCCCTAATTTCCTCAAGTTCCTTTACCAACACGTTGATCTCTCCTCTTAACGCCCTCCCCTTCTCCCTCACCCTCTCCTCCTTCCTCTCCAGCAACCCCCGCGCCGTTTCCAGCTCCAATCTCAGCCGTCGGATAGTCCCCTTCGCGTCCGCTCTCATCTTCATCGCACGCCCATGCACGCGCTTCAAAAGCTCCACTTTCCGCGAAACTTCCACCCTCAGCTTCTCCAGCTCCCCGTCTTTCTCCTTCACAACCCCCCTCAACTCCTCTGCATCTCTCTCCACCGAGCAAATCTCCCTCAAAAGCTGATCCTCCCACTGGTTCTCCGCCTTAACCTGCAAAGCCAGCTCCGAAAATCCCACCTGCCGCTGAAACTCCCTCAAGGCCCGCTCTGCCTCTTCCCGCCGCGCCTCTGCTTCTTCTCGTTTCCTGGAAGCTTCCGCTCGTCGGGCTCGCTCGCGCGCCAGCATGCAGGACTGGTGGAGGGGAGGTCCTCCATGTAGCCTACCACGTCAGCGCTCGCCACGTCAGCAGTCGCCACGTCAGCAGAGACCACGTCAGAATTGGACACGTCAGCAGCGGGGGCGGCACGACCAGCGGCATGAGAAGCAGCAGCGGCAGCAGCAGCACCTGCATCACCACCAGCAGCACTCGCAGCCCTTTCCGCCCCATCCAATTCCTCACACTCCCCACCACTTCCTCCACCTCTTCCTCCTCCACCTCCGACGCGTTCCCCCTTCCGAGCCTCCATCCATTGCCAGAGCTTAGCCTCGGCAAGGCGCATGCCGGACCTGAGATCCTCCACCTCCTCCTCCACCTCCCTCCTCCTGCGCACCTCCTCCCCCACACTCCTCTCCATCTCCTCCCTCTCGCCCTCCAGTCGCCTCCTCTCCCCCTCTAACTCCAAGATCCGGGTTTCAAAAACCCTCCTCTCTTCGCCTTTCATTCTCACTGGCTCTTCAGGACTGGCATCGGCTCCCTTCCCCATTCCACTCCCTGTAGTGTCGTTCTCGTTCCTTTTCTCCGCTCCATTCTCCCCGCATTCCTTCTCGCTCTCCACTGCCGCTACAGCCGAGCCAACCCCAGGTGAGGCTACAGCCGGGAATGACAGGCCGTCAAGATTCACGACGACATGGCCGCTTTCTGGTATATTCCCCAACACAGCTGCACGCAATGCTGCAACCGACGGCTCCTGCGATGCTGCTACAACCGGGAACTCTGCAGGCTCAGCTGCCATCAAGGGTTCCTCCGGCGATGCTACAACCGAGCGATCCCCACGAGCCGTGTCCATCGGACGGTTCGGGTTTGCCTTGGTGAGGTAACAACCTACAGCCCCCGTGCCGGCTGCTGCCACTCCGTTTCACCCCACAGGCGACACGGGAAGTGGCGAGACGGGATGTAGATGGATTCCTGACGGAGTATAGACGCTAGACGACGAGGCGAGGAGAGGCAAGGCGAGAGGAGAGAAGAGCAGTTGGCAGTAACTCAGGCGGACGGTCTATAACTTATTTCTAAGGCTCCTGAGGGATAGGCTGGTATAACTTATTTCGAGGCATTAGGAGGACTCGTAGGCTCCTCGATCCGCCTCAACAAAACATGAAGCTCCTCAGAACAAGACAGCTGCTAGAACAGTGCAAGCGGGAGCTAGCATTAACATAAGCCGTGATCTGCTTCGGCGCGGGCGTTTTTTTCAGACTCCTCAAAGAGAATAGTGGGGGCTAAGCCAGCTGCCGGCAAACTGCGAGTAAAGGGTGGAAGTGAGCTGTGATTCGCTTAGGCGAGCGAGGGATAGAAAGAGGTGATTCGCTTACGCGAACGGAGATAGGCCTTCGTGTGTATATAACTTAGACGGGCTTGAAAACGGTTCAGACATGCTTGCGGCGACAGCTATTAAGGGCCATGATGTTCCAAGATTCAGTGCAAGAAAGCGGGTGGTTCGCGGAGAGAAGGCGTTGGAAGGGCTGTTGCTACTAGGTGACTTGTGAGTCGACTCAAGCGTCAGTGAAGGCGGCTTTCGCGGCGCCTCGAAGTCAAGATCTCGTGGTAGGAAGCAGCAGCTTGCGGAGAGAAGGCGTCGGAAGGGCTGGTGCTACTAGGTGGCTTGTGAGTCGACTCAAGCATCAGTGACGGCGGCAACAGTGCGGAAGCGGCAGCCGTGGCCGCGTTTCCGCGCTCAAACTTCGCCCGTTCCGCCACCCTACCTGGCAGAGGGGGGACGGGGGGAAGGCAGAAAGGGTGGATTTGAAAGAAACGGCTATCCCACTAAAGAGTTTCCGCGCTCTAGCTCCGCCCGTTCCGCCACCCCTACCAGGGGGGACAACGGGAGAGGCAGGATGGAATAATGTAACAACAACTGCCTTTTTCGTTACTTTCGACCATGAACTATTGCGGCGCGATAATAAGAGCGAGAGAGCGGCGAAAGGAGGGGAGAGTAGAGGACCGAGTTACGAGAGGAATGAGGCGATGGGGGAATGGGGGAGATGATTTGAGGACAATACCGTGGCGAACGATGGTGGGAATAGGTAAGTGAGAGGAGGGGAGAGTAGAGGACCGAGATACGAGAGGAATGAGGCGATGGGGCTTTGGGGGAGATGCTTTGAAGACAACACCGTGGCGAACGGTGGTGGGAAGGGATAAGCGGGAGGAAAATGGGAGAAGCGCGAGAGTAGAGCGAGAAAGAAAGGCGAAGTGAGAAAGACCAGAAAAACGCGAGAAGGATCGAGCAATGCCGATGAAAGCTGGGATGCTGGATGGGTGCACCTTCTAATCATGAAATATCGACGGCGGTTAACCTGGCATCTTGATCGTCAACAACATGTTCGCGGCCCTGGATCGACGGCGACCAAGGCGCTTGACCAGAAGCCGGTCTTTCTCACCCAATGGCTGACGGACACAAGCTACGTGGCACATAGGCATTGGGGAACGGAGGACTTGCTGTCGTGGGTTGGGTGGTTTCGTTCTGGAATCTGAATCTAGAAAATTGTACGGCTGTTGGCGGGATTACACGCGAGATAAGAGACGGGGAGACAGGGAAACGAGGATCTATGTACGTGCGGATCAAGCTAATCTCTTTGTGAACGTCTGTTCCTGCGGCAACCTGCTGTGGCGGGAGGTACGCTACGGAGCCATAGCTGAAACTTCCTCCTCGGCTTTGATCCCACACATTCCCAGCATTTGGTGCAGCACACAAATGCTGCTGCTGCTGCTGTGTCGATCAATGGCGTGAAATGGTCGCGCACAAGGGATGACGAGTTTTGCTCTCCCAGCATTTATTCGGCAACATCGAGACGAACACCAACCACATGCGAAGCAGGGGGGCTTTGGGGGGAAACCTGTGGCGAGGGAGCACCCGGCAAAACCGAGGTCAACAGGTGAATGGGGATGGGGGGATGGTGGTGAGGCGATGGTGATGGAATGGCGACGGCGGCGATCGCGATGGATGGAGGTTCAATTCATTGCCTCGTCCTGAGGTTTCGTAAGCATCATGCAATGGAACCCATCCACAAACCAGGGGAGGGGATGTTGACATGACGCATGGTATGACCAAAAGGTACGACAATGGATGCATGTGATCCATAAACAATGATCCATCCATGTCCAATGACCTTGGACCTTGGACTCGCGAAAATCTTCACCTCGGACCGAAGTCCTCCAGTCAACCAATCAGACGGGTGAAGCGACGCGAGCGCAGCGACAACAGCGCGTTTGGGCGCAGCGGCATTGGCCCAAATATTTTGGCCGGCGCCTCCGAAATCCGTGAACTGCTGCCCGGCTTCTCTTGACTTTTCAAGGCAGAATATAGGTCACATAGCATGACTGGATACGACTACACGTATTAACTTCATATGTAATTCCATATTTACATCACAATGATTCAACTGCTGGAGTAGTGGTTGGGCACCCCAACCCAACTCACCACATCGCAGCCAGCAGTGCTAACATGCTCACAAGGTGGATGAAGAACAATCATTACAAACAAAAAGGGATTTAGCATCAATACAGCAACATGGTACTCACACCCACCCATCGGGCACAGCCTATACCAGGCACATTGCAGCCCTAGTGGCTGCATCTCATGCCTGCCATTAGCACTCAGGAATAAAACTGAAACCTGTACACCACCCACTGCCGTTAAAACCAAAAGAAATGCACACCAAGATGCACACTAGCCCGCCTGATTGTTCACCGCTCCCAACTCCCCACCACCACGCTCCACATTCCCCGCACCACCAGCATCGGATATCGCTTGATGAAGAATGGTGGTTGCAGTGTCAGGTGACATCCACAGCGGCAGTGGCCCCTGCTGCTCCGACGGACGTCTACCAGCCACAGCGCCCGCCCCGCCCTGTTTGCTGCCCTGTGCGCCCCTGTATTCCCCAGCACCTGGACCATCAGCACCAGCACCACTGCCAACCGCACTGCCACCACTGACTCTGCCCTTGCCACAACCATTCCCGCCGCCACCACCACCCGCATCATCCCCACCAGCGGCTTCCCCCCTGCACTCTGCTTCCACAGCTGCAGCTGCAGCAATCAGTGCATGCGTCCCTTGGGCCAGACACCCCCCCTGCTGCTGCTGCTGCGGCTGCTGCTGCTGCTGCTGCTGCTGCTGTGCAGGCACTGGCACTGCCGGTTGGCCAGCCTGCTGGGTCTGAGCCGCGTCCAAACAGCTCGATTCCGCCACACTGGACGGCCGGCCCCCCATGGGCGGTGGCGGGCTCATCATTCCTGCATGGCTGCTGGGCGGCGGCAGTGGTGGCGAGCTCAGCATTCCTCCATGGCTGTTGGGCGGCGGCAGTGAGCTAAGCATGGCCAGATGGCTGCTGGACATTGGAGACAGCTTTTGAGTCGACTCAAAGGCATGGCTGCTGGATGGTGGAGACAGCATGAGGGACTGGCCTAGCAAGGATGGGGATAGGGGCGTGCTGCTGGAAGGTTTTTGCGAGTTGTCGAAAGATTGGCCGAGCAGAGATGGGGATAGAGACGTGGGGTTGGCGGGGTTGTGGGGGAGAAGGGCGTCGTCTGAAAAGGACGGTGGCTGGTCTGAGTCGTCGTCTGCTTGGAGCAGCGCTGACATCTCGCCCATCATTGGCTGAGAGGCTGACATCTCACCCATCATTGGCTGGGAGGCTGACATGTCGCCCATGATTGGCTGAGACGCTGACATGTCACCCACCATTGGCTGAGAGGCGGATGGTTCACCCAACATGCGCTTCTCCCCCCCCTCGCCCCACCAGCTCTTGTCATCCCTGCCTGCCCCTGCTTCCTCTGCCTGTGCCTCCGCAGTGCTGGCATGGTGTGCCTCGTACTTGGCTTCCACAGGCGAGCCGTCTGGAGGAAAAGAACAGGGAACACAAAAGAAGTTTTTTAACAAACATACAGAAACAGACTTGATGAAGCAAGTGACAAATGCTTTCTAGTAAGTCTGAAAAGGAAAACAAGAGTTATGAAAAAAAAAAAGAGCAGGAGGAGATGATTTCTCAGGCATGCATGCAATAGTGAGCGAGAGGAGGTGCAGCGCAGCGCAGCAGCACTGACCACACTTCTGGAGAGAACGGTACTGCAGACGCACGCTTTCACCCGAGTCCTGCACTCGCACGAGATACCTGCAGCAGTGGCATGGCATGGCACACATCAGGAGGGACAGACACGCCTGACGACTTGTACAGGTAGAACAAGCCTGGGATGCGGGCACGCACATACTTATAGGCACCTAAAAAAAAACCAAACGGCACAGAGACAGACAGATACTGAGAGAAGCACCCACCAGCCGTTGAGGCACTGAGAAGTGATCACAGCCTCTTTGCCAAAAAACTTCTCAGGTGTTCGCTTATTCCCCTGCACAGCACGACAAACCAAACCATGGAGAGGAGAGCCATAAGCAAGGCGTGTCGTGTGCAGCCCACTTCAGGTGAAAACATAAAAATAAACGACAATCGAGAAGTGTTACTGAATCTTACCTTTATCAGAACCTTTTCATTTACAGAAAACGGGAATTGGACGCCTTTCAGGCGACCACCACCTTCAGCATCGGGCGACCCGAGAAGGCCCGAATCCTCAGGCTGATCCAACACACAGAGCACACAGCACGACAAGGGGCAGAACCATATCAATAACGCGCCGAACACCAAAAGGGCTAACCATTGCTACAGAAAAGCATCGCTTCAAGCATGAGAACAAAGCGCAGGGAGAAAATGATACTGTTCTTTCGAAAGGAAGAAAAAAAGAGCGTAGGGAGGAAAAAGAGGGAGGTTAAGAGGGAGGTAAGGAGAGGAGAGGAGAGGTGCGGAGAGGAGAGGAGAGGAGAGGAGAGCAGGCATAACACCTTGGGGCGGCGCTTGACTGGTTGGAGCAGGTAATCATCCGGAGAGAAGTGGAGACGAGAGAGGAGAGAAGCAGTAATGAGAGGAGGGTAACGAATCGGAGAAGGGAAGGGGCACAGCACCTTGGGGCGGCGCTTGACTGGTTGAGGCAGGGAACCATCCGGCAACAGCTTGCCCTCCCCCGGGTGATCCTTGTCACGCTTCCTTTTGTGCACCTTTGCTCCTGCCCCAGCCCCGCCCCCTGTGTGGTGCGGCAGGCCCTTTCCAAAACATGATGCCACCGACCTCACAGCTGCAAACAGGTGCCACGGAACAGGTGAGGTGGGGAAATGGGAGAAATGTGATAGGAGGTGAGAGAACGTGAGAACAGGAGCGAATGTGAGAGGAGTGTGTGGTGTGGGTGGCCCTTGCCGAAACATGATGCCCCACGGACCTCACAGCTGCAAGCAGGCAGGTGCCATGGCACATGGTGGATACACACGGTGCACGATGGATACATGTGTTACCATACAGTGCACATACGATGTCGAAGCCACAACTCAGACTACATGTGTTTCCGCAATAGCCTTGATGCGAGAGCAAGAGAGGCACGAGCATAAGAGGCGAGAGCATGAGAGGCACGAAAAAAGAGAGGCGAAAGCATGGAATCAATGGGCTATGACGATGAGTAATTAAGAGAGTAGGCGCAGGAAGATGAGGACTAAAGAGAGGGGCAACGAGAGGAGGAGGGGGTTGCAAATGCAGGTGCAAATCAATTACCGAGGTTGGGAATGAGCGCCATGACGTCAACAGGAGCCATGCAGTATGGACACACCATCTGTGCACGAGGGGGAGAGATCAGCGGGATCAGTGGGATCAGCGGGACGCAGGGGATGCGAGGAGAAGTTTCAAAATTGGCTTAAAAGAATGTAGTATGTCCACAGGAGCCATGTAGTACGGACACACCATCTCTGCACACGCCAGGCATAGGAGGAGCAGCAGGCGTGGGACGTAAGTGTGTCAGTGCACCATAGCCACGACATTGTGACTTTAACTAGCACGGATATGACTAGCCAATCACAAACAGACACAAAGGAAGGAAGTCCTTCTCAAGTCCTGAACTCACGCATGCTTGTTAAAACCAGGACTTGTGCTTTGCGACTTCCCAAGTCCTGGTTTTAAGACGTCTCAGGACTCAATATTGAGAAGTCGCAAAGCACAAGCAGGCGTGAGTGAGGCAAGGCACACTGCTTACCGAGTCCATGACTCTCGCGAGTGTTGCTCCGCCGAACGAGTGCCCGCACTGAGCAACCATCGCATCCTCTAACAACGACCCCCTGTATGCAGCACACACAAGAGCAGTTCAAAACAAGACAAGACAGCAGCACACAACTCAGCACTTCATTGTAACACACTCTGCCATATGAGTGAGGAGAGACACTGCGCCATACACACTGCGCCACCATCGCATCCTCCAGCAACGGCACCCTGCAAAACACACAACAGCATGCAGTTCAGTGCGTCATTCCCTCACTATCTGCATCTCTCGAAACCTTTATCTATCTCCCTACATACCTCTCTACCTCCCTACATCTCCCTCTCCATTCCCCAAACTCATTCGCTCTTCCCCTCCCCGTCCCACGCCCGTCTTTAATCCATTGGAATCTCTCTTGCCCTTGTCCATCCCTCCCCCCCCTCATATTCTCTCCTGCTGCTTCCCTCCCTTGCGTCTCTCCCCGGGAACGTACGAGACAGGGTCGGAGACCATGGACGCAAGGGAAGACTTCTCCAGCTTGCATGAAACCGCCTGGTGACACACACGCACGAGCAATGAAACGGAACCTGATTTGATGCATGGCACACTTAAAGGATCTGATTGATTATACCCAGCATCTACGCAACGTTCCGGGCAAAGCGCGACACTGTCCAGCCAGCGCACGCTAGCCCATGCTCGCCCATGCTCGCCCATGCTCGCCCATGCTCGCCCATGCTCGCCCATGCTCGCCCATGCTAGCATATGCTCACCAGGCTGGATTCTCTGTCGCTGCTTCCCAGGTCGGCGGCGGACGCGGAGAGAGAGTCCATGAACGCCCCCGCGCACACGCTCTCGCGCATGGCAGCGGGCACGGCGTGGCCCGCATGCGCCAGCACGGCGCAGTCGATCACCGCGGATGGGCGCGGCATAAGGCGGAACGAGAGCGCGCACCTGCAGCAGGCGACGGCACGAATGGTTGGAATCAGAGACGGAGGGGAGGGGATGAACGACGGAGTCAATATGCGCGCGAGCGCGGAACAGTCGATCAGGGCGGAAGCGTTTTGAGGCGCCTCAAAAAACGACGGAGTCAATATGCGTGCGGGCGCGAAACAGTCGATCAGGGCGGAAGCGTTTTGAGGCGCCTCAAAAAACGACGGAGTCAATATGCGTGCGGGCGCGAAACAGTCGATCAGGGCGGAAGCGTTTTGAGGCGCCTCAAAAAACGACGGAGTCAATATGCGTGCGGGCGCGAAACAGTCGATCAGGGCGGCGGGGCGAGGCATGAGGCGGAATGAGAGCGCGCAGGATGCCGCTTCCGACGAAGCGGGCGGAGGCACAGATGCATAGGAAAAGCATAACAGAGAAACTCTTTCATATTGTTGATCGTATATATTGTATCATGCAAGTCACCTGGTGGTCCCTGAGGAGGCGGGCGGCAGCACGCGGTAGGTGGAGGCGGGGCAGAGGCCGGCCGTGGCACGATGGAGGCAACGGCCGGCCAGCAGCAGCAGGCTTCCCGGCGGCACGCCCTGATCCGCCGGCGACCAGACGCCCTCGGAATTGCACACCTGCGCGACAAACGGCGAGTGCTACATTTTACCAGACACCCTTGAAACTGCACATTTTGCCAAACTGAGCAATGCATGCCCTGAGCAACACGGCCAAAAGTCGAAAGCCTACGCTCAACAGGTCTGGAAAATTGGCTGAACCCTGCAGACTTAATGTTGTACACGGTACCTGGAGGCCTGGGAAATCGGCTGTGACGAGCATGAGAAGGCCCTTTTCAATTTCCGTGGCGTCTGGTGTCGTTCTGGCGGAACCGTCTTGAGGAGATTGGGTGCGCTGGCACGATGCGGCGAGCACGGAGGAGGACACCTCGCCGATCGGCAGCGGGCAGTCGTCGAGCAGACTCGAGAAGAAACTGCGGGGAAATGGAAGGAAAAAAAATTGGCAATTCATGAGGTTCTGATGAAAAACACGCACGAGGAAAAAAAAAAAAAAAAACCCCAACAACAACAAAATCGAACGGGCCAGGCGAAAGCATGAGAAACGCACTCGACGGCGAGAAGACGATACGACATTCTCGGAGCGGACTTTCACACGGCGACTTCTGAGTCGCCTCAACGACACAACTGTCTTAACGTGTCAGAAAACGTTTCGATGCGGGAATAGGAAGACGTACTCGCAGCGGACTTCAGACGTGTTTTGAGTCGACTCAAAAACGGGAATAGGAAGACGTACTCGCAGCGGGCTTCAGACGTGTTTTGAGTCGACTAAAAAACGGGAATAGGAAGACGTACTCGCAGCGGACTTTCAGATGGCGAGCGAGAGCCGACATGGCGGACCGCGAAACCTTCCCCAAGTACTTGAACGATTCCGCAAACCCCGGCGGGTATGAGTCGCTGATTGCTTCGTTCAACGACCTGCCGGCCTTGTAAAAGTACAAGTCCTTGGAAGGTGCCTGGAAGTATCCGCCGCCGTCATTCCACGCAGGCTGTTCCGGGAATGACGGCGAAGCCGACGACGACGACGGATCTGCGCGTCGCCGAAAGTAAAGCCGCGCGGATTCCAACGTCCTACACAACGACGCGGCATCGTGTCGCGCGGGTTCCAAAATCACCGCTCCGTTCTGTGCGAGCGAGAGATACAACGTCTCGGCAGCGCGGATGAACGACGACGACGGCGGACCGTCTTCTAATAAAAGATCGTCTACGCATATCCTCGGAACGGCACGCGGCTGCGCCGCGAATGCGGCGGCCTGAAATGTTTCAGCAGGCGGTGGTCCTGCGGCATTAGCCTGAGCTCTAACTTGCGAAGTCCGGCCATGAGAGCTACGTTTCCTTGCACTCTTGGGCTGGCATTGCTTGATCACCATTTGCTTGGCAGGAGGCGGTAATATGGCTAGAGGATCATCATGGACTGCGGACGAGATTGGGGGATGTTGCTGAGTGACGGAAGGGATGGCGGAAGCCATGAGGGTGGATGGGGGAGGGGAGCGAAGGAGGGATGATGGATGGCCTACAGAACGGAACAGATGCTGCTGCTATGCTGCTTGACGAAACCCTAATGGATGAAAATGATCATGGAATGGGATGATGGATGATTGAACAATGAAACCATGGATGTGGAATAAGCGGGAAGAGACGGAAAAGCGGGGAAACGCGAAACAGAGGGCGCACTGCAGCAGTGAAGCGAAGGAAGTAGGCGACGCTGAAAACGAGGGGTTCCCACCAAAGCAGCAGTTGGAGATGCCGGTTCTCCGTTTGCGAGGAGCTGTAACCAGCAGAGACTCGTTTCGCGATACTGGCTCGGCACAGAACTCGTCAGCCAAAAGCTACACGAGGCGTCTGAAAGAGAGGCTCGGCACTCGAGAAACTTGTGGCGAAACCGAGGAGGTCCCGGGATCGCGGTTCTGTGGTGAAGGTCGCGCTAGTGCAGCCTTCCCCCCTGACCACCACGATGACAAACTCGTGGACGACATGCATCACACCACCACAGTAGCCTCTCACGAATTTCGCAATAGAGACCTGTTGGGGATAAATTGTTTGTAACAGGCTTTTTGATCAGTAGAGCGGATGGATGGATACCTATCAATTTTAATGGCAGGTTGTAGATTAGTAAAAAAACACAAAGTAAAACAAGCAGAAGCTCCAGCACCCAAGTCTCAATGAGAGCTCACAAAAACAGCTGCCAATCCAAGCTGCGTGAACCAGATCAGACCCACACAAGAGAACCCCAATCAGTTGGCACACACTGACTACAACATACCAATAGACTGTTCAAAAGCAAGGCACTTGCAGGTCAGTCAATCAGTCAGTCAGTTGGTCAGTCAGTCATTAGACATAAACTAGACTACACATTAGATGACATTAGATGGTTAGAAGCTGAGAAATCCCCTGCAGTTAACCACCACTATGTCCTGAATTGTTAGCACCATCCGAGATTGCCTGATGGAGCAGCGACGTAGCTGTTATTGGTGACATCCAGAGTGGGAGAGGGCCAGATTGCTCTGATCTTTGCCTGTTGGCCAAATCCGGAGTAGCAAAATCACCCTCCCGCCTGTTGCCCACAACCATTTCCATATTCTGCTCTTCACGAGAAGCAAGCACAGGCTGGTTGGCGCGAGGAGGCAAAGGCTGGTTACCACCGGACACACGGTCATCCCCAGACACCTCTCTTGATTCCTCTTCCATGGCTGCTGCTGCAGCAATCAATGCTTGAGTCTGCTTGGCAAGGCTTGATCCATGAGCTCCCAGGTATGCTTGGGAGTCACGTGGTGCTGCCATATCCGCAGCATTGCTCACAGCAAGATGGCTGGGTGTTGAAGAAATGGGCGGTTGTTCAAGACGAGCAGCGGGTGCAGGCTCATCAGGACTGGGTCGTTGTGGGGCAGATTCGTCCAGTAGTGCTAGCGAAATCGGTCGGCTAAATTTGTCCTCTTTCTCGTCTTCTTGCAGCAGGGCCGACATTTCTCCAACACCAGGCTTCGACTCCCACCACCTTGCTGTGGAGTCTGCTCCGTGCTTCCTTTCCATCTGAGCATCTGGACTGCTAGAGAGACGAGTGTCGCCAGTCTCCAGAGGTGTTCCATCTGTCCAAAATAAAATAAAATAAAATAAAATAAAATAAAAAACAAATATTTTTAAGGTGTCCGGAAAACAACAAAATACAACACAATTTTAATAATGAATACAAACTGTGTGACATATCAAAGATGGAACTCACCACTTTTCTGAAGAGAGCGGTATTGCAGGCGAACACTTTCCCCAGTGTCAAGCATGCGAACCAAGTACCTGCAAACCCAGCGCAAGCTAAATCAGTAACACACGTGACAAAAATTTGTGCGGTGCAGGAAGAAAACAAATAACATACCAGCCGTTCAAGCACTGAGATGTAATTATTGCCTCCCTGCCAAAAAACTTCTCAGGAGTGCGCTTGTTTCCCTGCAACACTTACGTAGTTGTTAGTAGCCAGACATATTTAAATATCAAGAAGAATGAATCCCATACCAATGCTTACCTTGATCAAAACTTTGTCATTCACAGAAAATGGAAACTGTACTCCTCCTTTTGGACGACCAAACGCATCTCCTTCAAACGAGCCAGCAAGCATTCCATCTTCAGTCTGCTCATGGAACGCATCCAAGTTCAGCATTAATTACCTCAATCTCATATTATTTCATTTTAAAAAAGAATGGAATTTGAACGCTCAAGACTCAAACCACAGATGCATCACCTTGGTTCTGCGTTTGACAGCTTCAGACGGGTCTTTCCCGTCTCCGAACTCCTTCACCCGTTTTCTCTTCGGGACCTTAACACCAGCTCTATGTGACAAACCAGGGCGGAAGCAGGACGCCACTGACCTCATGGCTGCAACACAAGCATACAAGATAAATTAATCTTCGCTGCTTTGAAAACATGTTGAATATCCTCAACACAGAAAGCGAGGGATGTGGATGGGTGGGTCGAGGAAGCAAGGCAGCTTACCTAGGTTGGGAATTAGAGTCATGATGTCTACCGAGGCCATGCAGTAAGGACAGAGCATCTGCACATTGATCCGAATTTGTGAAACAATTTAGAGTTTTTTTTTTTTTTTTTTTTTAAGCGCGTGCATGAGGAACGCCCATGAAAATATATGAAGGATAGAACGTTATAACGAAAATCTGACAACGCCTAAGCCTCTTACAGAGTCAATGACCCTAGAGAGCGTCGCTCCACCAAAGGAATGGCCACACGGAGCGATCATTGCATCCTCAAGAAGAGACCCTCTGCAAAAACAGAAACAAAATGTTTAGGGTATGCCTGTGGGACAAAGCCAACATGAAACTGAAAATGATGCTTGTAAGATACAACCCGCACACTTACGAGGCAGGATCTACAACCATTGAAGAAAGAGAAGTCTTTTCCAGCTTGCACGCAACAGCCTGTATATCCAAAGAAAAAACGCGAACGTTAGCAGAGTGACACAAAAATAGAAAGGCAATGCAATATATAAACGCAAGAGACGCACCATGCTCGACTCCTTCGAATCGCTCGCAGCATCGTGAGCAAACGAGCTTAACGAATCGAGGAACGGGCCAGCGTGAACGACGGCTCGCATGCTTGAGGGGACTGCGTGACCCGCGTGAATTAGCGGAGAGCAGTCAATCGGCGCTGCAGGGCGCGGCATCAGGCGGAACGACAACGAACACCTGCGAAAATGTAACAAAACGCCTTGCAATAAGCCACAACATACAGAATAACCTTCGAAATAAAATTAAAAACAAAACATATAAAAACATAAAAAAAAAATGAAATGAAATGTCAATTCGAATCTAACCTGGTGGCTCCCGCGGAGGCGGGCTGCAGCACGCGGTAGGTGGAGGCGGGGCAAAGGCCGGCCGTGGCGCGATGGAGGCAACGGCCGGCCAGCAGCAGCAGGCTTCCCGGCGGCACGCCCTGGTCCGCCGGCGACCAAACGCCCTCGGAATTGCACACCTGCGCGACAAACGGCGAGTGTTACATGTTACCACTCTCCAATAACGGAATAGCAACGAAAATCAAAGCTAATCAAACAGACGAGTTACCTGAAGGCCCGGGAAATCAGCAGTCACGAGCATCAAAAGGCCCTTCTCCGTCTCCGATGCCTCGGACACGCTTCCAGCTGCGTCGTCAGGTTTGAAATAGTCACTCCTTTGACAGGTCGCGGCTAACACGGACGACGAAACCTCGCCGACCGGCAACGGGCAGTCGTCGAGCAACGCTGAAAAGAAACTGCAACAACGCCGAAGGAAAAAATAAAAAACATAACAAAAACACGAAACAAAACAAACAAACAAACAAACAAACAAACAAACAAACACGCTAGTATTAGCGGGTTGAAGACACGGGACGAAGAAAACGTAAGGTGCAGTGTACGAATGACTTACTCGCCGCGAAGCTTCAGGTGCCGAGCAATGGCGGACATCGCAAGCCGTGACACGCGTCCAGTGTACTTGAAAGCTTCAGGAAAACCAGGAGGACAAAAATCGTCGAGCCCCTCGCTCATCGACCTGCCAAACACACAATAAGAAACAAAAATGAACGGTGAAAACAGGTGAGTGTAAACCAGTATCTTAGTGCTATAGTCTGCACTATAAAAGTAACTTAAAAAATGCATGACGAATGAAAGGCAGTTTTATGTTCCACACCTTCCAGCCTTGTAGAAGTACAGGTCCTTGGACGGAGCGGTGAAATAACCGCCACGGTCGCTCCATTCCGACGGTTTCAGGGCCGACGACTCGGACTCGGCTCTTTTACGAAAGTAGAGACGCGTCGACTCTAACGCTCTACACAAAAGCGCTACATCCTCGCGTGCCGGCTCAATAACCACCGCGCCGTGACGAGCTAAGGAAAGGTATAACGTCTCGGCGGCTTTGGTGTAGGACGATGTGGGTGGGCCATCTTCCAACAATAAGTCGGTTGCGGATATCCTGGGAATGCCGCGAGGCGTCACGCTCGGTTTCGGGAGATTAGGCGGAGAAACTAATTTACGGACGGTGCTTGTTTGACTGCGTGCTTGCGTGGAACGAGCTAAGGCGCCATGCTTTTTGCTAGACTTGGTTTCTGTAAGCGGTTCGGAACGATAGGAAACTACTTGCTTGACGAGGTAAGGGGAGGGGCTGGGCTCGTGGGGAGTGGATGTTCGGGGATGCTCTAGGGGAGGAAAAACAGCCGCCATAGGGGATGGTGGGGAGGAGAAACGGGGAAGAGGGAAGGGGAGGAGGGAAGGGAAGCGGAAAGGAGAGAAGCTCAAGAAGACGGAAAACGTGGCATGGTAATGGCAAAACTGAGGAAAGGCAGCACGATGAGGGTTTTCTACATCTTCGCATGGCAGACTTGCTCACAGAGTCCGTTTGCGATGACTGTAACCAGCGCAGAAAGCCGTCGCCCTGCTGGTTCGGTCGGCTGGGCAGTCAGAATATCGCCCGCCGGGCCTGGCACTCAGCTTGGGTGAAGATGCCGTGGGTTCGCCATTTTTGGCGCAAAACAGCTTGCGTGTTGCGTCATCGAGGGGCAAGAGGAAGATTTTGGCGCGAGATACGTGTGGTTGTGGTGACAGTGTGCAGAGAGCAAGACCCTTTTCGTGACGAATGCCACCGAACCATGGGGCCATCAAGTCGAATCGAACCGAATGGTTGTTGTCTTTGTCAGAAGCTGGACCATGGCTGCACTCTGCACTCCGAGTCTGCCATTCTGCTTCGGAAACCCCAGAGGACTCGGAAGTTTTGGCGCAAGAGGGTGGCAGGAGCTAGGGTTTCATCACAATGACGGTGTTCGGCAGCTGGGGAGGGATGATAGTGAGGGCGATATGGATGGGAGGCAAGGAGGGAAGGAGGGGTCACCCACACAGGACTTGCGCGCACAAGGTGATTGGTTGGGCCCCATGGCTTGGATGGGGTTGGTGCAGTTTGATGGCAAAGGCTCCTTGCAGATGGCGGCGTGCACGCTGGCGTGAAGCTGACGGGGATACTGTATTGGCAAGTTCCTTTCCGTGATTTCAGGTGGATTCACATGCTGATTGGACATGCACTGTGTGAACCAGAACTTATGTTGAGAATGATTCGTTGCAGATTTCAGACACCAGCATTAGCAATAAACACGTTTATCCAAATCATATTATTTCGGCTCTAATTCTCGTTTCAACACAAGGGTTGAGGGTAAAATTGCTCCAATTGCTGATGCCTACCAATAATGCAACGAAAAATCTCGTTCTTTGTGATAGCAGCATGCTTGACTGATCAGTTCAACAGGGAACAAGTTCGCCAGGCATAAATGCATTACACGATGACGATCGGTGTATTAGGGGCTAGTGGTGCATGTGGGAATGTCGAACCACATAAGGCAGGTCATTGTGACTTCGGCGTGGAGAAGGCAGCAGCCATAGAAACCGACACATACACAACCATGAGATGCAGCAGAGCTCCTGCAACAGCCAGGACGACGTCCACCCACATAAAAAAATCCCGGCTTTAGGGGAGAATTTTACAATAAATATTTTCCAAACTGCCAACATTACGACAAATGTAAGCTCTGCTGGTTACATACCTGCCATGTCGATGGCAATGCTGGCTGTTGTTACAGCAGTCCAAAGCTGCTCCAGATTAACTGCTCCCTCCACACTATTACTGCTACTACTCTTCCTCACAGTCATCCATTTTTCCTGTTCATGTATTATAATGGACACGCGATTAGTGGGTGACACTTGGGACAACTCAAAAGTAAACTGAGGGGTGTTTTTCTGCTCAATTATGAGAAATTTTGTGTGCTATTGTGCTGATTAGAAAGCCCCCTACAGTACATCACTGTTCAGTTTCCCTGTCCAAGGATGGTTGGCCGGGCAAACACAAAGTAGGGGGGTTGTAAGTTGGCTTCTGGGGTGTGTTGGGGTGTAGCCAAAAGAACAAGGTGGAGTGTACTGGGTAGACAAGGAAGAGAGGTAGTGCGTAACGGGTAGAAGGAAGGAAGAGACATAGCATATCGGGTAAACAAGAGGGTAGAGGCATAGAATATCGAGTAGACAAGAGGGTAGAGACGGAGCGTACCGGGTAGACAAGAGGGCCAGTGAGGAGGGGTAAGAGCGCTGCAATGCAGGCCATGAGGGAGAGCGTGGCATACAGCTTGAGCACTCGTGCCCGCGATGTGCCGGATGCTGGATGGGATGGGACGTGCGAGGGATGGGGCGGAGATGGGGCGAGGGGACAGTTATGATTGAGAGGAGTTGAAGAGAGCAGCAAGGCAGGGCACGAGGGGGAGTGGTGATACCGCAGAGTGTTTTTGAGAAGTATCAAAAACACCCTGCAGCACCGTGATGCCCATACCTAGAATCCCTGTTAGAGCTGCAGCTGCTCCCAGTGCCGCTGCTAGTGTCTCCTTCACATCCACCTGCAGTGCCACTGCTGCCGTGCGCTGCTTGTGGTGTTGACACATGTACCTAGATTTCCCGTGCCATGACATGCCTACCTAGGTTACCCGTAAGTGCCGCAGCTGCTCCCAGTGCCGCTGCTAGCGACTCTTTCACATCCACCTGCAGCGCCACTGCTCGCCCACCCGTGTTCCCCTGCAGTCGAGCTGTGATGAGCGGGCGGGCCATGAGCGAGGCTGCTATGAGGACTCGCAGGAAGGAGTAGAGCGACTGGCGGTTGGGAGGAGGGAAGGAAAGGGGTGGGGAAAGCCGTGGAGGCGTGCTGTAATGAGCGGACGAGCCATGAGCGAGGCTGCTATAAGGACTCGCAGAAAAGAGTAGAGTGACTGGTGGGGTTGAGGGGGGAGGGAAGGAAAGGGGATGTGGAAAGCCATGGAGGCGTGCTGTGGTGAGTGGGCGAGCTATAAGCGCTGCTGCTATGAGGACCCGCAGGAAGGAGTAGAGCGACTGGTGGTGGTGGGTGAAAGGAGGAATGGGGAAGGGTGGGGCTTCTCGGAATGAGAGAGAAGTTGTCATGAGGAGTGGCATAAAAGAGTAGAGCGACAGGGAGATGGAGGGGAGGGAAGGGATGGGTAAGGTGGATGGAAGGAATGCCTTGTTGCTTGGTGATATCTTTGGATGCGCACAGCTCTATGGTAGGTGTCTTCGAACCCCATAGTCGCCTGAAACTGTCTGAGTCGCATAAATATTTTCCATGTTGTTAGAACCCTCAATGTTAGGCTGGGGTAGAATTGGGTCTTGAGATGTGTCAGATCAGAATTCGCGTCGAAGACATCGAGATGTCGCAGATTGACCCTCACCTGCAATGTCGTCAGTAGTCTCAATCTGCGACGGCCCTCAGCTGCCTTCTTGTATCCTGCACCACACCGCACCGCACAGAACAGCACAGCACAGCGCAACACAGCTCAGAGAACATCCAAGAGGCGAGAAGCGACGACGCAACCGGCAAGGCGGCGACACGCGAGGAGCGTGAGGATCATTCCGAAGGAGCGAGAAGATCAGAAGGTCACTATTGTTTTTGAGACGTCTCAAAAACAACCACATTACAAGCGAGGAGCGTGAGGATCATTCCGATCCGAAGGAGCGAGAAGATCAGAAAGGTCACTATTGTCTCATCGCACTGGGCATAACTCATCAGTCTCATAACTCACTATTGTCACGAACTCACTATTGTCAACGGACATGCGGTACTGAAAGTCGAAGCCTTCATTCTCTCGCTTCACCCCGCCGAATCTGCCTCTCGCCGCCATGCCTGCAGCGCACGACTTGTTCGGGTCTGGCGATTTTCGTGCGAACTGAAAACGTTTCGATGGAGAATGTTTCTTTTCCACAAATCCCAGGGATACTCAGTGGACTCAGCCGTCGCTGCTTCGAAACGAGGTGAGGTGACGATCGCTTCGCATCGACTCAAAAGTCACCTCGGCTCTCCGCAAAATCTCGACCAACAGCGCTGTCACCGGACTGCACCGATGCGTTTAGTGGCTAGCGTGAACAATCGGGCCAAGAGCAAACCGCGCGTCCTAACTAAAACCACGCGGCCTACGTGCCACTGGCCAAGAGAAAACCGCGTGACCAGAATTCTGAATCGCAGAGCACAAACTCGATTGTGGGTGGGAGATCTGGCGCGGATCTTGAACGCGTTATTGTGAGTTCTTTTTTTTCCGTCAGTCGGTTTTTTGAGTCGGCAACCAACCATTCAAATTTAAAAGGTGCTTAGTTCAAACCCCTTATAGCACAATGCAATCCCCTCATGACCCCTTACTCATGCATGCCATCGGGCGTGTATTTTTTCCGTCGTACGTGCCAAGCCTTGATGCATGTATAATTGTCACAATTGTACAAGTATCATCGTCTTTGACCTACCATTTTGTCCCAATCAACATCCCGCACATCCGTGGTCTCATCAGCAACACTCCTATCCCCACCAGAGACCTTATCCTCGTTTGTGGCAACTTCAGCTTCCTTGGCTGAATGACTATCACCATTTGTTAACGTAACCAAACCACGGTTTGTAACATCTGTTACCACACCAGCAGTGGGCGGCGATGGCGGTACGTCTACTGGACACAAGCAATCCGGAGCAGGATACGTGTAAATGGATTGCCCAGCACGCCTTAGCTTGATCTTGCCCATCCGCGACCGATGCCCGATCCGCACGGCACGAACAAACTCGTTCCAGTTGAGGGTGTTTGGAGGAGCCGCAAGCAGCGTCGCCAAGAGTGTACCGTTGAAGTTTATTGTCTTTAATCCGCCGAAGTACGCACGGTGTGCAGCCTGGAAGGTGAAGCGCATTGGAAAGCACAAACCCACACAGAAGAGGAGGATGTCTGAAAACCAGTGGTGATTCTGTAGTGATGACAGTGGCAAGCTTACCATCACATTGTGCATGTTTCACCATGGCATGCTCAGCTCACCATGACGTTGTGCACGTTGCCGAGGGAAGCAAACACAAACACGTCGCTGTAGCGGCGGCTCACATAGATGTCCAATGCTGCCAGCAATGATGCCTTCTTGCTTGCCCATCCTTTCCCCCCCCCCACCTTCCCATCAAGGTAGCCTAAGGGCCTCACCATGACGTTGTGCATGTTGCCCAGAGACGCGGACGCGAACACATCACTGTAGCGGCTGACATAGAAGTCCAGTGCTGCCAGCAGCGACGACGCCTTCCCTTGCTTACCCTTCCTCTCCCCCCCCACCCTCCCATCAAGGTAAGCCTAAGTGCCTCACCATGACGTTGTGCATGTTGCCGAGGGAAGCCGACACGAACACATCACTGTAGCGGCTCACATAGAAGTCCAGTGCTGCCAGCAGCGACGCCTTCCCCAAAAACGGTCTCAGCTCCTCCTCCGTGGCCAGGCTCGTCTTGTCCTCCAGCCAGGGGAACAATCTCCGCAGAGGAGCGATTCTTTTCTCCCCTCCATACACCTGCAGTGGACACGAGGAGGCAGTAGTGACATACAGTGTTGGGGACCCTCATCTCCTCCGTGGCCAGGCTCGTCTTGTCCTCCAGCCACGGGAACAATCTCATAAGGGAAGCGATTCGCTTCTCTCCTCCGTAGACCTGCAGGGGAGGAACAGAGGTGTTATCAGGTGTTGGGGGGTGTCAACTCCTCCTCTGTGGCCAGGCTCGTCTTGTTCTCCAGCCACGGAAACAATCTTCTCAGGGGGGCAATGCGCTTCTCTCCCCCTTAGACCTGCAGCAGACGAGGAAACAAGGGTAATATCATATCAGGTGTTGGGGGCCCGCAGCTACACACCCATCCGAGGACGCGCTACACACCCTTAGTCCACACTCACACTCCCTCTCACCTTGTAGGTGGCCACGTATAGCCTCGTTTTCGAGGTGACTTTTGAGTCGACTCAAACGAGGTGACTTTTGAGTCGACTCAAAACGAGGTGACTTTTGAGTCGACTCAAAAGTCACGTAAAGCCTCGTTTTCGTCGAGAAGCCCAGAGCGGCCAAGACAAGTACCACCTCCTCGGGAGTGAGTGGACACTTGCCCGCCAGACGCAGCTCATCGGAGGAGAAGCGCAGCTTGTCGATACGGCTGCGGGCATACCCCTTGCACACTCACACACACCTGATACGTCGCCACATAAAGCCTCGTTTTCGCCGAGAAGCCGAGAGCGGCCAAAACAAGTCCCACTTCTTCTGGTGTGAGAGGGCACTTGCCCGCCAGGCGCAGCTCGTCTGAAGAGAAGCGCAGCTTGTCCACTCGGCCCAGCCATGCGTACTCGCGGTACTTTGAGAGTGCCTCTCGCTCTGCCCAGGTTTCGCCATAGTCACACGCTGAGTGAGCCACCATGTCCTGTATTGTCACACATGTGGGCCAGGGGGAGGGGGTAGATGTTGACAAATTAGCCACTTGAAGAGTAATAGGTTCGGAGCGGTGTGCGTGGATGTGTGAGAAGCGCAGCTTGTCCACTCGGCCCAGCCATGCGTACTCGCAGTACTTCGAGAGGGCCTCTCGCTCCGCCCATGTCTCACCATAGTCACACGCTCAGTGAGCCACCATGTCCTGTATTGTCACATTTTCCAATGAGAGAGGGGGGATGGAGGGTGAGATTCAGGTGGAAGGGTGAGGGGGTGAGTGGTTGGATGGGAGGGCCTCTCGCTCTGCCCATGTCTCGCCATAGTCACACGCCGAATGAGCCACCATGTCCTAAGGAGGGGAGGTGAGGGATGGGTAAAGGATGGTTGCGGTTGGAGGGGGTTGGGTTAGTGGTAAAGATGGAATATAGGCGGAGAGGTTTGCGCAGTGATGTTGAATCTAAGGTGCCTCCCATCCTCACCATGTCAAACCTCAGGTGCCTCCCATCCTCACCATGTCAAACCTCAGGTGCCTCCCATCCTCACCATGTTGAATCTCAGGTGTTTCCCATCCTCACCATGTCAAAGCCCAGGTGCCTCCCATCCTCACCATGTCAAACCTCAGGTGCATGGCGACATATTTCTTCCTCTTCCCCTCCTTGCGCCCCCACCCCGCTCTCTTATCCAGCAGCGGCCGACCACTCAACAAACGACTGCTGCCCGCATCACCCTCCTTCCTGCTGCCACTGCTACCACTGCCGCTGTGTATCCCGCCTGCACTGCCTTCCCCATCACCCCTGTCCTCCCCTTCGTCACTCTCTTCTATCTGTGACAAGCCATCCACGGGAACCCACTGTGCATCCAGCACCTCTCCCACCTCCACCTTCCTCTCTCCACTGCTGTTCCCCGCACTGCCGTTCCCAGTAGTCACACTCCCTGCACTCGCGTTTCCTGCTCGCCCCCCTCTCCCTGCTCGTAATGTCTGTCTCACTCTCTCCCTCGCCGCCTCGTCAATCACCCCATCCTCGCTCCAAAACGCGCCCTCACTCCCTTCCTCCGAGTCCTCCTCTCCAATCCTACCCACCCCCGCCCCACCTCCTTTTCCTCCTCCTTTTCTGCCTCCTCCCTTCGCAACACTTTCTCTGTCCCCCACTCCTCCCCGATTCTCCTGCAGCAACCTCCTCTTGCCTCCCCCCTCCGCCTCCCCTTCTCCTTCTCCCTCTCCCTCTCCCTCTCCCTCTTCCTCATCCTCCTCCACTGCTTCGATACCACCCTTGCCACCAGTATCAGCAGCACCAGCACCAGCAGCACCAGCACCAGCACCAGCACCAGCAGCAGCACCAACACCATCACCATCATCATCACCAGCATCATCACCATCACCACTTGCACCAGCCAATACCCCAGACAGGCCTTTTCCTTCTCTTATCACCTTCACCCCAGCAGCAGCTGTCCCATCACCTCCACCCAAACCCTCCTCCTCCCCTCCTCCCTTCAGCCCTCCTCCTCCAGCAAGACCCTCTGGAGAGATTTCCTCCATCTCATCTTTTCCTTCACTCACAACCTTCGCCCTGTCTCCACCCTCTCTTGAACCAGCACCCGCCCTCTCCGCTGCTTTCTTCGCTGCTCCCTCTGCTGCTTTCTCTGATTCCTCATCTGCTTCTTTCCCCGCTGCTTTCTCTCCACCTGTCCCAGCATCAGCACCAGCACCAGCCTCCTCCTGCAACTTCCCCACCATCTCAGCTATTTTCTCTGCTGCTACCTCAGCCGCTTTCTCTGATTCATCCTCTGCTTCTTTCTCCGCTGCTTTCTCTCCTTCCAATGCCCCGTCCCCACTCCCTCCCACCTTCCCCTTGCCGCCATAGCTCGACACATCGCCTCCCTTCCCAAACAGCACGCCTCGCTTCACATGCCGCCTGTTGGGATCCCTCAGTCGCTCCACCAGAATCCTCCTGGGAGAACGGGAAAAACGGGAGGAGTGAGAAAGATAGGATGAGCACGAAGGAAAAGAAGGGCTCTACGTTTTTGAGGTGCTTCACATGCCGCCTGTTGGGGTCCCTCAGTCGTTCCACTAGGATCTTCCTGGGAGGAGTCAATAAACGGAAAATGAGTGGGGGTGACAGTCAGAGATGTTTTGAGACGTCTCAAAACACGTGAGTGGGGGTGATAGTGAGAGACACGAAAAAAAGGGTGATAGTTGGACATTAGCGCCCCCAGTACATTGAGCTTCACATGCCGTCTGTTGTGGTCCCTCAGTCGTTCCACTAAAATCTTCCTGGGGCCATAAAAAAAAAAGTTGAGGGGGCAGGACAAAAGAAGAGTGTGTGAGAGAGCAACAAATGGTCGTACGTTTGAGCTTCCTCCACTCACCCGAGCCTCCTCCACTCACCCGAGCCTCTCCACTCACCCGAGCCTCCTCCACTCACCCGAGCCTCCTCCACTCACCCGAGCCTCTCCACTCACCCGAGCCTCCTCCACTCACCCGAGCCTCCTCCACTCACCCGAGCCTCTCCACTCACCCGAGCCTCCTCCACTCACCCGAGCCTCCTCCACTCACCCGAGCCTCCTCCACTCACCTGAGCCTCCTCAACTCACCCAAACCTTCTCCACTCACCCAAGCCTCCTCCACTCAGCCGAGCCTCAATCACTCACCCGAGCCTCCGGACGGGTTCCACGAATCACAGTGCACGGAAATTGACAAGCAGCGCAGGCGCTGCACGTCTGCGCTAAACATCTGGTCACCCTTACAACTGTTTTTTACCCGAGCCTACACTCACCCGAGCCTCCTGACAGGCTCCACGAATCGCAGCGCGTGGAAGTTGACGCGGCAGCGCAGGCGCTGCACGTCTGGCAGCAAGCCATCAAAAGCGAGACGGTGGGTGAAGGGCGCTATTGCCACGACGCCGTGGCTGGTGGTGGGAGGGAAGAGCATGGGGGGGTAGAAAGGGGGAGAAAGGGGCGCAGGCGCTGCACGTCTGGAGGCGTGCCGTCAAAAACGAGGTGGTGGGTGAAAGGCGCTATTGCCACCACGCCATGGCTGATGGTGGGAGAGGTGGGGGGGAAGGGAAGAGGGGAAGAATAAGGGAAGGAGGGGAAAGGAGGGGGAGGAAGGGGAAGGGGTTGTATGAGACATCCCATCAAAGGCGAAGCAGTGTATGAAGGGTGCTAGCACTACCACGCCGTCACTGATGGTGGGAGTGGGGAGGGAGGCTAGTTGGAGGGCGAGAAGAGAACGTCAACCAGGTAAGAGACAAAACCTTATTCAAGTCCCAGAACTTACCGCTGCAGCTTTGGAAGGACGTTCTTGAGGTACCAAGTGGGGTTTGCGTGCATGGGGCGAACTTGATGCGGTTCTGGTGCACGCCCGTGCGGTAGAACTCCCGCGTGCTCCAGATAAGAGACTCAACACTTCGCTCAGTGCCTGCCCGCACTCACCGCTGTAGCTTTGGTAGCACGTTCTTCAGATACCACTCCGGAGAGGCGTGCATGGGCGCGAACTTGATGCGGTTCTGGTGCACGCCCGTGCTGTAGAACTCCCGTGTGCTCCAGCGGTACTTGTGTGGCAGCTGCCTCACTATCAGCACGTCTCGCTTAAGATAGCGCATGAAGTGCTCTATATCGAATATGTCCTCGAACTGGCTGGGAAGTGGGGAAGAGGAGGAGGGGACCAGGGGGTATAAGAGGGTGACTTTGAGCCTTGAAGCCAACTCAGAAGCCACCACATGAAGTTCTCTATATCGAATATGTCCTCGAACTGGCTGAGATTGGGGGAAGAGGAGGAGCGGATCAAGGTAAGGGAGCTTGTGGGACAATACGGGGGAAGCGGGGTAGTGCATGAAGTGCTCTATATCTAATATGCCCTCAAACTGGCTGGCAACGGGGAGAAGGGGAGGGGAACAGGGGGAAGGGTGTGGGGGAAGGAGAGGCACAGGAGGGGCACGTGAGAGGAAGGAAATGATCCGCTTTGAATCCAGGAGCTTTCTTAAGGCGGAGAGGCTGCTGGTGTTCTGCTGCACCTGATTCCGGTCTGTTATATTGCTCTGTTTCCTTTTAACAAGCTCTGTTTCAAGCCAGCAGCAGGCAATGAAAAGGACAGTTACCTGTCGTCCAGCCACACGGGGTTGATCTGAAAGTGCGGGATGAGCAGCGTGGCATTCAAAAGGCGAGCCACTGCCACCGCGTTGCATATCTGAAATGAGAACAGAGAGAGGCAGAGAGGGAAGACGGGAGGAGGGAGACTGACAGCATGCTGTTTGAAAAAGTCATCACTTTGAGCAGGCGAGCCACTGCCGCCTGAAACACACACGCACGGGTGGACAGAGAGTGATGAAGAAGCGAGCCGCTGACCACTTTTTGTGAGCCCCAAAAACGGAGACATAGAGATGGGTGCCGAACAATAGAAATGGGTGCCAATAAGTAAATATGGGTGCTGATCACTAGAGATGAGTGCAAATCCGTAGAGATGGGTGCAGAGCGGCTTACGCTGATGCGCTGCTGGTTGAGGCCGCCATCCAAGAACACCTGCAGGTACCCTGTTGACTCGTACAGAGGCGCTTCTGCACGATGGGAAGGAAGGGCCGGGGTGGCATGAGAGGGAAAGTTAAGAAATTCTTCAAGAACACCAGCCATACAGAGATACCCCGTTGACTCATACAGAGGCGCGTCTGCAGGCAGGCAGGGAAGGTGTTGTGACAGTGTGAGTGGATAAGAGAGGGTAATATTAGGTTGCCCAAGAACAGCTGCAGGTACCCTGTTGACTCGTACAGAGGCGCTTCTGCAGGCAGGCATGGGGGACCGGGGCGGCAGGCAAGGGGGGCCAGGGTGGCAAGACACAGGAGTTTCAGAGTCCCTCAGAACACCTGCAGGTAGGTACACCGTTGACTCGTACAGAGGCGCGTCTGCAGAAGCACGAGGGGTGTCATGGTAGTGTGAGAGGGGGCACAGGGGACACAGGAGAGCTTAAGTCAGAGTCCGAAGAGTATTAGACTCACCAGCATATGCTGGGGATGGGAGGGGGGGGGAGGAGGAGGGAAGAGACTCACCAGCATATGCAGGGGAGGGTCGCACGCATTGCTGCCACTTGCCCTTCACGGGGTTGTCCCACAACGTTGCTGGCTCACGCGCTCTCTGCAGCCCCAGGAGATGGTTTGCCGCAGAGGGACGGAAGAACACGGAAGCATACTTGATTTGCGGAGAGAGAAGAGGGAAGGGAATGGAACGTGAAGGAATATGGGCATGGGGGAACAGGTAGGCGAGTGGAACTGCAGAAGCAGAAGCATGTGGAGAATGGTCCCCGCAGACAATTGCGAATGAAAGTGCTTAAAAGTCGGTGCTGCACGGGGTGCTGAAAGGCGGTACGGTACGGTGCAAGGTGGTACGGTGCTGCAAGGGGGTACGGTCCAAGGCGGTATAGTACGGTGCTGCAACGTGGTGCTTACACTGGCGAAGCGGGCCTTGATGAGCTCAGGATGGTCGCCCGTGGACAGACCCCACCACCACTGCAGGCGGGGGGGTGGGGTTACACACAGAGGCAGGGGGAGCGGAGGGGAGAAAGAGCTTTCGCGGTGCCTTAAAAGGCAAAGCGGGCCTTGATGAGCTCAGGATGGTCGCCCGTGGTCAGACCCCACCACCACTGCAGGGTACATGAGATGACAGGGGGGGGAGGGTGGCCGAAGAGAACAAGGGTAGCGTATGTTGAGTTGACTGAAACGGTGTATTGTTGACTTGCATGTTGAGTTGACTGAAACGGTGTATTGTTGACTTGCATGTTGAGTTGACTGAAACGGTGTATTGTTGACTTGCATGTTGAGTTGACTGAAACGGTGTATTGTTGACTTGCATGTTGAGTTGACTGAAACGGTGTATTGTTGACTTGCATGTTGAGTTGACTGAAACGGTGACAAGTGCACATGGTCGGCCGTGGACGGACCACACCCGCACTGCGGGGCATATGAGGTGACAGGGGGTTGCAGGAAGAGAGGTGACGCAATACCGTACGTACGTACGTACGGTCTGAAGCCCTTGAGAAAGATAACGCACGCGTACATACGTAAAGACTGGAGTTCTTGAGGAAGATGATCCACGCGTACGTACGTATGGTCGGGAGCCCTTGAGGAAGATGACCCAGGCGTACGTGACGGAGCAGAGCGCGGCGACGAGGAACGCGGAACGGATCGTGCGGTAGCTCAGCTGCTGCCGCCGCGCCTTCGCCTTGCGCTGCAGCCGCCGCTGCAGACGGATGTTACCGGCCATCGTGGTTGACAGGAACTTAGAATTTCGCTCAGCCTAAGGAAGTAAGTTCTAGGACGATTCAGAAGTCACTCCGATTCAGAAGTCACCCCGCTGCAGACGAATGTTGCCTGGCATTGAGGCTGGCTGGAACTTCATATTCTCTTAGAAATGGGCTGACAGAAGTCACAAGTTTGTTACAAGTTGTTCTAAGAATACCAGAGTATCTGCATCGGAATGCCAACAGGAAACGCTGCTCGTCGAATGACTAAAGTCTGACGTGGCCGATACAACCGGCAATCGTAACTTTTAGCCGCTGATTTTCGGTGATACTAGTCCAATTCTCATTACATGCTCAAGAGAAACTTGACGGCTGGCCGTCAGCATAACCAAAACGTCACCTGCGACTACGGCGAGATCTAGTGCGAACCGGGAAAACGACACGACTACTTAACGTTCCGAAAACGTGGCTCCTACTAGCAGCAGAAGCTTGCGAGTCGCCGTATGGGAGAAGCAGTCACGTAATAGTAGACGGTCTCCGCTTTCTGACAACAGACTCCTGTCAGACGTAACCAAAAACGATCACACGAAAACGATCTCGCTACGGTTTTGATGCCAGAAGGCTCCTGTGAACGCTCCAGACTTCTGGGAGAACGAAGTGGCGAGAGAGCAACAGCAAATACGGACACAGCCGCGAAGTTGGCCGAGACGCACTGGCGATCTAATGTCCACAAACGAGAGCCTTTGGCGCTGCGAAACGATGTTTTACACTACGCAATATACGTACGAATAACCTGTAGCAGGCGGAGTGCCCGCAAGCTCAGATACAGATTCAGAAAGCGGCCCAGCAAGTCATTCACGCTGTGCTGGCCTCAGAAAGAAATGTGAGCAAGTGAGACTGATGAAAGCCGCTGCCTTGAGATTTGAAAGCTGATCGGGTGGGGCAGGGTCAGATTTAATGGCTGTTCAGACTGTTTAACGGGTTCAGTACGATTCGGTCGGTTTGGGGTTGATTTCTGCGATTTGACGACACGGGTTTCGTGTGCACGTCCTAGAAAATGCTGCCTAGTGTCTGATCCGCCAATCGCCTTCATGATCTTGAACCCCTTATGGGGGCTGTTCGCCAGCACCATTATAGCAAAAAACGACGGGATAACGACGGGATCAGGAAGGTGGGTCTCGCCTGGTCAGCCCGTGAAAAAAGTGCCGAGCCTCACCTACCGTCCAAACCAACAAACAAAGTGGGCGTCTGGCGAACGCCCACTTTTGTCCACCAAATCTAACGCTAAGACGGCATATGGAAGCGGGGACGAAACTTCGTCCCCAGGCAAAACACCATCCCCTAGCCATGCCATCGCCATGCTGCGTTTTTCAAAGCACAGCGATGGCACAGCCGTCGCATTGCCGTTCAAAAGGGATCGAAGGGAAGGTGGGGATGGAGGTTCCCGACGCGGTTGAGAAATTTCTCAACCGCAGGCGCAGAAGTTTCCTGAACGGCATTACGGCCAAACCTCGGAGGTGGGTTCCACCTCCGTTTCCATATGCGGTCGCGATGCCGATGCCATCATTTTCATTTCAAAATACGATTTGCTGGCGAACAGCACCATGCTCTCATTCAGTACGGAGAGGAAGCGAGTGCGAAGTTACCGGAATCCTTCTTGACGGCAGTGACCATCCTCCTGCACAAAAAGGGAGCGAGGGAGCAGTTAGAGAATTACCGGCCGATAACTCTTCTCAGTGTGGTGTACAAATTGGTGGCGAAGGTGCTGGCGAACAGAATAAAGAAAGTGCTGCCGCGGGTAATATCGGAACGGCAGTACGGTTTCTTACCAGGGAGACGTTTGGCGGATGCGGTTTCAACCGTAGCGGATGTGATTGATGCAGCGGCGGAAGGGGATGGGGACTGGTTGCTGCTCCTCGTGGATTTCCAAAAGGCCTATGACTCGGTATCGAGGGACTTCCTCTTTGGCACGATGAGGAAGATGGGGTTACCGAAGAAGTTCCTGGCTTGGACAAAGGGACTACACGAGGGGGCACGAACGAAGCTACTCATAAATGGTTGGCTTGGCGACAGAATCTAAATGGAGAAAGGAGTAAGGCAAGGCTGTCCACTCGCTCCCTACCTCTTCCTCTGCGCGGCGTAGCCACTCTGTCAAGAAGCAGAGAGGAGGGGATTGGGGATCCGGAAAAGGGGAGTTGGCGGCTTGACTTACGTCGGTTACGCGGATGATACTACTCTGGCCCTTCAAGGTCAGGAGCAAGTGGTAGCGGCCAAGCTGTTGCTGGACGACTTTGGAAAGTGTTCAGGGCTGCACATAAATCAGGGGAAAACAAAGCTGATGCCGTTGGGGAAGAACAAGAGGCGACAGCAGCCCACGGACTCACCGTTCCAATGGGGAGCGCTGAACGAGCTGGAACGGTTGCTCGGCATCTGGGTCACGCCAGGAGGGTCGCCGGAGCCATCTTGGTACCAGGCTTACGAGCGGATGTGCGAGGAGCTGGTTAAATGGGACGCCAAGCACCTGTCGACCTCAGCCAGGGTGACGATTGTAAACAGCTACGCGATGCCGATAGTGCTGTTCCAAGCGCTGGTGTATGCGCCGCCGCATGAACTGTAGTTAAAGGTGAAGAGGATCTGTCACAACTTCATCTCAAAGGGGAGAGCCTCTCTCGACAGGTTCTTCATACTGTGGAGTTACGAATTATCCTGCAGGGATCGGAAGGAGGGGGGCCTGGGAGTAATCAGCCCGAAGGAGAGATTGGCAAGCATTGCAATCCACAACATAGCGAGAAGTGCAGTGTCAAGAGACCCGTTCAGAAAGTGGCACTGGGAGAAGGCGGCGGGCTTCCCACAAGGTCTTGCGACGGTGTATGCGCACCCGGCAATCCTGAAACACTGGTTGAAAGGCGGGGCGAGATGGAAAGCGACGATCGAGTCCCTCTGGGAAACAAAACGGTGGTGATTCAGGAAACATCGAATCGGTGGGAGGCAGAAGGAGAGCATCTGCTTTTCAACCGCGCGATCTTCTTCAGAGGAACATCACCTTTCGGGAGGTAGAAAGGTTCGGGCTGCCTGCAGGGAATCACACTGGGGGATTCAAACGTAAAAGGAGCAGGTGGCAGCAGATCACTGAAAGACGGGGCGACCTTGGAAAGAGAACTAGGAGGCTAGGAACAGAGGAAGTGGGCTATGAAAGCATGGGAAGCAGCACCTACGGCTTGGAGAGAGCTGGCCCTGAGGACACTCAATGCGGACGAAGTGTTCAAAACGGCGAAGCTGATAAGGTAAAACTCTTACCGACCTGGAAAAAATCTTTTTTACAGGCTACTATACACAACAGGAAACAGACTCTACGGGAAACGTGTGACGGTAGATGCGGACGGTCAAGTCAGAGAAGTAAAATACGCCAGTGCGACAGAGCTATCCTGCGAGAGGTCGACGCCGATGGCGGAGCTGGGAGGCAGAATATGCGGCCCTCTAGGTGAACCAAGGACGAGGCTGCTACAGTTAAAGCTGTGTGAGAAAGGGGAGCCTGCCGAGCTGAGAGTCACGAGGAGGGCGCTGAAACCCCAGCTCACGAAGCCAAAGCAGCAGCAGTAGTGGGAAGAGGACTGGGGGAAGCCGATTGACTGTAAAAAAACAATCGAGACGAGAGACTCGCTTGTTACACCAACCAGAGCAAGAGAAGTGGTACTACGGGCACACAGCAAAAACCTACAAGTGGGGGAACGGCTCCCTTTTCTAGGGGCGCGGGCTAATTGCGTACACTGTGGAGGGGTCGAAACGCTCGACCACTGTATTCTTGACTGCCCAAGAGTGAAACCGGTCACTGACGTGGTTCAGGGGGCACTCCGGCTGATGAATCCATCACGACAAGGAGGGACAGTTGGCGACCTACTGTTTCAAGAAACATGCACGGAGTCAGGTTTTCCGGAAGCGCGCCACAATGTCCCACCAGATATGGCTAGCCAGGTGTAACGCGATCTGGAGAGGGGTGAGATTTCAACCCAAACGTGTGCTGAGGCGGATCAACGTCCAGTTCACAAGACACGTCAGGATCTACAGCAAGGCAAGGAAGCGGCAGAAGGGCCACGGGGACAAAGGTGACTAGGAACACATGGCAAAGGACGAAGCGGAAGTGATGAAAAGGCTATACAATGAGGAAGCGTCAATGACGTGGAGGGATGACTTCAGAGCAATCTGGGAGGACCCATTGGTAGCGTTCCATCCGCCATAGAGTGTGTCTGGCGGGTTGCATCTACCAGTGTAGGTAATACACCCTCCTCCACAGCAGTTACGACTGAGGATGTCCTTGTATGCTATACCATATAGCGTATTTACATCCACCAAAAAAAAAAACGTACGGAGAGGAAGAAAAATAATTAGAGATAAAGAAAAAGAAGAGAAAAAACAGCTCCTTTTCAGCATTCCACATTTGGCTGATGTAAACAGTGCGACAGATGTATCTGAAGGTTGAGAAACTATCCGTGCATTGAAAAATATAGCGAGCTTTATTCAGCTGATATGAGTATTCTTTCATGCTTGATGAATCAAAGGGGGAGGAGAACAAGATAAATAGTTGTTCATAATCAACGCCTTGAGATCAGAACGCTATTACCTTGTAACGAGTCATATTTGTTCCTCCTCAATCCGATCGCGGTTCCCTAGGTAGGGTGCATGCACCTGGCCGCATTGTTGTTGCCAAATCCCGCCAATTTTGTCTGGCCCTGGTTCTAGCCGCTAAAAACCTGGGAAGCCTCGCTCCTTCAAGGGCCCCTCCTTTCTGTGCCACGCGGCAGGCTCGCGCGATGCGGGCTCTCGCCGCGTCTTTCGCATGTCATTGATTCTGTTGGAGAAAAGCGAATAGCGACCGTCTTTTTCCGTCTTTTCCGTTAGTTTCGCCATCTCGTCCTATATCCCGCCGCATTGCAGTGTTCAGATTTCCAGGAAAAAAACGAAGATGGCAGTCGAAGCCATGCAGCAGGCAGTCGCTGTACCTTTTTCTCCACCGCATTTCGCCACCTTCAGATTGTACCGACCGTCACTCGCTACCGCAGCGCCTCATAACGCGTACAGACCTCTCACCGCCGCGCAACGTCGATGTCTCGTTCCAAAGCGTTCCAAAACCGCGGTCGCGCCGCCAGCAAGGCCGCTGGTGGTGGCGGCGGCGGGTGCGTCGGACTCTTCCAGGATTCCCGCGGGCAACGTCAGCGAGTCCGACGTGGCATTCGTGCGGCAATTGCGGGTTGTACTCGCGGAGAACGGGCTGTCGGAGCAGAACCTCCCGTCGATTAAGGAGGTCGCGTCGCTCGGCGGGTAAGGCGCGGCTCGTCTTTGGGCCATCGCCCCTCCCTCCCTCCCTCGGCGGGTAAGGCGAAGCTCGCAGTGGTACCAAGTGGTGCTCGCAGTGACACTCAGGGGTGCACGCACTGGCGCCTAACGCTTTCCCTCCTTTCCCTCCTCCCTTCTCCGCTCCATTTCCCCGTACCTCACCCTTCTCTTTACCTTTACAACTCCCCTCTCATACCGCCGACCCCACCTGGACCCCTCCTCTCTCCCCCCGTCCCCCAGCGCATTGCTGACGGGGACCATGCGCACAAGGGGGTACAGGCGGGTGCACTGACGCCGTGTCCTATTCCGCCTCCCCCCACCCCTGTACTTTCCCCTTTTGCTCCCCCCCTCTCCTCCTTCCCGCGTCCCGCCAGCTCCTTTCTGGCGGGGGCTATGCGCACGAGGGGGTACAGGCGGGTGCACTGACTCCCCCCTCCCTTCATTCCTACTCCCATCATCCCGCCCCCTCTTCACCTCAGCGCATTCCTGGCGGGGGCCATGCGCACGAGGGGTACAGGCGCGTGCACGAGCTGCTGCGGCTGGTGGCGGACGATGGGGGGGAGGCGGGGGAGGCGGGGGGGGCTGGGGGAGCCCAAGGGGTGGACGGGCAGGGCGGGAGGGTGGAGAGCTGGTCGCTAGGCTCGGGACCAGGGTCGTTAGGCTCGGGGCCAGGCTCGGCAATGTCCATGGCGCAGCAGAAGGCGAAGGTGCTTCAGCAGAGAATGCAGCAGAGGTGGGTGGGTAACTTGATGGGTGGGTGGGTAGTTGAGAGAGGTTCTTTCTAAGGGTGTGTGACGAGGGGAGGGGGTACGAGGGGGAGGCTGTGACGGGTTTTTGTTTATTCGTAAAGTATATCTTTGGCCGTTTATATCAAACACATCCATACCATATCATGCGCATACTATCCCGTTTCCCCTCACTCCCTCCCTCCTTCCTGTCATCCGTTACCCCTGCCCTCCCTCCCACCCTCCCTTCTCCCTCTCCTCCCCTCTTCCGCTTCCCCCTCTCCCTTCCCCCTTTCTCCTCCCCCTTTCTCCCTTCCCCCTTCCCCCTTCCCCCTTCCCCCTTCCCCCTTCCCCCTTCCCCCTTCCCCCTTCCGCCTCTGCATTGTCTAATTTCCCCAGGGGCCTTCTATCCTCGTCTGAAGCATCTTCGCTACAACCACAATCCAGCAACAGCGAAGCAGGAGGACTTACGTCCTCAGACCCTTCGTCTTCTCCACCCTCTTTCAACCCCTCCTCCACCCCCTTCTTCTCCTCCTCCTCTCCTTCTGCCTCCCCCTCCCCCTCCTCCTCCCCATCTCTCTCCCCCTCCCCCGCCCCATCCTCCCCTCCTCCCCCAACCCCCCTCTCAAGCCCCCAAGGCACCAGCAGCAATAGTGACAGTGACGGTGGTGACAGTACTGAAGGTGATGGCTATATCGCACCAGAAGTCGCCTGGCTGTTCCCGAGCCTGAATCTCGACCTGAGCAAGCTTGACTCAGCCACCGAATCAGAGAGTGAAGTTGTGGATGGGGCGGAGGAGGGAGCGGAGGGAGAGGAGGAGGAGGAAAGAAAAAGGGCGCAGGGGAGTGAGGTGAGGGCGTTCATGGGGGGGTTGAAGGCCGAGGAGGCAGAGGAAGATGAGGAGGTGGAAGAGAGAGGGGGGGAGGAGGAGGAGCGGGGTGAGGAGGAGGAGGAGGATAGCTTCTGGAGGAGCAGGATGTACGATGGTATGCCTGAAGACGCTCGCTCGCAGTACCAGGAGGAGGCTCGCGAGTCGAGAAACCGGTCGGCTATCCAGTCAAGCGACACGTTTCTCTCCTCGCCGGCTTACAACACGCCTCGTGCCCGCCCTCCCCCTCCCGCCCCCGTCACTCCCTACGACGCTTCCTCAAGCATTCCCTATGATTATAGGTACGACATGGCAGAGTATCGGGGGGGGGGGGATATAGTTACTGGAGAAACAAGATATACGAAACGGTATGCCTGATGACGCTCGCTCGCAGGCTCGGGAGTCGACAGACCGGTCTGCCATCCGGTCAAGCGACACCTTTCTCTCCTCGCCGGCTTACAACACGCCCCGCGCCCGCCCTCCCCCTCCCGCCCCCGTCAGTTCTTACGACGCTTCCTCGAGCCTTCCCTACGATTATAGGTACGAAATGGCAGAGGGTTGGTGAGGAGGATAGCTTGTGGAGCAACAGGATGTATGAAATGGTATTCCTGACCGTCCTGACGATGCACGCTCGCAGTACCAGGAGGCTCGCGAGTCGATAGACCGGTCGGCCATCCAGTCAAGCGACACCTTTCTCTCCTCGCCGGCTTACAACACGACCCGCGCCCGCCCTCCCCCTCCCGCCCCCGTCAGTTCCTACGAAGCTGCTTCGAGCCTTCCCTACGATTATAGGTATGAATTGGCAGAGTGTTGGGGAGCAGGAGGATAGTTACTGGAGAAACAAGATATACAAAACGGTACGCCTGACGACGCACGCTCGCAGGCTCGGGATTTGATAGACCGATCAGCTGTTCAGTCAAGCGACACCTTTCTCTCCTCGCCTGCTTAGAACACACCCCGCGCCCGCCCTCCCCCTGCTGCCCCCGTCAGTCATTTTGACGCTGCCTCGAGCCTTCCCTATGATTTTATGTATGAATCAGCAGAAGAAGCTGCGTGCGTGCACGACCAACCTTCCTCCCTACCTTGGTCTTCTACTCCTGGTGATGCTTCCAAGGCTGTGTCGATTCAAACAGAACCCTTGTAATTGTCTCTACGTTTTGTAAGTCGACTCAAATTGCACCCTTTAACCCTCCCTGCATATCTTAAATCAACACAGCAGCACACACCTCTCCCCCTACAGCCCTCCCTAATCCCCTCTCTAAATCCCTCCCCACAACCCTCTCTACACCCACATTCCTGCCTGCCCCCTTCCATGCGTCCCTCTCTCTCTTTGCTATTGCTACTGAATCTCGACCTTCAAACCAACGCTAGTAGCAGGAGCGAGGGAAGCAGTGGGAGCGGTAGCAATGCTGGCGAGGGGGAGTGGGCAGGGGGCATGGAGGCGTGGGAAGCAGAAGCAATGGCGGAGGCTGAGAGGATGGCGGCCAGGCAGGTGAGAAGGGAGGCTGAAGGAGGAGAGGGGAAAGGAACCGGGCAGTCTCTGTCTCTAAAGGGGTTGTGGGCAGCGGGCATGGAGGCGTGAGAGAGAGGCGGAAGCTATGGCTGAGGCAGAGAGATTAGTGGCCAGGCAGGTGGGCAGGGTTTGGCTGGGCAGGTGAGAGAGGATCGGGCGGTGAGGGACCTTGTCCACGTCACCTTCAAGGGGAACATGGAGGCATGAGAGGCAGAAGCAATGGCAGAGACAGAGAGACTGGCGGCCAGACAGGTGAGCAGGCAGGCAGGTGCGAGAATGGAAGCCATGTGGGTGGGAGGGGAGTGGGTAGGCAAGTGTGAGGGGAGTGGGTAGGCAGGTGGGAGGGGAGTGGGTAGGCAGGTGGGAGTGGGAGGGGAGTGGGTAGGCACTATTCGCTCATGCTTTCCATTTTTCTCCTCTGTTTCCATCTCCATTTTTCTCCGCTGTTTCCATCTCCATTTTTCTCCTCTGTTTTCATCTCTTTCCATTTTTCTCCTCTGTTTTCATCTCTTTCCATTTTTCTCCTCTGTTTCCATCCCCTCGTCCATCTCTTTCCAGGCAACTCTCTTTTCAGAGGAAGCTGAGCTGGAGCTAGAGAGAATCAAATCCCTGCTGGTGAGCACTGCGTATCTTTCAATTATCCTCGCTGTAGTTATCGAGTGAAAACCAATTGTCTCTTTCGCCCCCCCTTTCCCTTGCGCCTTTCCCTCATCTCTCATACCCTCCTCTCCTATTCCCTCCGCTCCCATACCCTCCTCTCCTGTACCGTCCTTCCTATCTCTTTCCCTCCCCTCCCGCGCCTCCTTCTCTCAATTCTCCCTGCTTCTTCTTTCCGATACTCCCTCGCCCATCTTTCCCCCATTCCCGCCTGCTGTGCTCCAATGGTCTCTTCTCCCCACTGTCTCCCACCAGGCGTCAAGGGAGGAGGAGCTTGCAGTCATAATGCGCGAGATGGAGGAGGCAGAGGAAGGCGAGTGGGTGGGTCGCTGTGTCTCATTCTTCCACTCTGCCGGCACCTCTCCACCCCCTGCCATGCCCCTCTTGTCTCCCATCAGGTGACTTTTGAGTCGACTCAAAAGTCCAACCCCTGCCATGCCCCCTTTGTCTCCCATCAGGCATCAAGAGGGGAGGAGCTTACAGCCATAATGGGAGAGATGGAGGAAGCCTATACATGAGTGGGTGTGGGCCTGTGTGGTACCTGTCCTCACCGAACCCCACACCTCCTCAACTCCCTTTTCTCTCCCACCAGGCGTCAAGGGAGGAGGAGCTTGCAGTCATAATGCGTGAGATGGAGGAGGCAAAGGTACGTGCGAGTGTGCGTGTGCGTGTGAGTGTGAGAGTGAGAGTGAGAGTGAGAGTGAGTGCGCTTTTGTGTGTGTGTGTGAAGTGTTTGAGTGTGAGTGTCTGTAACGTGTGAGTGTGTGTATGAGTGTGGCAGAGAGGAGCTTGCAATCATAGGTTGAAAGATGGAAGAGGCTAAGGTAGGAGGCTAGGTGAGTGTATAAGTGTGAGTTGGTGTAGGTGTGAGAGAGTGTGAGTGTCTGGGTGTGTGAGTCTGTTGCTTTATCCCCTATTGCTCACCGCACTGCACCCCCTCTCAATGCGCCTTCTCTCACTGGACCATGCTCGACCCATTCAAATCAACCCATTCAGGCGCAGTTTCATCTGATGAAAGGCGGATGCAGAGAGCGAGCTGTGCTGAGTGCTCAGTCACTCACTCACTGCATCTTCCCTCTGTGCTCTTTACTCACGCCGTCTATCCCTCACCCCCCTAATCTCTTCAGGCACAGTTCCACCTAATGAAAGCCAACGCAGAGAGTGAGCTGGCGCTGGCACGGCAGGCCGTGCTGGAGAGAGATGTGAAGCTTGCGCTGCTGAGAGCTCACTCACTGCATCCTCCCTCTCTGCCCTGCTGCCTCACTGCTCCTCTTGCAGGCGCAGTTCCATCTTATGAAAGCCAACGCAGAGAGTGAGCTGGCGCTGGCACGGCAGGCCGTGCTGGAGAGAGACGTTAAGCTGGAGGCCGCTCAGCAGGCCATGGGGGCGCTAGTGAAGGTGATAATAATGGGTATTAGGTCTTAACAACGAATGACTGGTGTATGTGTGGCTAGAGAGACATATCAAGGTGGAGAACGCTCAAGAAGCCATGAGGGTTCAAGCAACGGTTGCTGTAAGAGGTAACAGGGAATGTGAGCAAGTGAAGGTTCACTTTTGCTGGAATGACACGTAAGGCTGGATGCAGATGTGGATATTCGTTGGTGAGAGTTGAGTTGAAAGCAGTGGTGGGCAGTGGTGGTGGGCAGTGGTGGTGGGCAGTGGTGGGAAGTGGTGGGAAGTTGTGGGCAGTGGTGGGCAGTGGTGGGCAGATGACTAGATTGTCCCTCATGCTGCCCGTCACTTTCCATTCCCCACCTGCTTTGTGGTGGAGTATTGCAGCAAGGGCCACGTATATTCGTGTGACTTATGAGAAGTCTCAAAAGTCACACGAATATAGCTGGAGTAATGCAGCAAGGGCCACGAGGTTTTGCGAGAATGCACCCCAGAGAGGGCTACTTTTTATGCTCACACACTGCCTTACTATTTCGAGTCGACTCAAAACTAGCATGCACCCCAGAGGGCTACTTTTTCTACTTCCACACTGCCTTACCCTCCCTCTCACCACCCTCTCCCCATTCAGGTGGTTGTGGAGTATTGGGATGCTGCTAGCAGGCAGCTTCAACGCTCCATTGCTCTCTCCCCCTTTCAATGGTAACATGCACCGTACCCCTTCTCTCTCACTCCCCTCTCCCCCATTCAGGTGGTGGTGGAGTATTGGGGAGAGGGCCACGAGGTGCTGCTAGCGGGTGGCTGAGAGGGGAGTGACTGGCCCTACCTCCTTACGTCCCTTCCTCCTGTCACCACCCTCCTCCTCTTCCCCATTCAGGTGGTGGTGGAGTATTGGGGAGAGGGCCACGAGGTGCTGCTAGCAGGCAGCTGAGAGTAGATTCATTGACCCCACCGGCCTACGTCCCTACCTCCTGTGTCTCTCTCACCTCCCTACCTCCTCTTCCCCCCTTTTTCTCCCCATTCAGGTGGTGGTGGAGTATTGGGGAGAGGGCCACGAGGTGCTGCTAGCAGGCAGCTCACAAGGGGGACTTGGAGTCTACCTTTCCACCTTCACACCGCCTTACACTCCCTCTCACCCCTCCGGACCCCCCATTCAGGTGGTGGTGGAGTATTGGGGAGAGGGCCACGAGGTGCTGCTAGCGGGCAGCTTCAACGGGTGGCAGAGCCACGTGCCGCTGGTGCCTGATGAGAGCTCACACATCCCCAACCACGATGGCAGCAGGTGGGGTGGAAGACGGTATGCAGGTATACTTCCAGCAGGTATAGTTCCACGGTCCAGCAGGGACAGAGGCAGCTTCAACGGGTGGCAGAGCCGCGTGCCGCTGGTGCCTGATGAGAGCTCACACATCCCCAACCACGATGGCAGCAGGTAACTGGAACGCACCATACGGTGACGGAAGGTATGGTGGAAAGTATGTAGTACCTGCAAGGACTGTGGCAGAGCCACGTGCCGCTGATGCCCGATGAGTCGTCACACATTCCCAACCACGATGGCAGCAGGTACGATGACAGTCGGTGTGGTTTTTGAGAATTCTCAAAAACCAGCTCGATGACAGTCGGTGTGGTTTTTGAGAATTCTCAAAAACCAGCTCGATGACAGTCGGTGTGGTTTTTGAGAATTCTCAAAAACCAGCTCGATGACAGTCGGTGTGGTTTTTGAGAATTCTCAAAAACCAGCTCGATGACAGTCGGTGTGGTTTTTGAGAATTCTCAAAAACCAGCTCGATGACAGTCGGTGTGGTTTTTGAGAATTCTCAAAAACCAGCTCGATGACAGTCGGTGTGGTTTTTGAGAATTCTCAAAAACCAGCTCGATGACAGTCGGTGTGGTTTTTGAGAATTCTCAAAAACCAGCTCGATGACAGTCGGTGTGGTTTTTGAGAATTCTCAAAAACCAGCTCGATGACAGTCGGTGTGGTTTTTGAGAATTCTCAAAAACCAGCTCGATGACAGTCGGTGTGGTTTTTGAGAATTCTCAAAAACCAGCTCGATGACAGTCGGTGTGGTTTTTGAGAATTCTCAAAAACCAGCTCGATGACAGTCGGTGTGGTTTTTGAGAATTCTCAAAAACCAGCTCGATGACAGTCGGTGTGGTTTTTGAGAATTCTCAAAAACCAGCTCGATGACAGTCGGTGTGGTTTTTGAGAATTCTCAAAAACCAGCTCGATGACAGTCGGTGTGGTTTTTGAGAATTCTCAAAAACCAGCTCGATGACAGTCGGTGTGGTTTTTGAGAATTCTCAAAAACCAGCTCGATGACAGTCGGTGTGGTTTTTGAGAATTCTCAAAAACCAGCTCGATGACAGTCGGTGTGGTTTTTGAGAATTCTCAAAAACCAGCTCGATGACAGTCGGTGTGGTTTTTGAGAATTCTCAAAAACCAGCTCGATGACAGTCGGTGTGGTTTTTGAGAATTCTCAAAAACCAGCTCGATGACAGTCGGTGTGGTTTTTGAGAATTCTCAAAAACCAGCTCGATGACAGTCGGTGTGGTTTTTGAGAATTCTCAAAAACCAGCTCGATGACAGTCGGTGTGGTTTTTGAGAATTCTCAAAAACCAGCTCGATGACAGTCGGTGTGGTTTTTGAGAATTCTCAAAAACCAGCTCGATGACAGTCGGTGTGGTTTTTTAGAATTCTCAAAAACCAGCTCGATGACAGTCGGTGTGGTTTTTGAGAATTCTCAAAAACCAGCTCGATGACAGTCGGTGTGGTTTTTGAGAATTCTCAAAAACCAGCTCGATGACAGTCGGTGTGGTTTTTGAGAATTCTCAAAAACCAGCTCGATGACAGTCGGTGTGGTTTTTGAGAATTCTCAAAAACCAGCTCGATGACAGTCGGTGTGGTTTTTGAGAATTCTCAAAAACCAGCTCGATGACAGTCGGTGTGGTTTTTGAGAATTCTCAAAAACCAGCTCGATGACAGTCGGTGTGGTTTTTGAGAATTCTCAAAAACCAGCTCGATGACAGTCGGTGTGGTTTTTGAGAATTCTCAAAAACCAGCTCGATGACAGTCGGTGTGGTTTTTGAGAATTCTCAAAAACCAGCTCGATGACAGTCGGTGTGGTTTTTGAGAATTCTCAAAAACCAGCTCGATGACAGTCGGTGTGGTTTTTGAGAATTCTCAAAAACCAGCTCGATGACAGTCGGTGTGGTTTTTGAGAATTCTCAAAAACCAGCTCGATGACAGTCGGTGTGGTTTTTGAGAATTCTCAAAAACCAGCTCGATGACAGTCGGTGTGGTTTTTGAGAATTCTCAAAAACCAGCTCGATGACAGTCGGTGTGGTTTTTGAGAATTCTCAAAAACCAGCTCGATGACAGTCGGTGTGGTTTTTGAGAATTCTCAAAAACCAGCTCGATGACAGTCGGTGTGGTTTTTGAGAATTCTCAAAAACCAGCTCGATGACAGTCGGTGTGGTTTTTGAGAATTCTCAAAAACCAGCTCGATGACAGTCGGTGTGGTTTTTGAGAATTCTCAAAAACCAGCTCGATGACAGTCGGTGTGGTTTTTGAGAATTCTCAAAAACCAGCTCGATGACAGTCGGTGTGGTTTTTGAGAATTCTCAAAAACCAGCTCGATGACAGTCGGTGTGGTTTTTGAGAATTCTCAAAAACCAGCTCGATGACAGTCGGTGTGGTTTTTGAGAATTCTCAAAAACCAGCTCGATGACAGTCGGTGTGGTTTTTGAGAATTCTCAAAAACCAGCTCGATGACAGTCGGTGTGGTTTTTGAGAATTCTCAAAAACCAGCTCGATGACAGTCGGTGTGGTTTTTGAGAATTCTCAAAAACCAGCTCGATGACAGTCGGTGTGGTTTTTGAGAATTCTCAAAAACCAGCTCGATGACAGTCGGTGTGGTTTTTGAGAATTCTCAAAAACCAGCTCGATGACAGTCGGTGTGGTTTTTTAGAATTCTCAAAAACCAGCTCGATGACAGTCGGTGTGGTTTTTGAGAATTCTCAAAAACCAGCTCGATGACAGTCGGTGTGGTTTTTGAGAATTCTCAAAAACCAGCTCGATGACAGTCGGTGTGGTTTTTGAGAATTCTCAAAAACCAGCTCGATGACAGTCGGTGTGGTTTTTGAGAATTCTCAAAAACCAGCTCGATGACAGTCGGTGTGGTTTTTGAGAATTCTCAAAAACCAGCTCGATGACAGTCGGTGTGGTTTTTGAGAATTCTCAAAAACCAGCTCGATGACAGTCGGTGTGGTTTTTGAGAATTCTCAAAAACCAGCTCGATGACAGTCGGTGTGGTTTTTGAGAATTCTCAAAAACCAGCTCGATGACAGTCGGTGTGGTTTTTGAGAATTCTCAAAAACCAGCTCGATGACAGTCGGTGTGGTTTTTGAGAATTCTCAAAAACCAGCTCGATGACAGTCGGTGTGGTTTTTGAGAATTCTCAAAAACCAGCTCGATGACAGTCGGTGTGGTTTTTGAGAATTCTCAAAAACCAGCTCGATGACAGTCGGTGTGGTTTTTGAGAATTCTCAAAAACCAGCTCGATGACAGTCGGTGTGGTTTTTGAGAATTCTCAAAAACCAGCTCGATGACAGTCGGTGTGGTTTTTGAGAATTCTCAAAAACCAGCTCGATGACAGTCGGTGTGGTTTTTGAGAATTCTCAAAAACCAGCTCGATGACAGTCGGTGTGGTTTTTGAGAATTCTCAAAAACCAGCTCGATGACAGTCGGTGTGGTTTTTGAGAATTCTCAAAAACCAGCTCGATGACAGTCGGTGTGGTTTTTGAGAATTCTCAAAAACCAGCTCGATGACAGTCGGTGTGGTTTTTGAGAATTCTCAAAAACCAGCTCGATGACAGTCGGTGTGGTTTTTTAGAATTCTCAAAAACCAGCTCGATGACAGTCGGTGTGGTTTTTGAGAATTCTCAAAAACCAGCTCGATGACAGTCGGTGTGGTTTTTGAGAATTCTCAAAAACCAGCTCGATGACAGTCGGTGTGGTTTTTGAGAATTCTCAAAAACCAGCTCGATGACAGTCGGTGTGGTTTTTGAGAATTCTCAAAAACCAGCTCGATGACAGTCGGTGTGGTTTTTGAGAATTCTCAAAAACCAGCTCGATGACAGTCGGTGTGGTTTTTGAGAATTCTCAAAAACCAGCTCGATGACAGTCGGTGTGGTTTTTGAGAATTCTCAAAAACCAGCTCGATGACAGTCGGTGTGGTTTTTGAGAATTCTCAAAAACCAGCTCGATGACAGTCGGTGTGGTTTTTGAGAATTCTCAAAAACCAGCTCGATGACAGTCGGTGTGGTTTTTGAGAATTCTCAAAAACCAGCTCGATGACAGTCGGTGTGGTTTTTGAGAATTCTCAAAAACCAGCTCGATGACAGTCGGTGTGGTTTTTGAGAATTCTCAAAAACCAGCTCGATGACAGTCGGTGTGGTTTTTGAGAATTCTCAAAAACCAGCTCGATGACAGTCGGTGTGGTTTTTGAGAATTCTCAAAAACCAGCTCGATGACAGTCGGTGTGGTTTTTGAGAATTCTCAAAAACCAGCTCGATGACAGTCGGTGTGGTTTTTGAGAATTCTCAAAAACCAGCTCGATGACAGTCGGTGTGGTTTTTGAGAATTCTCAAAAACCAGCTCGATGACAGTCGGTGTGGTTTTTGAGAATTCTCAAAAACCAGCTCGATGACAGTCGGTGTGGTTTTTGAGAATTCTCAAAAACCAGCTCGATGACAGTCGGTGTGGTTTTTGAGAATTCTCAAAAACCAGCTCGATGACAGTCGGTGTGGTTTTTGAGAATTCTCAAAAACCAGCTCGATGACAGTCGGTGTGGTTTTTGAGAATTCTCAAAAACCAGCTCGATGACAGTCGGTGTGGTTTTTGAGAATTCTCAAAAACCAGCTCGATGACAGTCGGTGTGGTTTTTGAGAATTCTCAAAAACCAGCTCGATGACAGTCGGTGTGGTTTTTGAGAATTCTCAAAAACCAGCTCGATGACAGTCGGTGTGGTTTTTGAGAATTCTCAAAAACCAGCTCGATGACAGTCGGTGTGGTTTTTGAGAATTCTCAAAAACCAGCTCGATGACAGTCGGTGTGGTTTTTGAGAATTCTCAAAAACCAGCTCGATGACAGTCGGTGTGGTTTTTGAGAATTCTCAAAAACCAGCTCGATGACAGTCGGTGTGGTTTTTGAGAATTCTCAAAAACCAGCTCGATGACAGTCGGTGTGGTTTTTGAGAATTCTCAAAAACCAGCTCGATGACAGTCGGTGTGGTTTTTGAGAATTCTCAAAAACCAGCTCGATGACAGTCGGTGTGGTTTTTGAGAATTCTCAAAAACCAGCTCGATGACAGTCGGTGTGGTTTTTGAGAATTCTCAAAAACCAGCTCGATGACAGTCGGTGTGGTTTTTGAGAATTCTCAAAAACCAGCTCGATGACAGTCGGTGTGGTTTTTGAGAATTCTCAAAAACCAGCTCGATGACAGTCGCTGTGGTTTTTGAGAATTCTCAAAAACCAGCTCGATGACAGTCGCTGTGGTTTTTGAGAATTCTCAAAAACCAGCTCGATGACAGTCGGTGTGGTTTTTGAGAATTCTCAAAAACCAGCTCGATGACAGTCGGTGTGGTTTTTGAGAATTCTCAAAAACCAGCTCGATGACAGTCGGTGTGGTTTTTGAGAATTCTCAAAAACCAGCTCGATGACAGTCGGTGTGGTTTTTGAGAATTCTCAAAAACCAGCTCGATGACAGTCGGTGTGGTTTTTGAGAATTCTCAAAAACCAGCTCGATGACAGTCGGTGTGGTTTTTGAGAATTCTCAAAAACCAGCTCGATGACAGTCGGTGTGGTTTTTGAGAATTCTCAAAAACCAGCTCGATGACAGTCGGTGTGGTTTTTGAGAATTCTCAAAAACCAGCTCGATGACAGTCGGTGTGGCTGCAGCGAGTATGGTGAAGACAGGCAGGTACGGTGGAAGCAGGTGGTGGAGTCAGGTATGGTGAAAGTAGGTTCAGTGAAACCAGGTACGGTAGCAGCAGGTACGGTGAAACCAGGTACTGTGGCAGCAGGTATGGTGGAAGAAGGTATGGTTGCAGCAAGTTGGTTGAAGGCAGGAATGGTGGCAGAGCCAATGAGTCCTCACACATGCGCAACCATGACGGCAGCAGGAGCGGTGGAAGCAGGTACGGTGGCAGCAGGTACGGTGGCAGCAGGTACGGTGGATGTGGTGTGCCGTTTGAAATGCTGATGGTTTGATGTAAAATCCTAGAGTTCCAAGCTTACTCTTATTCCACATTCCGCCTGTCAATATCTCCTCTCTCCCCCTCTCCCCCATCCCTTCCCCATTGCTTCTGTCCCAGGGGCACCGTGATTTGGTCATGCGCTCTTTTCGTTGACTTTTTGAATCGACTCCAAAGTGAACTCAATTTTTTCAGCCTCCCCCTCTCCCCCATCCCTTTACCCTCCGTTTTGGTCTATCTCAGGGGCGCTATGATTTGGTCTTGCACTCTCTGGCTCTATCCAGGCCACTATCAGGTACTTTACGGTTCTATGCGGTGTCGTGCGGTTCTGTGCAATACTCTGGATGCATGCTAGAGAGGGGTCACTCTGGGTACCCGCTACCCCACGTCTTCGAATACTCCCCTTCTTTCTTTCTCTCTTTCCCAGGCTCTCTCCCCCAACCACTATCCTGCTACTTTCTGCTCTGTTTTCCAATGGGTTGATTAAGTGTGAAACCCCTTTCTGCTTTTGAGTCGACTTAAAAGCACCCACTATCCTGCACTTTCTTGCTTTTTTTCCCGTGAAATCAATCAGTGTGCAATCCCCTTCACCCACCCCTTCCATCCCCCACCCTGCACTTTCGTCCCCACCCTCCCCAGTCCCCTCCCTTGCATGGACTAGTCTCTTTCCCCCTTGAAGCACACCCACCTCCTTGTATATTGAACCTCTTTTCTCAATTTCAATCTTGGCTGCCAGGTCAAGTTCATCGTGGACGGCAGATGGACGCTCGATCAACGGAGGGCGGTGGTGGAGGGCAACATGGGGCAGAATAATCTTTTGATTGTGAACTGGGAGGATGACGGGTCGAGCAGTGATGGTGGCTCCCACATGGCTAGCAACACTTTCCCACCCACATTTTTGCGATAACATTTAATGTGGTATACAGATATGGTAGTTTTGCTCGGTGCGCTCCTTGAGGGTGTTAGTGGTGGTGAATGAATAAGGATTCACATTTAAGTGTAGGTTTTACGGTAACACAAGTAGGGTGGGCGGATGCATGTTCTGATGGTGCTTTCATTGATACTCTAGCCATTCATGTCAAGGTATAGGTGTAGTGTTGCTGTGATGGATGCTTGAAATAGAGGTTGGATGGGTTGGATTGTATGCATTACAGAACGCTCAAAATGGTCGGCAACATCTTTGCCAGCATTATGCATCCATGAAGAGAATCTAAGTTCATGGCACAAAATGGTGCTTCTTGTGACGCTTTTCTGGTGACGAAGTTCATTGCATACACAAAGCAGGTGCGTGCGAGTGCTCAGATCTATACTTTTCGGGTTTTGCTCAGAAGCGAGACGTCACCACCACTGGGGTGGCGAGCAGGGAGGGAAACGAGCTTTGCGCCAAAAGCAGGGACACCGTCAGGTGCTAGATTGACAATCCCGTGAAAAATGGTGCGGCTGACAAAGTTAGCCTGGTACAGCCAATCAGAGCAAGTGCAGCAGCCAGCGAAATGTCAACGGAGAAGGGGGACGCCCTTCCGCCACTGGAGCCACACTTCTACAGAAGCTCCTATCCTGCCCAGAGATTACGAAAGCAAAAGTTCACCTCAACCCTTGAAAGCACCTCCCGCGCTCGGCAAGGTTCGCTTTTCATCGTTCGGCCCGCCGATGATTCGGGCGAGCGAGAGGCGTCGGCGAAGCGACTCTGAACGACTTCCACGATTGGCGATCAACGGACGACCCGCGCGTACGCACCCCCCCCATCCATCAACCACACGCGCAGTGCCAGCGTAACATCACGGGGTGCTCTACACCAATCATGGGGTGCTTCATTTCCGCCAGTCTGGCATCTCCCCTACCTTTCCGAGCTCTCCCCTTGTCGTCCTCCCCTGTTTCCCCCATCCCCCAACTTTAGGATCTTTTCTGCCACCCCCCTCCCGCTCTCTTTTTTTCCCCCCGGAGGAGACTGTGGCTCTCCCCCCATCCCCCCCACTTTCCGCTCATACCAAACCCCGCCCGCATAAACCTCGTCGGGAGTGCGCATGTGCTGATCACACTTGGATCCTGATCCTGCCTGGTCGCGAAATCATAGGTTCTAGTCTCTGGTTTTGATGAAACCATGGCGGAAAACGAGCGCGCGGCTTGGAAGGAAGTGCAAGACTGACGCCGTACCTGCAATAAGCGATGAATGCTTCCCGCTAATAAAAAATTAACGGCAAGCTCAGTGAACGTCTGCGTGACGGTGAACTTTATCTCCGTAAACTCAGTGATGACCTACAATAGCGTACGGAGTTTAGCGTACGCTCTTCCTCACCCTGCTCGTCTTGTCTCGTCGAAAAATTGGAGGACAAGGGGCTATAGATGATAATCACTGCCTGCCGAAAAATGGCATGAAGTCAATACAGGCTCGTACAAGATCGCCGAAAAATGGCAATAGGAAAAGCTATGTGAGCAATAGACGCAGAGAAACACGGGAAAGAGAAAGTTCGCACGTGGCGGAAAGAACTGATCTCTAAAAAATGCACTAAAAAGAATAATTGGGCCTAGTATATGTCAAAAGTGTTATGTTACATTGATTTCGTATAGGGACCTGGAGTCTCTACTCCTTTGAACTCTCAATGCACTCCTGACGGCTACTATGACGCAGCCACTAAGCAGATATCCTGAGGGCTGGCATATCTTCTCAACTCCGCTCTTTGCTCGGGTGTCTGCACCGCATCCCCACTCGACGCCAACGCTTTATTCATCGCAGCAGCAGTGGCATAATCGTAGGCGTATTGTTGTTGCATTTGAACCTCGTGAGCGGCTGTTGTCGCCATCACGTATTGCATCTCCTGCGGCGCCTGACACAATGTCCACAGCTCGTTCTCTAGAAGCTTGCAGTACTCCATAAACTCCTCTGTTGTCACGTTCAATCGGAACTTAATCCGGAAGAGAAACTCCAACTCTAATCTGTTCATCTCGCTTGTGGCAACACCACCGACTTTGGCGTAGTACGCGTTATTGTAATATCTGTAGGAGAAAGGAGGAGAAAGAAAAAGGGGAGAAAAGAGTTAGCAACATGTTTCACTGGGAAAAGCGCGCGAATGAGAACGCCATGTCGCGTGAAATTCGCTCAAATTCGTTCCATTGTGAATTAATGAGGTAAGTTAGGTCATGCTGTGGTAACTTACTCGTCGTCAAGAAACTTCGCGGCGATCATGACGCTCGTCGCCAGCAGGCGATGGACGTTCAGCGACGTGATGACCATGTCTGGTTGCGACTTGATCAGGCGGTCGATGTAAATGTACGCGATCACGAAGCACGACGGGCTGCAGTTGGCGTACTTAAATATCCGGTCCAGGTACTTGGCGATGCTGATTCCCGGCGCTCTGAGCCCGTGAAACACCGTCAGCTGCTGACCCGTCTTGCCGCAGATTCTCGGAGGAGCTTGCTCGCTTACCGCGACAACTCTATCGAGAATCGACGCCAAGACTGTAATGATTCCTGGTCGCTCGAACCCCGCTTGGCAATTGAGGCCCAGAGTTGATGTGGCACTTAGTTGCATTGCGCACTCGGGAATGGGCCAGCAAGAAGCCATGGGTGATTCTGATGCGTTGGCAGGAGAAGAAACGAGAAGAAGAGGGAGAGAGGGAGGAGGCAGCTTCGAAGAGGCGCGAGGTTACGTGGATTGCGAAATGACGTCGGCTCGAGTTCAGCGCTGGGCGGGAAGCCGAGTGTGCTGTTCGAGCAGGAGCTAGAGCTACTGAGCGTAGAAATCGAGACAATTTGTCACGAAGAGTGATTCGAGTAGAAGTGGGCGAGATTTTCAAGGAGACTGGTTCACGAGTGACTGGAATCCGAGAAGGCTGGAATGTGTTGGAAACACCGAAGGCCAGAACTCGTGAAGGAGAGGAGATCGAGGGAGTGAAAGATGGATATTTCGGGTGAAGGATGCTCCCCTTTATGTACTCTCTTCCCCAAACATCTCGACTGCGCTTTCACGGGATGCCCGCGTTCGCGGGATGTCCCCATCCCTCTGCTTTGCCTCCCTCCCACTATCCCTGCCTGCCAGCGGGAACCCCTGCGCTCGGCTGGAGATCCTGCGACTGCCACGAGCGCACGGGGCGCACAGAATCGGGCAGGGGTCGACGGGGCGCACAGGAGGACACAGAGACCTCCGAGCAGAGCTGATTTGGTGGTGTGCTGCTCAGGTACGGGAATCGGCCGTGCGAGGCTTGGCTGTGCGAAAAGGCGCAGGCGACATTCTCCCGGGCAGACGATGGAGCCAGACGAATGTTTTCGTTTTTGTTTCGTTGAACACAAACAAGCCGACGGGTGAGTTTGCCCTGCTCCCGCCTTTGGGCCCATGCAAAAAATTCGTACCGCGGATCTCGGTTATCCACAAATTGTTTCGCGACGCCAGGTCAGCCCGTGCCACGCCCAAACCGCTATGACAAGGGGAAAAGTTCGTCGAGATTGTCGCTTCAAGTTATAATTTGGGTGGCAATTTCGTCGGGCACAGACCTCGAGGCGCTTGCGAATGGCTCGTTGCTTGGGCAGGTCGCACACATGTTCCCCCCGAGGCTGATAAAAAATGTCGTCGAGAAGCACAGTTTTGCACAGCGAACGACGAAAGTTGTCGCCGGCTCGCAGCGCCAGTCAGATGAAACCCTGTTGGCAGGCCGTAACGAACGGAAACAGGGTGCACGGGGAAGCGACAGGCACAAAAAGATGAAATGGCGGTTCGGTTTGTAGGGCCAGAATCCAAGCCAGTGCCAGGCCAGACGATAACTATTCCGCAACGATCGGAGAGGGAAGCCATTGTCGCACATTTTGAAACATTCACATCACCCCCCAAAGCAGGTCAGTCGGAAAACCAGTGCCTGGCGGCATTTATAAAATGTTTTCGCAATCCAACGAGCGTCGCACAGATGTCGCCGGACGTGTGCCTTCCGCCTCGGGCAGAAAATGTGAAAGACGCCAGGCGACACTATTGGCAGAACGAGACGACAGGATCAAAGTGTCCAGCGTCCAGTAGCTGCGTCCAATCACAGAAACCCCGTGAAATGTGGGCATCCGAAACAGTGTGCCACTTGAAGGTTCCCGTAATTGCTAGGCGGCACTCCTCCTCCCGCCGGATGAGCACATGGTCTGTCCCCTTCCCGGATTGGGCGAGACCCGATAGCAGCAAAATTCGAATTCCTTATTGGTGCGGCGTTTCTGGTTCTGGTGCTTGGCCCTGACCTAGATTATCGCACTGCCAGAATGACACAATTTCCTGCTGCCTCTTCGTTACAAGCTGATTTCCCGCTTTACTAGGCGAGCTCAACTCTAGAATGAATTTTAGACCACTGCACCAGTATGAAGCTTTGAAAGTCAATCTTGCTAGGGTTCAATTTGCATGTGTTGCTTGCAACCCCATATCATCACCAAAACAGCATCAATCCCTCACGAATAAAGCATATAGAGCATTAAATGCAATGCAACATGTGACAACACAAAACACAATAGCTCCACATTGTGACTGACCAGTGACCACACTGTTAGCATCATACCGTTACTGTTGAGTAGTCAGCATACTAAACGGCAAGAGAAAATAAATACACATACCGATACATAAGGAATTGGTTGAGCAATGGGAGTGGGGAGGGAGGGAGGGGGTGGGAGGTGGAGGTAAGGGTGGTAGACTGTTCTAGCTTATGATACAGGAAGGCCTAGTGTTGCAATTCCAGTTAGAAAATCAACTCCTCCCTCCTCCCCATCCTTGCACTGACATGCGCATTTATGCCCACCAGCTGACCCTCCCAACCACTCAGTCATCCCTCGTCCCCTGCTTATCGCCATTTCAACACACAAGAAAGCTCTCCTCTCCCCCTTCCACCTCCTTGACATCTACCCCAATGCAGTTTCCCATGGGAAAATCATGCAGTCTCCTCTCCAACACCTCCAGGTCCAGGGCCCCAGACACATGCGGCCTCTCCGTAATTAACAACACACCACACCACGCATGCTGTCTTGCATTGCGCTGCGTCCCTTGTTTTCTAATATGCACTCCTTCCTCTCTCTGCTTCCCTCACTGCTCGTTTCTCACTCCACAACTTTTGCGTCTATCCCCATGCGGTTCCCTTTGGCAAAGTCGTGCAGATGCTCCAGCACCTGCAGGGACATGTGCCCTCTGTCGCCATCCGCACAAACTTACACGCACCCACGAGAAAGCTCTCCACCTCTCTCACTCCACATCCCTCGCTCAACATCCCTCACTCCACACCCCTCTCTCCTCCCTCACTCCTCCCTCACTCCTCCCTCACTCCACCTCCTTGGCGTCTATCCCCATGCGGATCCCCTTGGCAAAGTCGTGCAGATTCTCCAGCACCTCAAGAGCCTCAGGCATGGAGGGGCGGTCGGCGGGCACGGTCTGGGTGCACTGCAGGGCGAGCGTGACGACGCCCATGATCTCATCCTCATACAGCAACGCATCGTCTATCCTCTCGTCCACGAAGGAGGCTACAGTGTGCATCCCCACCCACCTGCAGCATGGGGGGACGAAGGTGCGAGAGGGAGGGTGCGGTTTTGTGGGGGTTGGGGGGTAAACGAAGGAGGTGTAGGAGGGTTGGGGGTGTAAATGGAGGGTGGTGGGGGAGGGGAGTGAAAGCGTGAATGATGGAAGGCACAACCCCCGTTGGAAACAGAACAGCATGCACACATAAAGCTTGTCTTAGCCTGTTCAAATAATATCATCCTGATCCAGCATCTGCCACAAAACATCCTCCTCCCCATAACCATCACATGCATCATCACCACCACCATCAGCATGAGTCATCCATCCACCTCATCATCCCCGTCACCCGCGTCCTACCTGGCGAGCCCTCGTTCCGCAACGTCACTATCCGTAGGCAGCTTCCCGGTAATCACCTGCAGCACCAGCACTCCGAACGCAAACACATCGCTCTTGAACGACAGCCGCCCGCGCTGCGAATACTCGGGCGACAAATACCCCACCGTCCCAAACACACTCGTGCTCATATGAGTCCGGCTCGCATCCGCCTCCCTCGCCAGCCCAAAATCCGCCACCTTAGCTTCTAAATTCTCGTCCAGGAGAATATTCGCGGGCTTCATATCTCGGTGTATGATCCCTGGGGTGCAATCCTGGTGAAGGTATTTGAGGGCTCTAGCTGTACCCTCTAAGATGTTCCTCCTTACAGCCCACCGCCGCATCGGCGAGTCTTTGCCCATTTCGCGAGCTAGGACCTGGTCGAGTGAGCCGCCCGGGAGGAAGTCGTAGATTAAGAGGCGCTCCTGGGCGGGCGGTGGGGAGAGGTATGCGGCGACTAGGACTACTAGGTTGCGGTGCCGCACGTTGCCGAGGGTGTTCATTTCGGCTTCAAACTCCCTCTGCCCCTGGCTGCTTCCCAACGCCAGGCGTTTTATGGCCACTGACCTTCCATCTTGCAGTGTGGCCCTGAGTGAAAGGGAAAAGGGAGGGTGTGTTTGGGGAGTGTGGTGTAAGGGGGGGGGGGGGTGGGGGTTAGGGTGGGGGGAAGGGCAGGGGCAGGGGCAGGGGCAGGGGGGATAGGAATGAGTGAGAGGGAGGGGAGAGGTATGCGGCGACCAGGACTACTAAATTGCGGTGGCGCACGTTGCCGAGGGTGTTCATCTCGGCTTCAAACTCCCGCTGCCCCCGACTCAAACTCCCGCTGCCCCTGGCTGCTACCCAACGCCAGGCGCTTTATCGCCACTGCCCTTCCATCCTGCAGTGTGGCCCAGGGGGAGGGAGGATGGGGGAGGGAGGTGGGGGGAGAAGGAGGAGTATAAGAGAGGGCAGAGAGGGTAGGGCCGCTGCCCCTGGCTGCTTCCTACTGCCAGGCGCTTTACGGCCGCTGCCCTGCCATCCTGCAGTGTGGCCCTGGGGGAGGGAGGAGAGGCAGAGGGAGGGGATGGGGAGGGTCAGGGGGATAGGATGGAGCAGCCTGGGGCAGGGGCATGGGGAGGAACAGGGATGGAGGAAGGCGATGCAATGAGGTAACAGGAATTAGGAAGGCTTAAAGTACTAGGTTTTCAGTGGGCGGCGTAATTGCCACCGCACATGGAGCACTCTCCCTTACACACCAAGCCGTGCCCTGCCCCCAGCAGGACTCTGTAGCTTGACTTCTCTGCAGCATCCCCCCCGTGGCATCCCCCCCGTGGCATCCCCCCCGTGGCATTCCCCCCGTGGCATCCCCCCCGTGGCATCCCCCCCGTGGCATCCCCCCCGTGGCATCCCCCCCGTGGCATCCCCCCCGTGGCATCCCCCCCGTGGCATCCCCCCCGTGGCATTCCCCCCGTGGCATCCCCCCCGTGGCATTCCCCCCGTGGCATCCCCCCCGTGGCATCCCCCCCGTGGCATCCCCCCCGTGGCATCCCCCCCGTGGCATCCCCCCCGTGGCATCCCCCCCGTGGCATCCCCCCCGTGGCATTCCCCCCGTGGCATCCCCCCCGTGGCATCCCCCCCGTGGCATTCCCCCCGTGGCATCCCCCCCGTGGCATCCCCCCCGTGGCATCCCCCCCGTGGCATTCCCCCCGTGGCATCCCCCCCGTGGCATTCCCCCCGTGGCATCCCCCCCGTGGCATCCCCCCCGTGGCATCCCCCCCGTGGCATTCCCCCCGTGGCATCCCCCCCGTGGCATCCCCCCCGTGGCATCCCCCCCGTGGCATCCCCCCCGTGGCATCCCCCCCGTGGCATCCCCCCCGTGGCATCCCCCCCGTGGCATTCCCCCCGTGGCATTCCCCCCGTGGCATCCCCCCCGTGGCATCCCCCCGTGGCATCCCCCCCGTGGCATCCCCCCCGTGGCATCCCCCCCGTGGCATCCCCCCCGTGGCATCCCCCCCGTGGCATTTCCCCCGTGGCATCCCCCCCGTGGCATCCCCCCCGCAGCATCCAGAACGCCCAGCCCGCAACAACCACATTGCCTCACTACCTCATTGCAACCACTAACCACCGAGTCAAGGACTCAGCTTACCCCAAGAGTTACCACATGTTACTCTCCACTCACAACCGCTGGTTACCGCTCACTACCACTTGCAAGCACCAGTTCTTACCTGTAAACAGAGCCAAAGCCTCCTCGGCCCAGCAGGAACTTGTTGCTGAAATCTTCAGTAGCATCAACCACATCTGTCACCGTGAGCTTAAAACCCAGCTTCTCAAACACCAGCATTGTCCCCCCATCCAGACTCGGCCCTCTCCTTCGCGCAAACAGCCACAGCCACAGCAGCACCAGCAGCACCAGCAGCGCCGCTACAAACGCCGCACAGCCCACCGCGATCCCTGCAATCGCTCCAGGAGAGAACCCTCCTGTGCTCTCGTAGGGGGCCACTGGGCAGGAGGCGTATCCGAACCCTCCGCACAGTCCCAGGTTGCCTTGTAACGCGGATGCAGGGAGGGGAGTGCCGGTGCCGGTGGTGTTGAAGGGAATTTGACCAAGGAGGTCGTTGTAGGAGAAATCCAGGGCTGTGGCGGAGGTATTCGTGTTGGAGAAACCGTAGGGAATAGCACCAAAAAAGTGGTTATGAGAGAGGTTTAGGTAGAGGAGGCGGGGGAGGAAAGGAGGGGCTAGTTGCGGGGGAATCGGGCCGTTGAAAATGTTTCTGCTAACGTCCAAAGAGGTGAGAAGGGAGAGGGCGCTGATTTCTGATGAGAGGTGGGAGGAGAGGTTATTCCCGCTGAAACTTAGCGAGCGGAGCACCTGCAGCTGGCTAAGTGTCGGTGGAAGGGAACCTGAAAGTCGATTGTCTGATACGTCGATAGCCCGTGCTGAGATCAGGTTACCAATGGAAGCCGGAACGGGACCTTCCAGGAGGTTTCCTGCAAGGCCGAGGGTGAAAATGGGAGAGGGGCGAAGCTGTGTGGTGATAGTATCGAGCGTGCCTGTAAGGGAGTTGTGCGAGACGTTGAAGGATTGGAGTCTAGGGCAGGGAGAGAGGGAGGGGAGGAGGAGGGGGCCTGAGAACTGGTTAGAGTCTAGGAGGAGGGTGGTGAGATGGGCACATTTGGGTAGGAAGGGAAGAGGGCCGGTGAGACGGTTGTGACTCAGAGAAAGGTACTGGAAGGCTGGTGCTTTCTGTGGCGGTGCTGCCCCTGCTCCTGCCCCTCCTCCTGCTGCTGCTCCGGCTGCCGCCGCTACCGCTGACAGTGTTGATGCTGCTGCTGCAGATGCCGATGGTGGTGGGGTTTGTTTGGATGGCCTAGCGTTACCCAGAAGGATTTCGGGCAGGTCCCCGGACAGAGAGTTGTTGCTCAAGTCTAGGGCTGTCAAGGACGGGCAGATAAACCCTGCCGGAATCCTGCCCGAGAAGGAATTGTTCGCCAGGTAAATCATCGACGGGCAGGAATTGAGTTCCGGAAGCTTCCCGGAAAGCCGGTTGCTGCTGGCATCCAGCACGCCCAGCGTCACAACATCGCCAATTTCCGAGGGTAAATTACCCTCGAAGCTATTGTTCATAAGGTAAATCTCCCCCACCGACGTCCCTGCGAGGGACGTGAAGAAAGCCGGCGAAAGCTGCCCTGAAAGTAAATTGCTCGACACATCGAGTGAGTAAAGCAAGTAGCAGGAAGAGAGGTCAGCAGGAAGACCACCAGTGAACCGGTTTGAACCGAGCTGAACCAGATACAAGGACATGCCACAGCCGTTTTGCAACGGCAGGGGGCCAGAGAGCTGGTTGTGGGATAACGAAAGGAGGATAAGGTTGTTAAAGGAGGTGAAGAAGGAGCCTTTTTGAGGAATGGGCCCTGATAGGTTATTGGAGGAGAGGTCTAGGGCTTGGAGGGACGAGAGTGACGAGAGGGATTCGGGCAGCAGGCCGGAAAGAAGGTTTCGGTGAAGGTAGAGGCCTGGGTATGGGGCGAGGAATGGGCCGTTCCCGAGGTTTGTCAGCTGCCCGAGCTCGGATGGCAAGCTGCCCGAAAGGGAGTTTTGCCCGAGGTTTAAGTTCACGAGCATTTTCGCGAGCCGGGATATCCGCGGGGTAATTTCCCCTGAGAAATTGTTCGCCTCCAGGTTAAGATTCGTAAGGTGGGAAAGCGACGCCAGGGCAGTGGGTAACTGCCCGGACATTAGATTATACGCCAGCTCTAAGTGTTGAAGGGAGGAGAAGAGAGAGATGGAGTCCGGGATGGGGCCGAGGAGCCTATGTCCTGAGAGAGAGAGGACTTGGAGCGAGGAGCAGGCGGCGAGGTGGGAGGGGAAGGCGCCTATGAGTCCAGCCATTTCGCGGTAGTCGCGATTATTGTGGAGAGTAAGGTTGGTGAGGGCTGTGAGGGCGGAGAACTGCTGGGGAATGAGAGGGAGGGTGGGGAGACTGGGGGAACTGGGGAGGGTGGGTGAAATCTGGAAAGTAGGGCTGCTGCTGCTGCTGCTGCTGCTGCCTCCGCCGCTGCTGTTGCTGACGCTGCTGCTGTTGCTGCTGCTACCAGCCACGTCACCGCTGCTCCCCCCACCACTCGCCGCACCTGAACCGTCCCAATTCTCCTCCACCACAGACCTCCGGGTGAGCATCAGCACAGGCCTCTGGTCCAGGTCCGGGCCGAACCTGGTCATACTCAGCCCAACCACCCTCCGCTCCCCACCAGGGCGGGCGGGGGAGCAGGTGACGAAGCGCCAGGCGCAGAGGAAGCTGTAGGGGTCGGGGGAGGCGGGGGAAGAGGCGGAGGAGACGGAGGAGGCGGAGTTGGCGGATGGGGCGGAGGAGGCGGAGAAGGCGGAGCGGGGGACAACCCATGAGGCGAGGAGATCATCAAACACGATGACGGACGCCTTGAAGGCCAGCAGCGCGTTCAGCTCCGCCAGGGCTTGCGGGTCTGGCGGGGGAGCGGAGGAGGACGTTGGGGAAGATGAGGCAGCCTGAGATGAAGCTCCGCTTCCTCCTGCCTGTGGATTCACCTCCAGCTGGCTCCTCATTGCTCCCATAGACTCTCCTGTTCCTCCTGCTCCTTCGCCTCCTCCTGCTCCCCCTGCTAATTCTGCCGCTCCTGCACCGGCTGCTGCTGCTGGTTCCGCTTTGAGCAGGCCCACTGCCCGGCTCACACCCGCCACCTCCCTCAGCGAAACCCCCCTGTGGCCGCCAGACGGATACGCGGAGTTCGCGTCACCCCGTCCCTCCACATTGAAACCCGCCGGGACTTCGACAGACAAGCTCGCTCCGACTTTCCTCAGGCGTGTAACTCGCCGGAACTCATCCTCAGAAACGCACGCGCCCTCGCTGCTGTCCTCTTCTTCTCTGAAACTCCCCAAGCCTGCCTCGAGGAACAGCGTGTGCGGTGGACAGTGGTGCAGAGCGGCGAGAGCCTGGCTGGAGCAGCGGAAGTATACACTGGGAGGCGGCGGGGCACGAGGGGACGAGCGGGAGAGAGGAGAGACGGGCAGGATGGGAGAGGAGGGAGGGGATGAGAGGAAGAAGAGAAGCGGATACTTGAAAAGGGAAGGAGCGAGGAAGAACAATAAAAAGGGTCGTGAGAGGATAGAAGGACATTTATGTCAGGGTTTTCGTGATGGGTTTTGAATCGCACTGTCACTGGAAGGGAATGGAGTCGTCTCAAACGCCTGAAACGCGGACTTACTTGTACGAAGGGTTGGACAGGGGGTCTGCGTGAAGGCCGTCCGAGAGCCCTCTGCACCAATCGTCGCTCTGGATTCTCTCATGGAGACCCTGCTGACGTGGACGCATCAAGACAAACGGGAAGAGGGAAATGTCGCGGTTTCAAAAAGGGATTCACGCCGAGAAAATACAAGGAACACGGCTGGAACGTTAGGATGTAACCTATTCTTGAGGCGTTGGGGTGCAAAACATGCAGACATCCGCTACCAAGAAGGCGGCGAGACTATTCTATCGGCGGAAAAAGACGAACCTTGAGGTGACTCAAGGTCGGCCGGGCAGAGACCCTAGACGATTTCCGTCTCAACCTCTGCGCGTCCAGCTTCTCTCGCAAAGCGCGGGCCCGCTCCCTCAAGGCTTGGTGTTGAGAGACTGAATCTAACGGTTCTAATGTTTCCAAAGGCTCCAACGGCTGTAGTAGCGGTATATGTTCTACCGATGTTTGTGATGGTACTCTCTGCTTGTGCTGCTGGTGCTCGACCTGCTTCTGCTGCTGTTGCTGCTGCTGGAGATCCATTGACGAGGAGAGGACGGCATTTGTAGATGATATTGAGCCAAGGATGAGTAGGGAGCAGCAGCAGAGGAGAGGCAACAGGTATCGAGACCGCCTGTAACGAGAAAGACGCTGTAGCTGTACGGTCATGGCGTTTCGCGCCATGATGCGCGTCGTGGCGACGGACGACAGGCAGAAAACCTCGTAAAGATGTACCTCGAGATGATAAGATGTTGGCCACTAGGATGTACACGGAACGACAGGAACGACAGGCTGCTGATGTGAAGACGCTACTGGCAACTCGAGACGCTACTCTGAAGTCGGGGACATTTCCGGATGAACTAGAAACGTTTCGGCTTGGTTTCTGAACAACGAATAGTCAGAGTAAGATGTCTTTTTCGACGCAGAGGTGAAGTGTCCGTGAAAAATCCATCGCCTAGACATTCCAACGCCTCGCCTCACTTTTCCGACTCGTCGGTTTCACTCTGCTCCTTGGACCCTCGACTCGCATTCCTACAGAAGCTACTGAAACAGAAGCTACTATCAGCATGCTAAACTTTCCTAATGTAGGCCTGCAGTCACCAGCTTGCAGTTGATGAATTGCTGCACACTAGGGTTCCCAAGGTGCCCAAAAGTGCACTTCCAGCGGTTAAATTGAGATGAATTGCGTGTCATAACGGTTCAATTGCATGCTAGATGGATTGGGAGACCGTTTTCAGAACACCACCTCATCCACCCCTCAAGCCTGCTCTCGAGCATGTCAATCCCAAGGTTGTTTCGGCTAGGCCAAACGAAACCGTCAGGTTCGAACGGAGCTGCTGCCGGGCCCAGCGGAAGCAGAGTTCGCCTGGGGGAGCAGAGCAGACACGAAACGGAACGCAGAACCGTCAGCTTCGACTGTTGCTCGCAAGTCAACATGCCCACTCGTCGTTTTTGTCCTGTCTGTCGGTTCAGGAGGAATCGCAGCTGTCCGTGAGTTCTTCAGCTACGTGTGAACCGTCGATTCACGGGGCTGCACAACGCAACGAAAGTCGTGCATTGTGGCCTGATTCGACTTCCTGTAAACTCGCTAACCTGCACTTCATTTGTGTTTAAAACAATACACTTCGTTCTCTTCTTAATAATCAACCCTGTATGGGTTCCACATGCAAATGTAAAATATAAACCATGGCCCAGATCAATGTGTTTACTGACAATGGCTGCACAACTTATGAAGCAGTAGTAGCTTGCATTGCGACTCACCCGCTTTCCCTGTTGCCATTCTCGCCTCAACGAGCAATTCTTGGGGTAGCATGCTTACGGTTTTCGGACGACGGCGACAGCTTCTTGACCATTTGGGACGATTGAAGGCAGTGCACAACGAGACGCGGCCGAACCGTTTGGCATCATCCTTCGACTTTCTTGCGCGTGCATTTCGTCAGCTTCAGTCGGACGTAGTACTGCTTCGATCTGGCATACTCTTTACGAGCATGACGATTGAGAAAAACTACCAGATAGACCAGCCGGTTCGTACGAACAGCTGCTGCGCATCTGCTTCGGACTCTCACCTACTCGTATCAGCGCCGTCCGATCATGCTTCAGAAGGTATCCACGATCCTTCCAGGGAGTCACGACCCATGGCAGAAACCAAGAATCCGATGAGAGACTCAGCGATGGAACCATCCCCGACATTATCTTCCTCGTTTCCAACTCCTGTAACCCCGCTCCCTCCTTTAGAATCCTCCTCGATCGAAACCCAACGAGCTCAAGCCGCCGAGGCAGCGGCAGCGGCCGGCATCTCAATACTCCCAGACATGATTCTGTTGGAAGACGACTGGCTGATTGCCGTGCAGAAACCGCCAGGAGTGTACAGCGAACACATCCTATCAGCCGTGGGTGCCATGCTGATCATGCGAGACCGAGCTACAGACGCCAAACGACCAAGCACGGAAAGCGCGGACGAGTCGCAAACGCCATCAGGTGTAACTGTGGTCAGAGAGCTTCCAGTGCAGGGCACACCTCATGCTGATAGGAAGACGGCATTGGGTGCGGAGAACTTAGCAACAGAAATGCAGGGTTCGAACTCCATCAGCAGTACGCCAGTTGCAACTGGCAGTCACACGGAGTTGTCACCCACGAGGTTACCAGCTTCCACCCCGTTTCTGGTGCACCGATTGGATCGCGACACCAGCGGTGTGCTGCTGCTGGCCAAGACTGCAAAGTCAGCTGCCACTTTAGGGAAGGCGTTTGAGAGGAGGGACGTCAGCAAGTCGTACTTGGCTCTCTGTGCTCTTTCAGAAGCCTCTGCCGTTGCACCCAGTAGGGATGCTCGCAGTGGTACAGAGGCAGTTGGATCTGCATGTGCTTCCGTTTCTCCCCCTGCTTCTCCCACTGCTTCTGTGCGTGCTTCTGCCACAACGTTTGCCTCTGCCTCTGCATCTGCTTCAAGGCCTGCTCCGTGCGAGACTTGCGATTTGAAGGCAGGCGACGAAATGGTTTTGGAAACAGGCCATGGCAGATCACGGCACGGGCTATGGCGTGTGTATGATGTGAAGGATATTGGGAGGAAGCTTCCAGGTGGGACAAGGGTGAGGGATATGCGGACCAAACTGGTAGTTCTGGCAGTGGTAAAGACAACGGATTCTCGCTCGTCTGATGCAGGGCAAGAGCAAACAGCTCTAGAACCTTGTGCAACTACTCCACATGCCCCATATGCTGTTCTGGTCCGGGCCTTCCCCCATACGGGACGCTCCCACCAGATTCGTCTGCACTGCCAGTTTGCGGGGTTTCCCCTGGTGGGGGATGTCAGGTATGGAGGACCAACAGAGTGGCCTATGGAGGGAAGAGTTTGGTGGCATCACCTTTTGCATGCGGAGCGCTTGGAGTTCCCACATCCAAGCACTGCGGAGCGGGTTGTGGTGCATGGTGCATTGCCCTCTTGGGCTCAGGAGGCCTTGCGAAATTCAAGCATATGAGACTTATCCACGGTAATACCTAGGCCTTTGTTGGTTAGTTTTTAGAAATCTTTTAGTTTTAATGTATTGTGTAAGCATAATGAATCATGTTATTGTAACTGTTGTATTTCAGATATTGATATGTTCAGGCATTTGAAGGTTTGAGCCGAGGTCATTTCTGATTGGTGAACGGATTTTCCCCCCGAATTGTCCCGAACGCCCCAGACACACTGACATCCTCAGAGCACAGCACTTTCCAAAGGGTTCGCTTCGGCGCGAAGACTTGTGAGGAGGTGCGGTACAGTACTTTGCCGTAATGATCTTCCGTTAGAAGAACAGACCGGGGAGCCCGAACCGTGAACGCGTTCAGGGAGAGACAGAGCTAGGCGGAGAGGAGAGCCCTTTCCCACCCGACAGGGAATTCTGGGACAGTCTTGTCTGGGATGTCTGTCTGTAGTCTGGAGGAAGGACACGAGCCCTACAAGTGTAGGGCAAACTGGTTGGACAAAAGTTCGTTCTTTCTCCTCCAGACGCCATTTCCTCAACAGACCCTTTCCTCGGGATTTATTATTCAGCGGCACGGCGTGTCATTTCAGTGCGACGTTCTTTGCTTACGATTCTTTGTCTCCTGCGTCCTTGTTTAGTATTTGAAATCTTGCGTTAGGTAGAGTAGCTGGTGTGTTTACTTCCTTGGTTCATCCATTTTTTTAGCTGCTATGGATGTCGACGAGTGTGCCGAAGCATTAGGGAAACCGTTACGAAAGGAGCGGGAGGGAAAAAAGGAGTATTTGCTGTACAGAGCGCTCAAATGGCAAGGCAACATATACAAGCTCGTAAGATTACATTATCGTACTCTATAAGTGCAGCTATGTCGGCTTAGGTTACACCCGAGCGTTGACTGATCGTATCCCAGGTTGCGTCCTTAACATTCGTTGTTTCATCAAAGCACAGAAAGTCGTTCATTCTCCCCATTCTGACCTGCTGCTTGCGTTTTTCATGAAAGGTTTGGAATTCGTTGCATGCGGTATGATCATACAAGCTTGTCTGACCCTTTTTAGAAGATGATTAATGGGTTATTCCTTGCCATCCTGCTGTCTTCGGTTGTTTTTCAGGGAGACCCAGTCTTGGTGTGGTCTGATGAGAGCTTAAGCAAGACGGTTAGCGACGGCCTGAAAGAGCCAGCTATCAACGACGAACCTGTGCCATTCATTTGCATCATTCGGGTAAGATCTTTCATAAATTCACTTGCGACCATGCCGTTTTGTATCAGTAAGTGTTTTTTTTATATTGAACTTTATTTCTTATGCATTTTTTTTATTTGGCTTCATGATATTCTGCAGGAAATACGCCAGCAAGTCAGAGCCGGAGCTCTGGCTCCAGTAGAAGTCGTCGGCCAGTGGATGTACTCCGTTCAGGAGATTTCGGAGGACAGACAGAAGTTCCATGGTTTCAGCAAATCCTCATGCTCATCACTGCCGTACAACGAACAGGAGCTAACGGATCGTCGGCTCCTCTTCTACTCTTTTCACACGGATCCGTTCGACGCTGAAGCTATTGCTGGTAAATGTACCATTCATATGCTTCCACGAGCCAAGGGTTTTCCTAAGGAGGAAGAAGCTGGCGGATTCGTGGTGCACTTCGTCTATCGCCATATGGATGGACGGATCGTGGCCGTTGATGACCGGAGTAGGATGGAACGGGGAGAGTGGAAGGAGGTTGAAACGGCACTGCAGGAATCCCGAATGAGGCTGAAGAAGGTGCAGAGGCAAAAATCCGGAAACTTGACGGATTTGACCCGGAGTAAGCGTGTCAGGGAGGAAGAGCCGGGAGATAGGTCGGATTCTGAAGATGAGAGGAGTGATAGTGAGCCGCTTCATGCAAGGGTGGGTAATTCGGCAAAAAGGAGGCGGGAAGCTGATGTGGAGACTTCGGATGATGATATTCCAATAGGAGCGAGGGTCAACAACGAGAAGGCGAAGAGAAGAAAAGTCGCCATGCAGAAGGATCCGTTACAGCCCGATTTGGCTGTTTCCATACGTCATCCAGAGGCTGTCAGGAAAGCTAATCCAGCAAAAGTGAAGGGTGATTCCGGCATCTGTTTTAAGCGTTTGAGGAAGATGAAGCAGCGGGTGGTAAGCGATGATGAGGAGGATCATCAGGGGTTGCTGGAGATGCAGGAGAGTGAAGAGGATATTGGTGGTGGGGAGTTGGACGAAGACAATAGCAGGCAAAGGAATACGTGTGGTATTCACCCAGGAGACCCAGGAGACTACTTGTGGAACCGACGAAGCAGGGATGAAAGGCTGGATGAAGGAGGTAGTGCGGATGCAGCAACCACGAAGCAGCAGAGTAGGGAATCGGTAGAGCAAGTGCGTGGAGAGGCAAGGACGGCTGTGGCGGAATTGGGGGCAGTGAAGAGGTCAGCGTCGTTTAAGAGAGGTGCGGAGGAGAGGGGAGGGAAGGAGGACGGGAGAAGCGGCGCCCTTGCCCTTGGTCGCTCTCCATCTGCTGAAAGTGCAGAGAATGTCAGAAAGAAAGCCTATGGCACGCAGGGGAAAAAAACGATTGAGAGGGATGCTGAAAGAAAGGGAGAGAAGGGTCCAGAGAAAGATAGAGAAAAGGGTGGAGAGAAGGTAAGCGAGGTGACAGTGCTGGAGAAGTCACAGGTGGGAGGGAGGGTTCTTGCTCGATCACACAGTGGAAAACGGTGCATGGCATCCAGCAATGCACCTCGTGGTAGTGCTGCTGCTTCTGCTGCAGCTGGCACAAATGGTGATACCTCTCATGCTCCTGCTGCTCTTGCTAGATCACACATTGGAAAACGGTGTATGGCATCGAGCAATCCACCTTGTAGTAGTGCTGCTGCTGGCACAAAGGGCGATACATCCCATGCCCCTGGTTTTGGCTCTGGTCCATCCGTTTCGGGGTCGCACTCGCAGAACTCTACAGCAGCAGAGATCCTGGAGCGTGCTGGCTGCTGCACTGGCATCCCCAAGCGGGACCACATGCTAGAGTTGCTGCTCTCCTCGCTTCTCTCCGCAACCTCCTCCTCGCCGTGCGCCTCACCTAGGGCCTCTGGCGCTGCTTCCGTTCCTGCAAACGCCTCCTCCACTGCTGCTGCTGTTGCCGGATCCTCCTCTGCTGCTGCTGCAGTTCCCACAGTCAGTTCCTCTGCAGCTGCAATTCCAAGAGTCGTTTTTTCTGCTGCTGCTGCAGTTCCCACGGTCAGTGCATTTGCTGCTGCACCGGATTCATGCGTCCACGAGAAGCAGCGCGAGTGGGAGATGAAGGCAGCGAGAGCGGTGGCTGATCTGGAAGAGCTCGCGAATGAGAAGCTGGGGGATGGCGTGGGGTCCCGGTATACCATCAAGCTGAGATCCGTGCGAGCAAATTTCAAGGTGAGTGGTTTCCGTCTCGTAGCTTTCATTCGAGTTGTGCACTGCGTGCTGGCGTTGTGCTTCCTCCACGTGACGTCGTTTCCATGTCATCTACAAACACACGCTTTGCACCTGCCACCTCTATCTATGCACTCCTGCAGAGTGGGAACTGCCTCTCGCGGCGCTTCGTCCTGGGTGAGCTCTCGCCAGCAGATGTGCTCTCCATGTCACCAGAGGAGCTCAAGGTAATTATCTCCTTCGTCCCATTCCCCCCAACCAGCGTCTGTTTTCTAAGCGCCTTGAACATAGACTCCTGCATTCAGCCTAACCCTCCATTTCACTAGAGAATGTCAACTCGTCCCATTTCCCTCAGGCTTCATCGTCTCAGCATCTTCTTTACTCTGTGTTCCCCCTCTTCCCCACTCCACGCTCTACCTCCCCACACCACCCGTACAACCCTTCACCACACCATTCTTTTCCCCCTTTCTCTTTCCCCTTTTTTTTTTAGGACGGTCTGACGAGGCGGGAAAAGGCACTGATCGCTCCTCCTGTTGCCAGGCCCGGTCGCAGCGAGTGCTTGCAGTGGGTGGGGATACGGTGCTCCCAGTGCAACTTGCGGGGGGACCGGCAGGTGAAGATTCTGGATATCCTCAACAGCCCCAAGGGGCAGCAGTACAAGGTGAGGGGCAGCAGTACAAGGTGAGGGCGCCAAGTGAGTGTTGACGCATTTCAAAGTGCATTGGGTGGGGATGTGTTCGCGTGAGAGAACCAGCAGGTGAAGGTTTTGGATATCCGCAGCAGCCCCAAGAGGCAGCAGTACAAGTGAGTCCGCCCCTACTTTTTCCCTTACTTCCGCTTCCACCGCATGCTTAAGACATATTTTTTTGTCAGTGTCTGCTGCCGCTTTCTTTGATAACATGTTGAGACTTTATTCCCCTCCCCCCACCATCCCCCCCCCCCCCTCCCCTCCCTTCCTCCGCACAGTTGGAGTGTGCAACGTGTGGTCACGAGTGGTTCCTGTCTGCTGATGCGGTTCTTGCTGCTTCCTCTCCTGCAAAACCCGCTTCTCGTGTCTCGGGCGCCGCTCCTCCTGGTGTGACTCATAACACTACAACAGCTGCTGATGCTGCTGCTGCTGCTGGTGGTGCTGCTGCTGCACCAGCCCCTCGTGGTCCCTCTCGTCTTGGTGTAATGTGTAACACTGCAACGGCTGCTGATGCTGATGCTGATGCTGGTGTTGCCACTATTGCTGCTGCTGCACCAGCTGATCGTGGTCCCTCTCGTCTTGGTGTAACTCAAAACAATGTCGTGGCTGCCGCTTCAGGTGCTGCTGCTTCTCCTCCTCCGGCTGCTGCTGCTTCTGGTGCTCCGGCTGCTCCTCCTGCTGCTGCACCAGCTGATCGTGGTCCCTCTCGTCTTGGTGTAACTCGAAACAATGTCGTGGCTGCCGCTTCAGGTGCTGCTGCTTGTCCTCCTCCGGCTGCTGCTGCTTCTGGTGCTCCGGCTGCTCCTCCTGCTGCTGCACCAGCTGATCGTGGTCCCTCTCGTCTTGCTGTAACTCGAAACAATGTCGTGGCTGCCGCTTCAGGTGCTGCTGCTTCTCCTCCTCCGGCTGCTGCTGCTTCTGGTGCTCCGGCTGCTCCTCCTGCTGCTGCACCAGCTGATCGTGGTCCCTTTCGTCTTGGTGTAACTCGAAACAATGTCATGGCTGCTGCTTCTGATGCTGCTTCTGGTGCTGCTGCCGCACCTACTGCTGCTGCTGCTGCTGCTGCTGCTCCTCATGATCCCGCATTTCTTCGTGTGACTCGTAACAATGTACCAGCTTCTGCTGCTGCTTCTGCTGCCGCCGTTGCTGCCGCTTCTGCTGCTGCCGTTGCTGCCGCTTCTGCTGCTGCCGTTGCTGCCGCACCTCCCCATGCCCCTTGTCCTCTTCGTGTGACTCGTATCAATGTTCCTGCCGCAGCTGCTGGTGCTGCTGCTGCTGGTGTTGTTGGTGGTTGTGCTGCTGCTGGTGCTGCTGCTGGTGCTGCTGCTGCTGGTGTTGTTGGCGGTTGTGCTGCTGCTGGTGCTGCTGCTGCTGGTGTTGTTGGTGGTGCTGCTGCTGGTGGTGCTGCTGGTGGTGGTGGTGCTGCTGCTGCTAGTTGGCGGTGCTGCTGCTGGTGGTGGTGCTGCTGCTGGTGCTGGTGCTGGTGGTGGTGGTGCTGCTGCTGCTGCTGCTGCTGCTGCAGCTCCTCCTGCTTCCTCGCGTCTAGGTGTGCCTCATGACACTGCAACTCCCGTGGCTGCTCTTGCTCATCATACCTCCTGTCCTGTTGGTGTGACTCGGGACACTGCAACTACTTCTGCTGCTGCTGCTGTCGCCACCCCTGCCCCTGTTGCTGCTGTCGCTGCTGCTGCTAATCGTGCCTTGGCCGCTTCTGCTGTTGCTGTTGCTACTGCTGCTCATACCCCCATTCCTACTGATGCAGCAGGTTCATCTGCCGCTACTCCCACTGCTTCTCACACCCCCGTGTCTCAGAATGTATTCAGTAACTTTACCGCTGCTGCTGGTGTTGCTGCCCCTCGTCAGGCGTCTACCCTTAATGGTGCAACTAATCATGTCTCACCTCTTGCCGCCGCCGCTGCTGCTGCTGCTATTGCATCTGCTCTTGGAGTTCCTGCTCCTGCTCCTGCTCCCGCTCCCGCTCCTGCTCCCGCTCCTACTCCTACTCCTGCTTCTGCTCCTGCTTCTGCTCCCGCTCCTGCTCCTGCTCCCGCTCCTGCTCCTGCTTCTGCTCCCGCTCCTGCTCCTGGTTCTGCTCCCGCTCCTGCTCCTGCTCCTGCTCCTCCTCCACCTCCTCCTGCTCGTCGTCGTGCTAATGCTCATACTCGTGCTCGCGCTCGTACTCACGCTCGTGCTCGCGCTCGTACTCACGCTCGTGCTCGCGCTCGTGCTATTGCTCGTGCTCTTTTGCGTGGTGCTCTTCGTGCTCCTGCTCCTGCTCCTGCTCCTGCTCCTGCTCTTTCTCCTGTTGCTCGTGCTTTGGCTGCAGCTGCTGCTCGTGCTCGTGCTTCTGCTCCTTCGCCCTCTCCTGCTGCTGCTGCTGCTGCTGCTGCTGTTCAAGGTGCTGCTGCCCCTTCTCCTGCTGCTCTTGCTTTCCTTCCTCCGTGGGGTCATGTTCCTGCTCCTGCTCCTGTCCCAGCTATTGCCGCTGCTGCTGCTGCTGCCGTCGCTGCTGCCCTTGGAGCTCCTTTTCCTGTCTGCTCCTGCTCCTGCTCCTCCTCCTGCTGCTCCTCCTCCTGTTCCTGTTCCTGCTCCTGTTCCTGTTCCTACTCCTGCTCCTGCTCCTGCTCCTGCTCCTGCTCCTCCTCCTGTTCCTGTTCCTGCTCCTGTTCCTGCTCCTGTTCCTGCTCCTGTTCCTGCTCCTGCTCCTGTTCCTGTTCCTGCTCCTGTTCCTGCTCCTGCTCCTGTTCCTGCTCCTGCTCCTGCTCCTGTTCCTGCTGCTCCCACACCGCGTCCCGCTCATGCTCCTCCTCCTCCTGGTCGCCCTCCTCCTCGTCCTCCCCCTGCTCCTCCTGCTCCTGCTCCTGCTCCTGCTGCTCAGTGCCCCCCTATCACTCGGCAACCATCCACTGAATCCACTCTGCCTGCTGCTAGCCCAGGCTTCTCTGCCAGTGGGAGTCCAGGTGCGGTGTATGCTGGTCACGGGGTGTGGGCGGGTGCTGCTGGCTGGGAAGGAGTCAACGTGGGTCAAGGAAAGAGGTTCAACGCTGGTCAAAGGGAGGGGATCAGAGGGATCCATGCTCCACGGCTACGAAGGCGGTTCACAGATCAGCCTCCCGGGCAGCAGCAGGTGTATTGTGAGCCGACTGGTCTACACACAGAATGGTCTACAGCACTGCTTACAGGCAACGGAGAGGCGCAGTTAATGCCAGCGGTGGGACGGCACCGATCAACCAGCGTGGTGAACTGCACTGAACCGCACGCAAAACCTGCAAACCACAGTGCACCAATTGTTAAGCCGGTCATGAGGATTCCTGGCAGTGCTGGCGTGTATGCTGCTGGTGATTCTGCTCGTGTTGACACCAACATTTGGAGTACTGCTGCTGCGCCTGCTACTGCTGTTACTGCAACTGCTGCTTCTGCTGGTAGGCCAAGGCATGATGCAGCCAGTGAGAGGGATGGAGGTCATACGATGTCACCAGGAAAAGCAGCAGCAAGAGTAGCAGCCGGAGGAGTGTTTTCACCAGTTGCAGCAGCGAACCTGATTGACCTGACTGAGAGGGATCATGCCTTCACACTCCCAAAATCACCTGGCTGTTCACCTGACGTTCGGGATCCCCCACCCGCGCTCAAGCCAGCTTCACCCCTAATTTCAGCTTCACCTGCAGCTTTCGCTTCGCCTCTAGCCTCAGGTTCCCCTGCTGTGCTCCCATCCTCACCTGTGGTGATCAATCTCGACGCCATTGATGACATTGACAGCTCTCAGGAGTGAAAACTCTCCATAACGAATCGGCCAATAGAGGGTATGGTAGGACTGGTGAGGGTCAGGTGGGAGCAGTAGCAGCAAGCAGACGTAGCGGTCTCATTTGGTCTCATTTTCTGAAGCAGCAGCAGCAAGCAGGCGTGGTGGATTCGGTAAGGTGGAACAGTTGCGAATCCTAAAGCGCTTCAATTGTGATGATTGTTGGGCGCAGTAACATTCATCCACCAGGCTCGGCACTAACACCCTCAGCCTGACTCTGGGCACCACTGATTCTGACACTGGCGTAGGGGAGAGGGGGGCAAAACACCACTGATTGTGACACGGGAAGACGGGAGAGGGGGGCAGAGCACCACTGGGTTTACGGTTGGTGGACGGGAAGTGGGGAGGGAGGGAGCCGTTGGGGTTGCTGTGGTATCTGCAATTGCATCAGCAGCACGGGTAGCACAAGCAGCACGGGCAGCACGGGAAACATGGGCAGCGCGGGTGGCACCATTTCTAGTTATCACACTGGCATGGCATTGCGGTTGCTTGGCATAACAAGCAACCATGTTCTTCACCCAGCTTGGCAGTGGCAGCATCACTAACAGCGACCAGTGGAGCGCAGTTGCTGGCATTGATTAAATCGCATGGAGGGCTCATAACAGACTCTGTGGTCCTTTCGTGGCTTCAATGGTCAGGTTTTCCTCAATCTGTTCGGTTGGAGTGCAATTATATCACCCCTCTTGAGCACGATACGGGAATGTGGGACGTGAGGTGGGAGCGCCGGGCAGAGCGTGGTGGTGCGCTGCGTCTGACATGACAACGTGATTCTTTCTAACATGACGTGACACGACGGCCTTTGACATGACGTCATTATTCTTTCTAACATGGTGGCCAATTGCCGCCATTCTTTTTTTAGTGTAGGTCAGTCAGTCACGCTTTGTTTTAGGTTTTGTTGCTACGTTACAACTTGTAACTGTAGCGCTGACTATAATCCTCCAAATGGAGATCAAATACTACTTGCAGTTCACTCTCCACATGTTTATCTGTTCCCATTGTGTAAATGACACCACATTGCTGACCCACGCTCCGTTACTGACACGTTCGCTACATAGACTGGGCTACCTGCACGTGCCTGTTAAACACAAAGTGCGTTTCCAGTCTACCCTGATCCTCCAGTGACGTTTAGACATTTCTTTGGTATAGGAGGGCGTCCTCTTAGGGTACATTCCGCTGTGGACATGTCCCAATCGAAAGTGTCTCAATCGTTTCCACCGCTCTGCATCGTATCACACCAAATTAAACCATAGTTTCGAAATTTTCGCGTCTCTGGTTTAGTTCGGTTCGGAGCGGTACACTCGATTGGGACACATCGATTGGGACATGTGTCCACAGCGGAATGTACCCTTACTCTAATCTAAAGGTCACTCCTGCAAATTACGGTATTACTGATGCTTTCTCCTTGCTGCTTCTCTGCTCCAAACGCTCCTCCACCAACCCCTCTTTCACCAACCCCCTCTTCTCTCCCGTTTGTGTTGCTTCCGAGGGCTCCCCTCCTTTCTGTAACACCTCGCCATCACTCTCCACCACCCCCCTACCGCTCTCCATCTGCTCCTCATGAATGCAGCGCTTCTTGCTCGAATGACCTTCCTCCACCCTTACTACTTCCCCCATCCCACCACATCCCCCCCTCTCACCACCTGCCCCAATCCCACCACACCCCCCCCTCTCACCACCTGCCCCAATCGCACCACCTCCCCCCATCTCACCACCTGCTTCCTCCACAGCCTCTACTCCTTGTCTCACCTCCGCTTCAAACGACCTTTGCAGATCCCCACAACTGTCCACTTTACTCTTCTCACGCCCCTCGTCTGCTCCCAACCCATCCCTCGCCACTTCCACTTGCTCACCCCCCTTTCCCTCTTCTTCAGCCTCACCATTCCTTCGAGGAACCTCAGAAGCCGATTCCTTTGAGAATCCTCAGAAGTGACTCCCAACCCATCTCTCTCCACTTCCACTTGATCAGCCTCCTCGCCCTCTTCTTCAGCCTCCTCGCCCTCTTCTTCAGCCTCCTCGCCCTCTTCTTCAGCCTCCTCGCCCTCTTCTTCAGCCTCCTCGCCCTCTTCTTCAGCCTCCTCGCCCTCTTCTTCAGCCGCACCAACCCTTAGAGGAACCTCAGAAGCTGCTTCCCCCACTTCCCCTCCAATCCCTCCATCCTCCTTCTCATTCCCACTTTCCTCCATCGCACTTCTCCACTTCTCCCTCTCACTGCTGCTTTCATCCCTCCCCATTCCACTTTTCCCCATATACTCCATCAAGGTAACATCCGCCCTTTGCACCACAGCAGCCCCTGGCTCTTTAAGAGATTCTGTTAGCTTCCGCTGCTCCATTCGACTAAGTATCTCTTTTAGGAAGTCATCCACCCCTTGCTTTTTGACTGCCTTGGCGTCTGCTGGTGCTGCTGGTGCTGCTGGTGCTTCTTCCTCTGCATTTGCTGCTACCTGCCTTTCTGAATCTGCAACAGCAGTATCAGCTGCTGCTGCTGCTGCTGCTGCTCCTGACGACTTGGCTGGCACTGCATCTGCAGAAGCAGCCGCAGCAGCACCATCACCACCACCACCACCATCACCACCACCACCACCACCACCACCACCACCACCACCACCACCACCACCACCACCACCACCACCACCACCACCACCACCACCACCACCACCACCACCACCACCACCACCACCACCACCACCACCACCACCACCACCACACCACCACCACCACCACCACCACCACCACCACCACCACCACCACCACCACCACCACCACCACCACCACCACCACCACCACCACCACCACCACCACCACCACCACCACCACCACCACCACCACCACCACCACCACCACCACCACCACCACCACCACACCACCACCACCACCACCACCACCACCACCACCACCACCACCACCACCACCACCACCACCACCACCACCACCACCACCACCACCACCACCACCACCACCACCACCACCACCACCACCACCACCACCACCCACCACCACCACCACCACCACCACCACCACCACCACCACCACCACCACCACCACCACCACCACCACCACCACCACCACCACCACCACCACCACCACCACCACCACCACCACCACCACCACCACCACCACCACCACCACCACCACCACCACCACCACCACCACACCACCACCACCACCACCACCACCACCACCACCACCACCACCACCACCACCACCACCACCACCACACACCACCACCACCACCACCACCACCACCACCACCACCACCACCACCACCACACCACCACCACCACCACCACCACCACCACCACCACCACCACCACCACCACCACCACCACCACCACCACCACCACCACCACCACCACCACCACCACCACCACCACCACCACCACCACCACCACCACCACCACCACCACACCACCACCACCACCACCACCACCACCACCACCACCACCACACCACCACCACCACCACCACCACCACCACCACCACCACCACCACCACCACCACCACCACCACCACCACCACCACCACTTCCATCACCACCACCACCACCATCACCACCACCACCACCACCACCACCATCACCTCCATCAATCCCCACCTCAGTTCCGATATCTCTCCCTGCGCCTTCCAACCCCATCCCCTCCATTACTCCTTCAACTTCGCCCATGAAAGCCATGGTTGAGGAATCGGTTGAAGCAGCAGCTTCTTTGGTAGCTGCTGCAGTGGTGGGTGCACCTTCGGCTGTAGCAAGGGCTGTAGTGGTGGGTGCAGCGGTGCCTGTAGCAGCGGCTGTAGTGGTGGGTGCGCCTTCAGCTGTAGCAAGCGCTGTAGTGGTGGGTGCAGCAGCGGCTGTAGTGGTGGGTGCGCCTTCGGCTGTATCAGAAACTGTAGCAGAAGCTGTATCAGAAACTGTAGCAGAAGCTGTATCAGAAACTGTAGCAGAAGCTGTATCAGAAACTGTAGCAGAAGCTGTATCAGAAACTGTAGCAGCAGGAGTCAAAGCAGATGCAGTGGGGGAGGCATGAGTTGCCTGCATCACACGCACGCTCGATTCAACAGCAGCAGCAGCTGTAGCGGGAATTGTAGCGGCAACTGTAGCAGCAGTCTCAACAGCAGATGGCATGGCAGATGCAGTGGGGGGGCCATGAGACGCCTGCATCACACGCACGCTGGATTCGACCTTATCCAGCCGTGTGGCCAATCGCGACATGCCACCTGTCACCTGAGCCTCCAGCCTGGCACATACCCTCTCCAATCGCTCCACTCGATGCACGAGAGAGAGGAGGAAAGGCGAGTGAGAGAGGGGGTCTTGGGAAGTAGGGGCCCTAGGAGGAGGGGTCGAGAGAGGAGGGACGAGAGTGTGAGGGGTGATGTTGGGAGGAAAGGAGGGAAGGGTGGGAGCAGAGGAAGGGGGAGGGCGGAGGGTTACGGAAGGAGCTGCAAGGAACGCGAGGAGGAGAGGGAGCATTGATGCTGACATGTTACCACTCGGGTTACCATTCATGCTACCACCCATGTTACCGCCCATGTTACCACCCATGTTACCACCAACACTGCCACCCATGCCACCCGCCAAAGCAGCAGGCAGGTTCGGAGGCAGCTTAGCCAGCATCTCTTGAGGCAGCATTGAGAACAGGTTCGGAGACAGGCCCGGCAGGAGGTTTGGCGCAGCAGCTGCTGCTGCTGTTGGCTCTTCTGCAGCAGCAGCAACACCAGCAGCTGCAGCCGCAGCTGAAACAGAAGCAGATGAAGAAGCAGAAGCAGCGGCAAAGGGAGGGGCGGAGTGAGGCAGAGAGGAGGGAAGGAAGGGGCCGGGGGAAAGTGAGAGAGTGATGGAGTGTATGGTGACTGTAGAGGCGCCCCTGAGACCTAGAAGCTTGAGAGAAAGCGAAGAGAGCCATGCGTCAGATAGGGATGCCCCTGCCACTGCTGCTGCCGAGCCTGCTGCCGAGCCTGATGTCGAAGCTGCTTCTGCTTCGGAGCCACAGTCGCTGTGGGAGCAGTCGTCTGCTTCTGGGGGAGGTGCGATCTGCAAGAGGAGGGAGTGTAGCGGGGGACGGTTGATGCCCTCTCCTCCCCCTACTCCTCTCATTCCCCCTCCCATTCCGCCTCCCCCTCCACCTCCCCCTCCCCCTCCTCCACCTCCTCCCGCCCCCCCGCCCGTTGCCCCCACAGGCTCCCCCCTAACGGTGCATACATACTCCCCCAGATCTCCTCCCCGGGTGCGCCCTCCCCCTGCCCCGTGCCGCCTTGCCACGTGGCATGAGCTGCGTACAGCTCAGCAAAGCGCGCGGAGGTGACGAGGTGGAGGGAATGCAGGCGAACGGCGCGGGCGGGGAAGAGCACTGGAGGGGGCGGGATAGGGTGCATGGGGGAGGGGGGAGGGGGGGAAGGAAGGGGGGGAGGGGAGGAGGAAGGGGGGGGGATGGGGGCGGAGGGGTTTCTTGAGGGAAAGGGGAAGCGAAGGATTTAGAGCTAACGGCGGAAGGGGTAAAGGCGGAAGATCGGGCACTAACGGGGAGTCTGGAGATTGGACGGATTGGGGTTGAGGAGGAAACGTAGGGCGGCGCGGAAACTACGAGCTTCAATACCAATAGACAGTGCGATCCGAAGACCTACGTGTCAAGACGCAACCAGACGATCCGTCCTCTCGCTCCAATTCCACCGTTCCGCAGATTCCGCCGCCAACTCCGCCTTCCTCTCCGTTCAACGCCTCGTCGTCTCGATCCGCGTTTCCAGGATCCTCATACTGTGTTTGTGATACGTGGGACACCGTCGACCAATCGCCGTGTGCCACGCGCCACGTTGATCGGACGGCTATCTGAAGCCCATCGCTGGATGCATGGATCGAAGCGGCTGGTCCAGCGACCATAATATTAGTCTTGCGAGGGTTCGGGAAACGCAGTCGCTGATAGGGGAATGGGCAGTCTGCTGGTTCGAATTGCTGTGATGGCGGGGAGCTAGGAGAAATTGGATTCGGACTCGTTTTTGACAGTTTCGGCTTGTAACTCGAATGCATTACACCTCATTTACCTACATAGTGAATGCCATTATGATGCCAATATGTTTTTCTTCCAGAACAGAATTCGCTGCGCATAGGGATATTCCCGAGGAGATTCCGTTCAGCCCAGCCCGACATTGGTTCCACCAATCGCAAACTCCCTTCCGGGCCACACAGCATCCGGTGATGCGTGAGTATATTCCGCACTCCAATTGGCTGCACGGATTTCTTGCTCCCAGCCCAATGGTATCACCCAGCGATTTGTGCAGTTCTCGCAGGTGCCCATCAGAACCCTCACGAGGAGCGTATCAAATGTTACCGTGGACGTCGCTGTTCTTCGCAGCAGGGCGGGAGTTCGGGAAAGGAAGAATATTAATTTCCTGCCTCAAAAAATACCAGACCCTCCTTTCTCTTACCTCCTCCAACCCACTCCGCCTTTTTTACCTCCTCTTCCCCACCACCTCCTAGCCCATTCCCTTTCTCAGGGAGGTGCCTGGCTTGAGCATCTCGAGACTCGTCGTCGCTTGTCTCTAGGGTTCATAGTTGCCCTTTCGTGGACCTTTCGTCGCACCGCAGCATGGCGAACTGCGTCCTTAGACGGGCCGTCCCGCAGGCGTTGCTCGCCGCCTCGCCGGCGATCAAAGGATCGTCTGCGATTAAAGGCGCTCCCGTTGTCGTGCGCATTGCGCCGAGCCGCGATGTTAAGGGCCGGCTTGTATGGCGCTGCGAGGCTGCAGCTGGCGCTTCTGCGGCAGCCGCAGCAGCAGCGACTACCAGCTCCCCTTGTAAACTTCCTCGTCGCCCTTTTTAGAACCCTGTATTGTTCAACGGAAGGATGTCGTTGCTTGCATTGTTCCACCCTAGTTTGACAATGCCACGTCAGGCCTTTCACACGATCCGGTAACTCAGTTGCAATCAGGATCGCAGTCCATTCGCAAGCTTTTTCTTCGCTAATTATCGCATTCCCCCCTTCGAGCCTGGTAACCTTCTTCGTGCAGTCCAAAATGGAGTCCTGCCATTCTCAAGTTCAACCCTAGAATTCTGACCTGGATCTTGCCGACGTTCCGCGCCCACTCCCGCCAACATCCCCCCCTGCCGACGTTGCTGATGCGTCCATACACACCAACAAACCCCCCTCTCCCCGCCACACACCCTTCTTGCTTGTGTGATTCATCATTTCCCATTCACCATACGCTCTCCCTTACATCGCGCCGTCCCCCACGCGCTCATTGCCCCTGTCCGCGGCAGCGTCGCAGGCGACAGCAGGGAGGAGTCGCCAGCGCGACATTGTGCGACTGGCGCTGCCGAGTAAAGGTCGCATGGCGGAAGACACGCTCGCGCTGCTTAAGGTACGAGCTTGTGGTGATCCCCTCTTGACTTTTGAGTCGACTTGAGTCGACTTGAAAGTCAACTCACAGGTCAACGCGCTGCCGAGAAAAGGTCGCATGACGGAAGACACGCTCGCGCTGCTCAAGGTACGACAATCTCGCGCCCCGGCTCGCTCTCACAAGCTGTTTCCTTATCAACTAGACGGCCCATTCCTACTTATCATCTCTGCTTATCATCTATGCTTATGATCTTGCAGTGCATGCGTGCGCGCAACACCCTGATAGATTTTGCGGAAAAATCTCACCATTGACTGGCGCGCATTCTCTTAGTCTCGACATCTCTACGTTCCTCCCCCATTTCCTGCGCTTTTTTTTTTTCGCCTGCCCGTCACAGGAGTGCGAGCTGACCGTGCGAAAGCCGAACCCTCGCCAATACATCGCCGAGATCACCGAGGTGCGTGCGTGCGTGCGTGCTGGGGTAGACGAATGCACGCGCGCATGCGAATATGCTGCGTTGCACAAGCCGGTGTGTGTGCCTGCTGCACCGATGTGCGTGCGTGATCGGGCTAGGGTTTTGGGCTTTGACGGGATTGACCGCGTAGTCGCGTGACTCTGCCCCCTCGCTCTCCCCCTTCACTCTGCCCTCTCACTCTGCCCCCTCGCTCCGTCCCCTTCCTCCTCTGCTACCCTTCCCCTCGCGTTTCGCCCTCCCCCCTTTCCCCCCCCCCACACTCCGCGTCCTCCCTGGTTGGTTTTTGAGAATTCTCAAAAACCAGATCGAGGGCCTGGAGGTGTGGTTTCAGCGCGCGTCGGACTGCGTGCGGAAGCTGCTGAGCGGTGACGTGGACATGACGATTGTGGGTACGACATGGTGAAGGAGTATGGCAAGGTGAGTGCATTGGAGATTAAAGACATGGTGAATATGGCAATACATGGCTGAGATAAGGGGCACGTGGACAAGTCTATTATGGGGTTCGTTGGTGAAGGAGTATGGCAAGGTATGAGAGAGATTAAAGACATATGGTGTGGTGGGAAGGTACTGCAGAGATACAGAGATATTATGGCGTGGTATGGCAGATATGATTACGGCGTGGTATGGTCGGGATTATGGGCTGATATTAAGCAGAGTGGAAGGGATGACGCCGTACTCGTATCAGCACAACTGATTGGCGGGATTGCAAAGAAGTTGAGGAAGGGAAAGCACCAGGACCAAGAAAAGAATGAAGGGTCTATTCACATGAAGAGTGCAAACGAACGGATTAGAAGCTTCTCATTTACATTACCCCATCACCCCATGACCCCATCGCCTCATGACCCCATCCCATGACCCCATCCCATCACCCTGTCCCATCACCCCATCACTCCATGACCCTATGTATGCCGAAGGTTTTTTTGCCCATACCCCGCCTCACTCTCCCCCCTCTTCTAGCTTTGTATTCACTCCAACCTCTCCTCTGCCATTCATGATTCATCTGCTGTCCCCCCTTTCCTCTCTCCTTCCCCCCTGCTGTCTCTGCCTCCCCTTTCATCTTTCCTCTCCTCCCGTTTCCCCTCTCCTCTGCTCCCTCACCTCCCCACACACACCAGTGTGATGACCCGAACCTAGTCATCGTGCACGATTCCCTTGGCTTCAGAGGCGATGTTTGGGTCGACTCAAAGCTCCCCTCTCTCCCTCTTTTCCCGTTCCTATCTCCCCTCTCCTCTATCCCCCCACGCACACACCAGGATGACCCGAACCTAGTCATCGTGCACGATTCCCTTGGCTTAAGAAGTGATAACCGAGTTGACTCATGACTTCCCTGTTTCCCTCAACCCTCCTTCTTTTCCTCTCTCCTCTCTCTTCCCCGCCCACACACCACCAGGACGACCCCAACCTAGTCATCGTGCACGATTCCCTTGGCTTCGGCAAGTGCCACCTCAGCGTTGCTGTGAGTGCCACGTCAGCGTGTTACAAATGGTCACATCCAATCTTTGTGGCCACAATCCCCGGTTTAACCTTTTGTTTCGGCTTTCCAGCATGCTCCTACCTCGACCTACGCATAACTGAGAATTGCATAAGTCAAATGGCCATACTGCAACCAAAGCGAGATGGCTTATGAGTTGACTCAAAAGAAGTGCGTATGTTGGTGTGACTTTTGAGAATTCTCAATAGTCACGCCCACATGGCCATACTGCAACCAAAGCCAAAATGAGCACGAAACATCCCCTCCCTTCTCAGTCAAATCTCATCTCCCCCTCCCCAAATGATTGTTATGTATGTGTGTATATTCCTAAACCCTGTTCGCACGGATTCAGGTGCCCTCGTACGGCATATTCGAGCGGATCAACTCCATTCAAGATCTCATCGCCATGCCTCAGTGGTCCGCTGACAATCCCCTCCGTATAGTCACAGGCTACACCCATGTGAGTTGCCCTGCCCCTCCCTCTTTATAGTCTCAAGCTACACTTGTGTGAGTTGCCCCTCGTTATAGTCACAGGCCACCTGCATGTGAGTTGGTCCCTCCGTACCGTATCACTCATGTGCTAACCTGCTACCATGACACAATGCCACCATGCCACCTCTCGTCTCTCTTCTCCCCCCCTTCCCTCCCCCTCCCCCTTCCTGCCCGCACACACCTGCAGCTAGGCCGGCGTTTCTTTGATCAGCTTGGCTTCCCGCACGTGCAACTCTCCACAGCTGATGGTGCCTTGGAAGCTGCTCCTGCTGTAAGTTGAATGGGTCTGGATGGTGCTTCCACAGCTGATGGTGCCTTGGAAGCTGCTCCTGCTGTAAGTTGAATGGGTCTGAGTGGTGCTTCCACAGCTGATGGTGCCTTGGAAGCTGCTCCTGCTGTAAGTTGAATGGGTCTGAGTGGTGCTTCCACAGCTGATGGTGCCTTGGAAGCTGCTCCTGCTGTAAGTTGAATGGGTCTGAGTGGTGCTTCCACAGCTGATGGTGCCTTGGAAGCTGCTCCTGCTGTAAGTTGAATGGGTCTGAGTGGTGCTTCCACAGCTGATGGTGCCTTGGAAGCTGCTCCTGCTGTAAGTTGAATGGGTCTGAGTGGTGCTTCCACAGCTGATGGTGCCTTGGAAGCTGCTCCTGCTGTAAGTTGAATGGGTCTGAGTGGTGCTTCCACAGCTGATGGTGCCTTGGAAGCTGCTCCTGCTGTAAGTTGAATGGGTCTGAGTGGTGCTTCCACAGCTGATGGTGCCTTGGAAGCTGCTCCTGCTGTAAGTTGAATGGGTCTGAGTGGTGCTTCCACAGCTGATGGTGCCTTGGAAGCTGCTCCTGCTGTAAGTTGAATGGGTCTGAGTGGTGCTTCCACAGCTGATGGTGCCTTGGAAGCTGCTCCTGCTGTAAGTTGAATGGGTCTGAGTGGTGCTTCCACAGCTGATGGTGCCTCAGTCTGCTCACAGAGCTGCTTCCTGCCACCCGCCCCACCCCCCCCTCCCCTCCCCACCTCCTCCACTTCCCGCACGTGCAACTCTCCACAGCTGATGGTGCCTTGGAAGCCGCTCTCGCTGTAAGTTCATTGGATCTGCAGAGCTGTTTCCTGATGATCTCGCCCCTCCCAACCACCGCCCTCCTCCCCTTCCTCCCCCTCTCCTCTCCTTCCCCCACGTGCACCTCTCCACGGCCCCTGCTGCTGTGAGTCGCTTGAGAAGGACTGTGAAGCTGTTTCCCTCAGGACGCGTCACAAGTAAAACATCGATCCTGTGTAATATCGGTGTTTAGGTGGTTACATGTTTTCGTAACTTTTCG